CTTTATGACGAATGGACGAGGCTTAGCATCTTTTCTGGCACCAATTCGTTGACAGCGACTTACACTGTCAGGTTTCAATTCAGGACACTTAAGACATGCGGAAAGCTTATAAATTACAGAATCAATAGTAAGGTCGGCAGACTCATTGTAACCATGCAACAACAGGATCTTCCTTCTATCTCTCATCTCTTGTTCATCCTGCATTTTGAAAAGCATTTCCAACTGGGCTTGTAGGTTTTCAAGACAGGTAATGACTGAAGAGCGGAATGAAATGAATTCTGCATTCAGGGAAGATAGTGATGGCTCGGCAGATGATGGTGATGACCTTGTTGCTCCTGAAAGCTGGTTTTGAAATGCTGTCATCTGTTGAGCAAACCTTTCCGACATATCCTGGAGTGATTTTTGTAATTCCTCCATTGTTGCACAAAAAAAGTGAGTTAATGAAAACAGAAAAACTTTGAGCTTGTGAAAGTGATAAGATGTACAACTATTTCAGTACGGACTACTATATTAGGAAAGTATACATCTGGTGAGTACAGAAAAGCCAAAATTAACACATAATAATATTAAATTAAAATTTTCGCGAGATCAAAATAAAAATACGTGTTTACTTGTTGACAACTACCCTCCAATCCATATTAATCTCTGTATAATTATTAATTGATCTACATGCAATAGTCTAGCAACGTCTATTACTAGTGAAAGTGATTATATTATCTCCTCTTAATGAACCATACGCCAACTTTCCGATACGAAATCCAAAGTTTATCAAGAACATGTTCGCTCGAAGGTCAAACATCGACTGAAAATATCGCGCGAGCATTGACCGGAGGTAAGCTCGCGTGTTCGAATTTTAAATATTGAAAACCGTCAACGTCAAAAGTCGGTGATATTTAGTAGATTATTTTGAATTTTGGTAGATGTTTTCTTCTGAAGAAAAAATCCTAAATATATTAGTATTAACATCGTTGTAGTTAAGTGCGTGGAACGCTTAAAACCATGTGTTATTATAGTTAGCTAAGCCTGAAAAGGCCTTTATCTACAGACAAAGTCATAGCTCGCCGCATATATTGCACAATTAAATACTCGCCATCAATATTTATAGCTCAGGTGAGTAATTACTTGCAACGATGCAAAACATGTCGACACGTGTAGTATGTGTTATTGATATCGCCACCGCACTATTACAGACGTCATACGAATGCGCTTTTCGTTTAAACATAGATATTTCCTTATTCACAATAATAATTACTTCGTTACTATTACGCCATACCAAATGGGATCACATGTACTGGCTGTGCACAGTACTATATTTTTTTTAAATTTACAAAATGTTTTCTAGGTATATCCTGTCAAAAAAAAATATTGGCAACCCTACGTCACTGTGCTAACGAATTATTTGCCTTTAATAAAACAACACTAAGCGACATAGTAACGGACAACATAACTGAAGTTTTGTGATATTGTGAAAACAATAACCCGAAATAAGTTGTTTAAAATTATTTACACTAGGCGATCATAAAATGATAGTGCACAAAATCACCTTTGAGAGAGAGGCAAAGGTCATACACCTAGACGTCTCGACGAGGTCGGCGAACCCCTTATTGCTCTTACTCTTAGTATGTTATTATATCCTGGTACTTTTTGTGCGCATGCGAGGACAAACAAAGGAATCACGTATTTACCCTAATCGCGACTTGAGAGTTGCTTGTCAAGATATCTATAATGACAGATAGAGAGAGCTCCGCAACGCATAGATTTTATCTACTCTATAATAGATAATATATATAATAAAAACAAAGAAAATATAACATGAAATGATGAACTTCAACAATAAATTATTGGACTACTTCTTAGCTCTAAAAGAGTAGGCAGGAGCGGTATGTTTTGACAGCACATTCTTCCCGGCGACGTCATTCCAGATATAAGAACAAAACAGAAATACTATTTTAATATTAGATTAAAATTTCTGAGGACGTCAAATGAACCTGACACGCGCCGATGTGGTGGAATGCCTATCATTTTAATATGGAAGCGAAAAATAACGTAGTCTATTTTTGGCGTGTATTCAATTATTGGTAATTGAATAAACTCTTGGTGGTCAATTTATTTGTCAACTATTCTAGTCATTAGGTATGTCTGAGAAACAGAATTCAGTTATTTATAGTCTTTTGTAGTCTATTTAAAGTCAAGAACTTAGTTTTACCAATACCACATGATTTTTTTAAATAAAATACTTTATCGTTATTTGTATCGCGTTTTAAACCGTTAAAGTGTTATATTAAAATGTGTACTACTCGCGTAAACTATAGACAGTATTTAATACCACATGGTTTGGTTATTATACATATGTATATGTAATTTTACTTACTAGTTTTATTTTTACATGTATTTTAAGAAACACATCATTAGTATGCTAATGCAGAAACGAAAACTTTTCCAATTTTCAGCTGACTTTTGTAGTCAATGTGCAGTGGGACCTAAATATGCACAGAGATCAACGAACCGTCCCACATAATTCAATAGACCCCCAGCGATCTCCGTACGGTTGCATGAATGATGTAAGGCGCAATTTACCAATCAACCGGGGACGATTCTCAAATAAGTGATATAGGATACTCGTCGACATGTGTCATTGATTTCATACATCTGTGGGAATTAGCGACCCATATATCGCATTTTTTGAGAATTGCCCTTCAGTAGATGTACAACCTCCTATAAATTGATTTGACTTACCAAATTAAAAAGTTTTATACTTGCATTTTACATTTGTTTATAATTTTATTATTGATCTTTTATAGCGTGATCGGTGGTTCCAAGAACTTCTTGTTTGTATTGCATTAAGGTGTGGTGGAAAATGTAAATTTAAAGCACTTGCAAAGCATACAATATGTATTATCATTAAGAATTAATATTAACGTTATTTCAGACAGTATTAAGATTTTTTTTTCAGGCGTAGTTTTTTAATTCAAGTAAAATTATCAGTTCCAATATATCCCAGTTGGCTGTAGCACCAATTTATCACCTACGAACATTTATCGTAACATATACAAAATCATAAAACTCGTCAGATAAAATTGATTCACATAGGCCCATTTTAGCATTTCATATAATACAATCGTATGATGTATTATTTGTTTTCTGATAAGACTGGCCTTGTGTTTTATCAGTGCTAGAAAATGTGTTCCAAGCATTGTATATTCCACTGTCAAGGGTGACTTGTGACAAAACTTACTTAGAAATTAAATGAATAAATACTATCAATCTCCATGTTGATAACTGTATTCTACCAGATACACAAAGTAGTCAGACACACAAGACATAGGCTAAAATTAGGTTTGTGGGTTCGAAGAGACACAAAATGCAAAGCATTTGGACCCTAGAGATATTCAGTGTGAATATGTACAGGATTCACTTCCAATGAAGAAAAAAATACGACTAAGTAGATAGATAAAAATAAATTTTATATACACTGTGTAATATTCTAATCAGTGTAATTTTTAATTTAAATTAATGTTAATATCATCTGGTTAGCAATATCCTATAAAATATTAATGTGAAAGTAATCTACAATGGAGAAATAAATCCTATTAATTTATTGAGTCTAACAAGCATAAAAAACTAATTATAGCTGACCTACACAAAACTGCTAGATTAAATTTGAAATCAGCATTTAAATAAAACCCTTTGATTAGTTTAAAATGCAAAATAATGAATTTAAACTTATTTAGCTGCTATGGCTGCTATAAAGCATCTGAGACTTTGATTTAACAGTTAAAAAACAAGAAAATAAGTTTAGCATATATTTGCGTTTTAAGCATTAAGTGTATATATATATTTAAATTTTTACTACTCGCGTAAACTTCGAAAAATACTTAATATATACGTATATATAAAAGAAGATTACTCGTTTGTGCTACTTCCAATATAAGTATAATATAGTCAACGACTAGAGCCTCAAGCGGATAGCAATTAAAATAGTATACAGAAGGTGGGACATAAACTCGATTTACTTAAACTTTCACAATCACGATCCTGTACCAGGCAATAAGAAATCGTAAGATATCCTGTCTATATACACGTAAATATTTATCAATAAAACGTGGCTATAGGTTTAGAACGTAGTACTACGTATGCCTACGTGCAAATACCTAACGCCTACCCAAGGACGAATATCTACGTAAACAAAACAACGCCAGATGTTAAGAAACTGCGCAGTTTTGAAAGCTACAGTATTTTGCTTCTCGTACTATTAATAGTTTGTATACACAGCAAACAGGATTGCCTTGATAGGAAACTAGTATTTTGTATAAGTGATACACAATAAAACAAACGGACATCGTTTATTTACTCACCGCTCAAGTCTTCTAGCGTATTCAGCTTTCGCGCAGCCATAATCACACAGAACTCGCTCTAGCGAACTTTATTAAGTTTCACTTGTATTATATAAATTTCGTGAGCTTTTGCGTTGCAATTACGCGATTCGAACGCGAGACGTTATGCCTCTTCACGGGCGCCTTTGTTATGTTTTTGAACTACGTTTTGTATTGACAGGACAAATGACAACACAAAATATGCGCGTCTCTGAATGTGAAGGTGGTTTCCACCAATTGGAATGATTTTTAGTGAAAGTTAGGTTGTGGACTGTGATTGGTTAAATTGTTTTGTGTTGCCAGGAATAAAATATTGAACGTAAAATAGGTTGCACGATCCAAATGAATTTTCTTAAAATAGTTTTTTTAATTAAAAGTTAAATTTAATTTAATTAAAAGTTTAAATTAAAGTTATATTGATTTTCTCTTAAATGTACTAAAAACAGGCGCTATCATATGTATCATCTATTTAAAGTAATAGATTATCTCAATCAATGACTAAAGTGTCAAAAACGAACTTCAGTTTACCGTTGACTGTCTATGCTTAATGGCAACCTTTGCAAAGTGCAGTTTAAGTCATTCACAGAAACTCGGTCTTAATTATTTTTATCTTATCGTTAATTAATAATGAATACTAGCGCAGCTGAGGATGATTGCAACTCTCTGTCACCTATAGTAGACAATGAAAGCCTAAGGTAAATGAGTTTTCTTTTATAAAATCACAAGATAATCAGTACATCATCTCACCTGTTCCTGACAGCTGATTTGGGCGCCAAAGTTGAAAGGCGCCAGTACAATTTTACGTGTCATTTTGCAGATTTGTATTAATATCGTACCATATTAGAGAAAAATTGTATCATTTCTAGGAAGAAAATACGTCTGGATACATCTACTCGTAAGACCTGGAACCTGTTGGACCGTAGTACTAACACAGACGTGAGTTTTTAACGATTCCCGCTTTTTATCATACCTTATTTGGTTATGTTATCGGCGTTACCCGCTTCAAAAATAGATATTTACCTTCCATATTAAAACGGTGTGCGCTTTACGAACGTGTTTATTGATTATTTTAAGGGCTAGAGTTATCAGCACCTCATTTAAATACGCCCATAGCTTGTGTCAACAGTATTTATTAAGTGTTAAAGTATCAGTACTGAACTTTACAATCATGATGAAAAATGTGGTTAGAAATTGATCATCTATTCAACACTTGAAAGGATCTTGTGTTAGAAAATTAATAACACTACTAATACCTCAATGTAATATTATAATATTTTTTATTTTCATAGCTAGCTTAAAAGACACACATAAATCGGTAAGTAAGTACAAAGTTGTGCTTAATATCTGATCTGCTTCATAATTAGACTCCTGTAATCTTTAGATAGATATGTTATTTCTAATGTAATTCATTCAATCTACAAAGTGACAATAAACTTAAAATGAAAAACATAAAAAGTCATAATGATCTGCAAAGGACATTAACTGAAAAGACAGTCAACTTAGTATTCAGTGTTACCAAATGTTAGATGTGTTGACCTGATACTCAAGTAATAAACATAAATTATTAAAAATGAGAAACTACTACTCCAGATAAACAAATACACATCTATATAATTGTAAAAACTAAACCAGTTCAATCTTCTTGGCTAACTTTTCTGTAACAGTAAAAACTTTTGTGCTCAAACATATTTTCTTGCAATACAAAACAGCATTTTAAATAATCTTGAGCACATAACTTGGTCAGCATTATTCTGACACAGTTTTCAATATTACACAACCAAATAATTGTCATATTTTGCATTCTCATGAGGCATATAAATTGTTATCTATACTTGGTGTCCGTACTGTATCCTATAAATTACTGTATTACCTTTAGATACCATCTAAGAGTGCACCACACTGAATTGGGGGAGTTATATCTGGTCATCATTTTCTTGAAACATTAAAAGATTCTGTTATAAGATGTTTCTTTTTGTGGAAACTGGCACATGCTGGTGTCGCTTCCGAGGAGTTTTTCAAATAGATTAATAATCATCTGTTTTGGGACGAACTTTATTAGTTCTCTTGTGGATTGCAGCAAGATGGTATAGCCCTAATAAGATAGGTCTAGACTTTTTAATATGTAGTAAGAATAAACTGTTATCTCTATTGACATGCAAAGTTATACATATAAATTCTTAATTGTTGCTTAGGTACTTCAAGAAATGGGCGTAAGCTTACTGGAACCAGATGAAAATGAGCTGCTTTGTGAAGCAACCACCTCTCCTGTAAGTGTTTTTAACCAAATGCATTATACATAAATATACCTTACATTATTTAATTGGCAAAAAATAATCATTAATAATTAATGATTAACGTATAACGTCTTAGCTCAGTCATGCATTACGTTAGTCCCGAGTTCGATTCGCTTCGTCCGTCCCTTTGTCACGACCTGAACTGACTGAATCCAGTTGATTATATTAAATATTTTGTATTTGGATACGAAAACACATTGTTTGTTTCCTCCACCTCCTCTTTGCTTTATAATGGTAAAGCAATCAAAGTCATTATTATCATATATAATTTGTAAGTAGTGCCTGTTTACTAAAGTGCTAAAAAGTGTTCGAAACCGCGGCTTAATAAAGAATCTATAAACTAATATATCCTTTCTCGTAAATTTGGTTTTCAAAAATTTTATTCGTATTTCAGTACCCTCCCCGATCGAAACGCTTTATTGTTAAAGTATGTCTTATTTAAAGAAATAAATAATTAGTTAATTCAATGGTGTATAATTATTTTAAAGGTTTTTAAAATTTTTGAGTTTTTTTTGGAAAATAAAAATGCTACCTCGGGACTTCTCGTTATAAACATATATCTTATAATTTTATATATTTTTTTATATCAAGGCAAAATCGCTGAAGCGAAAGCACGATATCGAGAACGTGAACCCAAATATAAACAGTGTGACGTCACCGAAGCCCCCTAGTCCGAAATACGCAAGAACCAAATTTAGTCCTAGCCCCAGTACTTCTAGGATTAGTCCGTGGAGTACTGAGAAAGGTAATATTATGTTTTCAGTTTTTATTAATAATATAATATTAATTTTATGCACCCCACTTATTTTTTATTCTATAAAACTGTTAATATATCAAAATCTACAACAACAACAACTAACTACCGACAATACAAGGGCTTAATATAAAAAAAATCCTTTAATCTAACGCTTTCTTTCTTTAAACATCTTCAAACATCTTTTCTAGCGAGACCCCTTCAAGAAATCTTTGAAACGTCCGTCCCAAACGAATATCTAGTTGAAGAGGAGACCCCATTGTCCCAAATCGGGGGCGAATACCACACTGGGACGAAATGCAGTGCCACAAGTACCGGTGGTAGGAAGCTCAGCGACACACGTAAGTTAACTGATACAAAATTATTTACTAGTGCAATTGTTTGATTGGAAAAATAATGGAGTTTAAAATTACTTCTCTATCCCTTGTTTCAAAAAAGTTCACTCAGGGATTCAAACCTACCTCATATAAGCTGCTATATCTATATGCTATTCCCTACTTTAAGAACAAGGTTCAAATTCTTCTTATTTAATTTTCAACGACATTTTATACACGTAGTCCTTAAAAATATTTGTGTCGAATTAAATTTCTGTTCACATTGTATTTTAATAGTATTCTTAATCTCATTCCTTTATTACTGAATCATGCTTGTCAATTGTCATGAGATAGTACTGCTTTGTTGACCTTCTGCCTCCAAGTTTTTCTATCCACGGCTAGCCGAAGACCATTCTATAGCCTGAGACCTGTTAACTCAGCCAATTGCTTAGTCGATCCTGAGGTCTTTCGCCTTCGACCTATCCAACAACGATTAGTACAAAATTGTCGGGTCCTCTACGTTAAATAAGACCAAAGTAGTTTAAGACTCTTCAATAGCAAATAGTTGATAGTTCTGATATACGCTTGTTCGAGGAACGACGATATTATTGTTTTAAACAATTAAATCCATGGAACAATTTATAATTATCCAGATAACCCCATAAAGAGTGACCCGGGACCCTCAAACAGTGATAGCCTGGGTTCAGATACATTCAGAACTCTCTCCGACGAAGTCATACTCGGCGTGTTCAAATGGCTGCCGAAGAGGACTCTGGCGCACTGTATGCTTGTTTGCAAACGGTTTGTAACCTTGAACCCATTGGGAATCGAGCATTTATAATATTACAGAAAAGAGGCACCCACCATTTTGAGATATTTTCGATGCTGTAAGAGGACAGGCGAGCATGAGAAATACCCCACGCATATAACATCCACTGTCCCAATTTTGGCTTTGGATATTCGGAATTCCAGACAGAAACGAAAGCGCTATTAACCTCCCGGCTTTTTCATCTACAGATGGTGGTCCTTGATGTATGGGCAAAAATGGTTCAATTCCTACAGAGTTAAATCGAATTCAAATCAATACATAATTTGCCTGAAACAAGCTAGACCTGGTAATTCTAGATGTTAAATGGTGATATATAAATTCCGTTCGGGTCCCGGATTGGTTCAATATCAACTTTTATATATTACATACAGGTGGCATAGAGTGGCCTGCGACGAGACACTATGGCAAAGACTGGATTTAGGAAATAAAACCCTGTCAAAAGACTCTATAGGAAGAATTCTTAGCAGAAAACCCATTATTCTAAGACTGGCTAGTTCAGAGGTGAGGTAATTTTTATTCTTGTAAAAATCTATTAGTTTCTATAATATATAAGCTCTCTTACCTGGCAAACGTTGTTTTGCCATATAAATAATTTCAGGAGAGGAAAAATGGATAAATTACTAAAATGGCTATTAAAAAATAAGGGTTGATCGTAGAAGGGTAAAAATTGAGGATTGTATGTATTTTTGAAATTAAAAATTTTGTCTACATATAATACAAAAAAGGGGTATGACAAATAGATGTTGGCCGATTCTCATAGATACCGGATAAGCACAAAAAATTTCATCAAAATCGGTCAAGCCGTTTCGGAGGAGTATGGCAACGAAAACTGTGACACGAGAATTGTATATATTAGATATATATATAAGCTGTCTTCTCTCCCTTTAGACTGTAATTTATTTATATTGTACCTTATATTTAGTCTAAGTACATTTCAGATAATATGTGGAAAGCTTAACTCTTTATAATATTAATATTATGTTCATTTTATATTCTGTAATACTCCTTGGGCCATTTTGTGTTTGCCATTTGCCATCTCCCTCGAAAGTAATTTATACCAATCTCACACACACCCCCCCGCCCCCTTCGCCCCTTTAGAGCTTATGCCTCTGTTATTTTGTCGGCTGGGCGTAGCCGTGGACTACAGTATGTTGAACGTTACGTTTAAATATATTTTATTTCTTACTTTAAGGTTGGCGAATGGCGCCCACAGACACTCTCGCCGACCCGGGTTCAATACCTGGACTTGAGTATGTGCGCTATAGACTGTCTAACACTTGAGAGCTTACTTGAACACTGTCCCATGCTGAGGAAGCTAAGTGTCGAAAACTTGAGACTGAGCGGACGGGCTATGGTTTTAATAGGTGTGAATTAATTTACTTTTAATTATTTAAGTATCCACGTATCCAGCCAGCTAGCCGAAATAACAACTACGACGAATCAGATGGCGCTAGCGCAGTAGATTTGACTTTGACATTAAAGGCATCCATTTTCAATCCCCCGAGGACACGCTGCATCCGAAACGTCGGTCGTTGATATATTTCGCGTTTTAAACTTTTAAATGTGTACTGCTCGCAGGTGGATTATCTTTTTATTTAAATAGACACTCAGTTACCCCAAATATCAACTACAACGACACAGATGGCGCGTAGGAGATTTGCCTTTGCTATCTGGGACACTTCGCTGACATCTTAATTTCAATCTCACCCGACGTTCATATTTCGCGTTTTAAACCGTTAAATTTGTTTTATTGAAATGTGTACTCCTCAAATACTACAAACAAATACTTACGTATCATTTCAGGTAAATGTAAATATATGGAGACATTGAATTTGACGATGTGTCAGGATATCAACGAAGAAGGTGCTAAGACAATTTTGAAGGGTTGCTCGGGGTATGTACCTTTGCCGCGTGGTATTTAGCATATAATAGTATATTACTGTTAACTTCTATTGACATCACAATTATACATATTGTATCCAGTTTTGTATATCTAAATCCTTTCAGTATGTTGGTTTAAAAGTAAAAAATTTAAGACTAAATATTTTTTATTAGATACTATTTTCATCAAATAAACAGACTGTAAAGTTGAAATATCATGAATGCCCGTGGTGGGTCGATTCTCGAACAGTTTTTAGTGTCTATATCTAAGCCAAAAGTTTTATTTCAAATTTCCGATTCCAGATTACAATCACTAAACATATCCTGGTGTAACTTGAGTGCGGACACGTTAGACGTCATAGTCGAATCGCTGCCACAGAAACTACAGAGGCTGAATTTCAGTGGCGCCCGGCAGATGACAAATGAGAGTGAGACAATTTTGTTGTTTGTATTGAAATCACAAATCATTAATTTACATCTTGATGAATAATCTATTCTAATATATAAAGCTGAAGAATTTGTTTGTTTAAACACGCTCATCTCAAGAACTATTGGTACGAACATTTACCAAGAAAGAGGTTAGGCTATAGAACATCACGCTGAGACCAATAGGAGCGAACAATGGGAAATGTGGAAAAAGGGGGGAGAGTTATTCATATTTGAGGGTTTCCGTCGCGTACACTGCGACAGTTCAAGATAGCCAAAAAATATGTATGAAAGAGTTATTCCTCTTTCAATTATTTTAAAAAATGTCAACGACATTATACGTGTATCTTTTAAGATTAACTAATAAGAATGGAAAGAAAAGGCGAATTGTCACCCCATGACCCCCCCCTCCCCCCCTGGATCTGCCGTTGCTCTTGAAGCATGGTTGTCAGGTAGACTTAGAAATTAATTTTTACAGTGGTGGCATCGCTAGTGGAACAATGCCCTCGGTTACTGGAGTTGGATCTATCGGACTGTTCGCTGCTCGGAAGAAACGCGCTCATCTCCTTACTGCCGCTGTCCCGGCTGGAGCATTTAGCCCTCAGCAGATGCTACTTGCTACCGCCACACACTCTTACGTGAGTAAATATTTTTGGAAGAAAAACAATGTAATGTTTGTGTTTAAATAAAACTTGCAATTATTTTATTGCAATTCTTGATCCCGCTTGTTAGCGAAAGTAAGCAGAAGTTATATCCCCCCTCCCCCCCTTTGCCCTCTTTTAAGTTATGGTTAAACATTCGTATGTGTACTTTATTTATATACCCTTACATTTAGCTAAGCACTTAATACTGGTTTTATAATCACCATCCAGTCAACCCCTCCCAGGTTATAAAACATAAGAACCTCTTTATTTCTTACATAAATAATAATTATTTTAGGAAGCTCAGCAGTATGACGGCCCTTCAATATTTGGAAGTATGGGGGATGCTACCCACCACTTCACTCAACGTGCTAAAATCAACACTGCCAGCTATACAAATCAACCAATTTATGTTTAGGTTAGTAAAACAAACTGCGATTAAAAGGGGTCTAGTACATTAATAGGTACCCTAAGACTAAAAATTATCACTTTGAAATTACAGTGTAAACTCCATGTAACGTCACTCTATTTAACGACAAACTCTCTTAAGCGTCGAAATTAAATGGCTTTGGTTGGTTTAGCTTGTTTTTCATACAATGTTTCTTCTCTCCATTTAACGACAACTCTCTATAACGCCATAAAATGCACAGTCCCTTCAGTGTCGCTATATAGAGTTTACACTGTATATTGAAACTAAAGTAAACCAAAAAATTATAACTTTTTAAAATAACGGTCCCGTTACTAGAGGTCTAAGTAGCCCCTCTTTAAGCACTTCAATGGTCTCTGAAAAGAAACCGGAACGATATTTATCATTTCAACGGTTTAAAACGCGATAAATATTAGTTAAACTTATTTTAACTACAGCTCGACGTTTCGGATACTTTGCAGCAACCGTGGTCACGGGGAGACCTAAATATTTATCCTTTTTTTTTTAAATATAAGAATTGAATACAACCACATCAAAAGCATGTTAAGTTCTTATTTTCTCTTTTTTTTTTGTTTTTACAGTGCTATCGCCCGTCCCACAGTTGGAACTAGGCGAACTTCAATATGGGGCTTAAGAACAAGAGACTGATTTTTAAATAAAAGTATATACATAGGAAAGGGAAGGAAGTATTTTGTATAAATAAGGAATATAAATTGAACAATCTCACTTAAAAGGATCCAATGATTGGCGAAAAGAATGATGTCCAACGATAAAAAGTCATGACAAATTTAAGACTAACATGACAAGATAAAGGTGTCTAAATGAGGCTGCTAGAGGCAGAGTACCCTAATCACAAAGAAACATGATTTTCAATAAGGAGAAATAAAATGTTGCCTATAGTTTACGCGAGTAGTACACATTTAAATAAAACACTTTAACAATTTAAAACGCGATATTAGTTGAACTTATTAAAAAAAATATTTTTAACTTCGGCCCGACGGTTCGGATGCTATGCAGCAGCCGGGTACACGTCGGGCTGTAGTTGGAATAATTTCCAAATAAGTTCAACGAATATATCGCGTTTTAAACCGTCGAAGTTTATTTAAATTAAATGTATGCAATTAACATAGGTGAAAATGATTTTGTCTTATTATTTGTGTAAAAATTATAACAATTTTCGGTTACTGTGCTCTTGTAGAACATTTTTGGACTCTTCGAGTCAAATGATGAAACTGCAGTTAGGCTACTCTGTCTCTGGATGAAATTGCAGTTAGGCTACTCTGTCTCAAACGTAATCAAAAGATCATAATATTCTATCCAATTGATTGCTTTAAAAGTGTAGATCGAAGTTGTGATTTTTTCTTTAAGCTAAAAGCATTACCTCATGTACATAATACAAGGCACATCTAGTATGTATTTCTTAATTTTCTAACTGTCCAGTGTATTTAAGTGACCAGAAGGCATTTAATATTCAAATCTAATTTAAAAAGAGATAAATTATATAATTATTTGTCAATATAGGGTAAACATTTTGACCGAAGTTCTGTTTCTATTCAAAATTCTTTCAAAGTTCTATGTATGTAAGAAACATAAAACACCATGGTATGTATAAACGAATGATATAAATCAGGCCTCTCCTAATTTTGACTAGTACTTGACACTATATTTTGAGTTTACAGTAAATCTTATATACCGTTCAAAATACTTACTACTAAGTTTTGTTATTATTAAATATTTTTCTATAAAATACTAAATTTGATCTTTGATAAAAAAACTAACTAGAAGTTTTGGCAACCCTACTAATAAGCCTACGAGCCTAATGATAAGCTACTATTATGAGTCGACATTAACTTTAGCACTACAATAAAAAACAATTACAAACTACCCTCCTAGGTTAGTTTTTCAATTATATCATCCGTCTTCTTAAAAAAAATTCGTTATTTAGAGATTTCTTAAATTCAATATATTTTATATAAGTATTGCTGGAAAGGTATTTGAAATAAAATCATATTTCTTTAAGTTACTAGAAAAATATATTACTTTAAGTAAAGAAACAGATAACACTTAATTTATTTGTTTTTTCCTTTTTATAATGTTAGAGTTTGTTTTATTTGTTGTGGGTGGAGTCGGTTTAAAAGTATGGGTTAATACTTTTAGAGTTGTTTAATAACACTTTAAATACGCTTTTTTAAATCTGTATTTAAACGAAATATATCTTTAGAAATATAATTAAATTTGTTGTAAAATGTAAACATATCAGGATGTATTTAATAGCGTGTAAGCATAATTTTGTATAAACTGCTTAAATAAAGCAATTTATTATATATCTTGTATTATTACAATTGCAAATATAATTAAGTTCAATTATGTATTTCTCTCGTTTGAAACAGTTTAAAATGTGAAAAAGTGTATATTTCTTGGTTTCAGTGTTTACAATTCAGAAGTTTTTTTTGTAATATTATATTATACATATTAACGTAGCGTAAATTTAAAAAAAATGTCCAATCTAATTAAAAATATTAACTGTACAAATAATTATTATTTTAAATTTATCTAACTGATATCAAAGTAGAGGTACAATATCGTATGATCAGAGATCTTTAGGATTTACCACCAGTTATATTTATAACATGAAACTACCTACTTATGAATGTTGATGTTTTTGTCTGTTTGTTTCAATTTGTTCAAACAAAATAGATTTTTTATCTATACTCTTCATGTTCACCACTGGGTATAGTGTGAGTGATAAGTAATAATAGTAATAGTTCTTAGAGCTTTGTACCCCAACATACCAAAAAATGCTCTTAGGATCTTAATTAGTACTCTGACAAAACAATAGCAAAATAGATAAGGAAAATAAAAAAATTTCAATGTCATTTATTTGTGAAGACAACTTAGTGCAACATAGTACAGAAGTTAATGCTTCATTTTTAATTTAAATAAAAATAGAGCTATTTAGTCACATTTACTGTTTCATATCGCAAATGTGTCCTGATCAATATGTAATTGAGTTATAGATCAAAAAAATATGTTCTAATTGAATTTTTTTTGCAATATTTACATTTTTGGAAGTATGATATGAAAAATGCATATGGAATATTGTAGAAAGCTTACAAATTTAATTTTTTTTTTCATCTCCTAATACATTTTTACAATACATAGTCAACAATTTTTTATAAACATTATATCTATTTAAAACTTCTCTTAGCTTTCTGTTCAGCCGCGTCACTAGCTTGAACAAATGTGCGTTTCAACTTATTCTTTCTGCTTTCCTTGTACTTAGCTGATACTGTTTCAGCCAGTTTAGCGATTTTTTTCATAGTCTCTTGCGGGTATCTGTAAAAATTTAAACAAATTATTACAAGTATAAATTAACAGACATCTAGTAATTTTACAATGGTTTATGGGAAATATATATTATAAAAAAATTACATTAAATATTCTATCCGTCTATGAGTAAAAATTCTTGAGATGGCCAAATACCAGTTCTAATATGAATAGGATCAGATTCAGATTACAATTTTAACATAATTTAAGAGTTTGTTGCTAACGGTAGAACATTTAACATTTATAGAACATAGAGCATATAGGTAACATTTTCTAGTCTATCGTCTTATGACAAAGTAATCTTCAGTTTGATACCTGCATCCTAAAAATTCGATATTAGTGTACAATTGAGCGAGTGTTATAAGTTCTTGTTCTTCAAAATTGTCTTTATGTTCCATCATGAAGCTGCGACGTACTTGCCACTGCTCATCGGATTCATGTTCACTGCGAAGTGAGTCAACATCTATTAAAGGTTTCATCTCTGGAATACAAAATTTGGATTACAAAACAGAAGTAAAGACTTTACACGGACAGAAGGCGAACATTATACCATAGGACCAATACACAACCTATGGTACTGCGTGCACTTATTTCGCCTTCTCTTACAGATAGTAACAAGCTTTTTAATAATATTGCGGCCATCATCATCATTAACTTAAAAAGATATTTATAACTGGCTCCATATATTTTATAAAAGAATAACAAACAGTGCGGAGTACTAAAATAAGTTTTCCTTACCTTTTCAATAATTGTTCTACTGAAGGCCGAGGTGGAATTGTGTGTTAATAAGAGCAGTCTTAAATTTAAATATTTATATATGATAGTTCCATTTATTATTTAAACGTTTTTAATTAAAAGAAAATATTATTGACATGGTGGCAAACAAAACAACTCTTCACGATTGTAGAAGTGACATTATGCACCCAAATATCACAGACTAAATCTTTTTCTTTATTTCATGACCTATATACGAGTCTTTCTGTTTAAAAACATAAATATGTAATAAATTAAATTAATAGGTGTGATACATTAAAAACAATATTATTTACAAAATTTTTACGATATCCTGAATGTACTTGCAAATTACTATTTGAGAAAAAGCACAGTTAATCAGTCGTGTGTCATTTGATTATATATATTGTAGTTGTTATTTTTGCGTAGTGGCAATATTAAAACCACCTGTAATACAATACGACTAAATACAATAGGTACGAAGTCGTATTTAAACCAATAGTGAGAACTTTGTTCCCTTTATAAAACACAACTGTTTTAATAAGCCGTGTTATAGTACAGATGTTTGAAATCCAATGTTTTGTTGTTTTCAACAGTTAATACCTACATTACCGAGTTAATTTTATTAACAACATTTGAAGGTAGATTCAAATAATACTATAAATTAAATGGTGATCCATCCTTTTGAATGTGATTGATGACAATACGGTAAGTTTATTTATAGGCGCTATATCGCACTATCTGTTTACACGAATAAAATTATACTAATTGTTTTCAGTTTATACGATGGCATTTTCAATACGAAACATAATATCTAATATTTCTTACTTTAAAAAACCTGAGGAGTCTGACGGCCCACGTAAGATGCGTAGAAACACTTATGTATTGGAGAAATCTAGTTTTGAGGATTTAGAACCGGATTCCACCTCCAAACAATATAACAGCTTGCAATTACCAGATTCCGTAAAGAAGTTCGTTGCAAAAAAGACATCTTTGTCCGACACAGATATTCTCAACTTAGCTGATACACCGTTACGCCACAAGCGCCGCAGATGTAAGAAACTAAAAGTGGACATTCAGAAAGCAAGTCAGTCGATGAACCAGCTCGATCTTAATATTGAGAACACGCCGAAACATGTCCTACTAGAAAGCAAAACTTCAGACAGCTTCAGCGATAGATTCAAAGGCTTTGATTTTAACAAATCCTTTGATATCTATGATGAGATATCTGACATTGCTTCTTCTATTGAAGAGGAGGAATTGGTTGATTCTCTCTCCGAGCGCTCCAGCACTCCTAAGTCCCCCAGATTGTGTAGAAAAGTCAGGCCAGCCAGTGATGACAGTCACATACCATCGACAACACCCGAATCATTTGCTGATGTTGAGCTGGATAAAAATGAAGAACAAAGAATGGAATTGCTTTTAAATTATCAAATGAAACTAGAGAAATTAGACTGCTTTCTTAAGAAGATATTCAATGAATTCCAATTTCATATTGAAGTGTCTAAAGTCTTTCAGTCTCGGTCAGTTGTAACTGCACTCCCCGGCTCCGATTTCAGCAGCATTCCCAAGCAACTTGGGGATGTTGTTGTTGATAGTGTCGATTTGCAGAGCTTGAATTCATCCGGCTGCTGGAACATCATTATGGAAAAAGAGGATTACCAAACAAAAGCTAAAGTTCGCAAACAACTCTTGTCTATTAAAACCTCTATAGAAGGTTTTGTCCATTCCCATCTCAATAATAGTGTTACCAACAAATATGTGCTAAAGAGGGAACCCCACAAACGTTACAAGAAAAAGCAAAAGTATTATGATTTCCCCGATTTCCGTGATGCGTTTTTGAACCTTTTCTCGGGAGAAACTTATGAAGATACTAACTGTGCTTGCACATGTCATTCCCAGGCCGACTCTGGTCTGACAAGCAAAACACCAGAACATTCCACCTCAATATCGTCATCTATTGGCAACTTTAGCTTAGACACATCAAAATTGACTGCATACTCGGAATCTTTGGATCAAGTGATCAGCTATAACAGTTTTCAGGATTCTCTATCAAGCATGTTGCTGCAAAAGGCTACTATTGAGAGAATTACCTTTTACATACAAGTACATAGCATTCAGTTGCAGTGCGCAAACTTTGAAGTGAAGAATTCTATATTATTCTACTGCCCCTCATGTAAGACATCAGAGAATGATGAAAATGACTTACTGAAACACATTCTAAGTCAGACACACTGTGAAAAAATACATTTTCTATATAAAACGGCTTATATAAAGAAATGTGTATCTAGTGGTAAGGAAATACAACCAAGTACAGTGTTAAACCCCATGACGATGTATAGGGATGATAATAAAATAGTCTGCTTCGGTGATGCTCTGTACGCGTGTACTTTTTGTTTTGAAAATTTGATTGTTGGTGAGTCGGTTTTGATGGCACATTGTGCTGACCCCGAGCATGTAGAACGGAGGGAGAAGTTCTTTGAAATAATCGATTGATGGGTTATAAGCACTTGCGATGTAGAGATTAAATCCATAGAACAGAAAAATTAATATACTGGTTACAATCTCAAATGATGGCTATCACAAATTATGAATAGTTCGTCAAGAGAATGTCAAAGTTTTATGATATTATATCAGTTAAAAAAAAATCCTTTATATGGCATATATGAAATGAATTTTCAATTACTATTCAGAATAATAAATTTAATGATTCAAATTAATAAGACATTTGAGAAATAGAACAAAGAAAAGCTTAAACGCTTTTGTCAAGAACTGGTGAATTGGTAGTCTTGTGGATTTAATAGCAAGTGCTAATCAGTTAGCTGTATGGGAATCGCCCAAATAGTAAAACAGTTCTTATTACTGATTACCGAAGTTTATCAGAATTAATATGTTGATAAAAGGAAACCAATCAAATGTAGTTATTGACAATATTTAAAAGCTATACCTGAAAATGATAATTACAAGAGTTATTTACAAGTTTCATAATTATATATATTTCTTATAATTAGGTAAAAAATTATTGATTTTAGTTATAAAATTGATAGATTGCATGGATAATGAGAATTGACAATTAACCTCTATCGTACCTCCTATCTCTTTCTATAATTGACTGTCTCTTTCTATTTATATTTCTATTGTTGACTAATCTGATGATTTTTTTTTCAAACTACATAAAATATAATTTTGATGTTCAGTGTGCAATCTTGCCATTTTAGGTGCTTATATATTTTATGATAGAAACAATATTATATACTTACAGGGTGTTTATAATTTACATGATTATTATTGACATGCTTATCTATTATTAAAACAATAACATTTGCGAATTTTCTTTACGCACATTCAACGCTGTGTTTTTTGTCTTAGAACGATTGTTTTTAATGTAATCTTAATGTAATTGTAAGTTAGTTATTACTGCTGTTAAATTGTTACTAAATTCGATCTCAATTGTCAAATTACAACGAAAGACTGATTCTTGTATGTTCTTAAAACACATAGTGCTAAGGGAAATTTCAATTTAAGAGGTATTTTTTGATCTTCCACGTTTTTTTACACTTTACACAACAAACTTCCATTTTTACTAGAATTTTTATTTAGTGTAGTTTATGTAGTAACTTTAATTTAATACTTAAATGTAATTTTTTATGTAAACCACATTTAATCATGTCTTGTTTCACGAAGAAACTCGACCGTTTAGTGATTTTCATTATAACGCGCGTAAAAGTTTAAAATAATGTTTATTTTTCTAAGCAAACTAAGCATTCTTGTATTCGAAGCAAGGTTTTGCTTAAAATTTAGTGAGTTTGAATTCTAGAAATAAATGTAATTGTAAGTCTGTTATACACATAAAAATGTCGGAATTTATATTGTAATGGTGCTTTTGTTGGATTCAAAAATACTTTATAAAGAACTCATGAAAAATGGCATGTTTAAGGTACTTTCAAGGGTTGATTTTTTAGTTGAATTTTTTCAGGAACAAAATACTAGGGACTTAATTTTTACAAGTTAGACAATTAAGAGAAATTATTTTTAAGCTTAGAATAATGCGTCGTTTCTCTGCTAGTTAACGAGATACGGTTGCAAAAAAAAGTCTGTCCAAAATATTATTACCTGTGAGTAAACTTCTCATGTGTTGCATTAAAAAGAATCTGTGATTTGTTAACAGTGTTCAAAAAGCGTCTACGCAGAATTTTATACAATGATGGTAATCTTTTACATTTCTACAACAATAGAAACGTTCTATCCATATAACGTTTTGTAAAATTCTGTATTGATGTGAAATATTGTGCTTTAACTGTCTGTGATCAAATTTTGGCTTGAAAAATATTAAATTTATGCAGTTTGAACGATTTTAGTTTTATTAAAGCTGTTCTGGGGAAAATTAGAATGTTTCCTCTTTAAATGTTTAAAAAACCTCCACGGAAGCAAATGTCTTTTAAAGTTGTAAAGTGTGTAGTAGTTGTCTGATAAACGACCGTTTTCAATAATCTACTTACAAGCAAATAGCTTAATTTGGTAGTTGTTCTACTACAGAGGCAGTTCATAGACTAAGTAACCTTGGTATGGATTTTAAATAAAACAACATCTAGGATTTAATGAATATAATCATAATCGACAATGAAGGTTCTAATCTGCTTAGCTTTTACCTTAACGATAAAACCATCGTCGTTTACTTCATTCACTACATCGTTCGCTTCGTCGCCGGTGATATAGCTATCGTAATGCCTATTGAAATTTTTAACAAACGGTTTTTCCGTATTCCAGGTCCACTTCACTTTGTCAACTCTCTGATTTGCCGCTAACGTCGTTTCTGTGAAGGTACGTATATGTATATTGTTCAATAATTCTCTCAAATCGATAGCAACCGTTGAACTATCCGATTTTTCGAGGTAGTTCTCCAGCCGGATTAATAATTTAGTTGTCGACCACGGTTCTAACGTCAATAGGTGCAAGCCGGATGGCAATTCGGTTTTCAATCCTTCGAAATGATTGTTCAGCGCCAACCAATCTGTGTAATCTATATTTTTCGCATCAGAAACGAAAACTATAGGTTGTAAGTGCATTTCTAGGATCTCCTTTTGCTTGTCAACTTCGAAACCGTTGTTACCAAACAGAACGCGATGCTGACCGCGCACTACCAAGCCTACACCGTTCGCCGTTTCATTTAGGGCTTCGCCCACACCGAACGCGTCGTCGTGCAGGAGCCTTCTGTGCAGCATCAGCTCCATTTGTCCCTCTTCCAATGAGGAACCGCCTTGGGACCTATCTGTCAATACGGATAGTTTAGTATTATCATCTTCTATGTACATTACGTTCGTTACCGGGTAATAGTTGCCGGCCACCGGTTCTTCTAATGTCAAATTCCACTGCGGCCGTTCGTTCAATTTTCGTTTCAACACTTGTCGCCCGTTGGAGTCGGTGTAAAAGATACCGTTATTCACTAGATTGGATTCATAGCGAACGATATATTCTTTGCCGATGTTATCTGATATATCTATCGGGCCGACTATATAGTCGATTTCGAAGTATTTCTTTTCGAAATAAATTCGGACGTTTGCTGCTAAATTTCGATCACTCTCAATCCAGAGTTCCTGGACGACTGGGCCTTTAGGATTGGCGATCGTTTTGAAGGACATGGATTGAGGTCGGCTCGTCTCCGGTCTGAAGATATAAGCGCCAGATGAACGTTGCGATGGTTTTGTGTTGTTGCCGACACAACCGGTCCAATAGTAAAATTGAATTTTCAAGTTGATCGTACGATCGGGGAGAATTAAGTGAGTGATTTCGCCGTTACTGTCCAGGCGAAGCTTGAAATGCTGAAAACGATATTACATTATTGTTAGATTTTTAATACCCTTTAAATTTAGGAAAAAAAAACTATAAAAATATATAAACATTAGGAATATAGAACAAGTCCCAACTTAGGTAATTTATATACTCGATTCGATAAGTTCGATTCCAAAGGACGCAAAAGTATTAAATCAAATATTTATGAATTTGTTCTAAAATATTTCTTTGCCTTATGGGCTATATAATCAAAAATTTGATTTAAAATATGTTCTTCACTCGCCTCATTTTCCATATAACTCTCAGCTTCTCTCTCCACGATCCTGGGTTCATCGGATAGCATCCTCATCTCTTCTTCATTCATATAGGGGTATCCACGCTTATTCAGAACTCTTTCTACGCCAACCCTCAATTTTTCCATTTCGTCGAAAAATTCTTTCGAACTATCTTTATCCTTTAACACGTTCCAATCTATCATACCTAACTCTGCTGGATTTTTTATCACTTCTCCGTCATCAACCGTGAAATCATCATCTGTACGATCTCTTATTTCACCCTTTCCAAAAATGTCCTTCGCTCCATTACTCTTTTCAAAATTCATCTTTGCTTCATCATCGTCTTTAGTGATTTCTGCGTTCTTTATAACAATTTGTACGTTATCTTTAATGTCTTTAAAGTAGTCGTTTACATTTAAATAGAAATCTTTGGTTCGTTCCGTATTTCTTTTCACGATTTTAGCAGTTTTCTTAATGTAAAACGTTTTTACTCCTAGTGGGTGTAAATGCGCCATAAACACAATTTCGTGGGTGGCTTCCGATTTTCTCGTAGGTATCTTTTTGACAGATTCCGGTATCTTTATCAATTGTGATGTTATTTCTTCGCCTGTAAAAAAAGTGAAGCTTTATGATAACATTATGTTCAATGTTCGTTCTTAATTATTTTCTCGTCAAAGGACTGGAATTTAAAAGTACTTTTTTTTGGTTCTCCCTTTAATAAGTTTTCTTTGTAAGTTTCTACACAAATAAATAATTAATTTTAATAAACAGTTTATTTTAGAAATAAGTATTTTACAAAATATATATCGGCGCAAAACAGGCGATTCGTTGCGTCATCGCTGCACGTGTTCCTAACGGCGTAAACAAGTGACTCACGTCGGTCGCTCCACTGAAATCCCCCACTACGTGCTTATATAAGGCCGTCCGTTGTAGCGCAGGACACTTTTGGAAGGACGGCGCTCTGAGAGCGAACGTCTAGTCTATAGCTATTTTTATTATTCAATTATAAAAGTGTTTCAATAGTAAAAATGGACCACTCTAACAATATTGACAATTATGACGTCGGTGCTGCCGACGTCACCAATTTTAAAAACAATTCTGGATCACATACTTCGACATCAGAAGTGGGATTACCTACCTTCTCCGCTCAATAGCCTGATACAAGGAAATTACATACTGGAAATGGCAATGATGGAATACCGATGGAAACCTTAGCTCCAACACTTGCACTTTGTCAAAAAAGAAACTCAAGAGTTAGAAACCTTGGCAGTGGATTCATCGATGGTGGACATTTCTACAAAATTATGATTTCGATATTGAATATCACAAGGGTTCAGGGGTAAGAACCCAGCAGAATTTACAGTTAATGTAATGACCTATAACCTTGTCTGGTTTAAAATTAAAAAGAAAAACGACGTGATGAAGCGCTATGGACTGTGATGGATGCTTTTCAGTGGATTTGTTTAAACTAATTCCATACTGGATTGAAGTATCAAGTTTAATAAAAAAATTTAGGACAGCTGGTTTATTAACCTGAATACAATAATTCGGCAATTGGTGGATAATTGTGTTGTATGCAGATCGTCAAAATACACCTGATTCAAAAACCGAATACTCAATTTCAACCAACAAAAATTCAGAAGGTACCTTGGCCGCATTGAAGCGTGTGCAGTATTTGGTGCTACAATACAAATAATCGTTGACGGTCGAAGATAAGGTTCTGGGCGAATTTAAAAACTATTGTGACCATTCAAGTATGGAAATGCAATAGCCCTAATCATATCAGGTATCAGCCGAGCAAAATGGGCATGTTGAATGCGTAGTTGCTACAGTAAACCGGATCAACCATGATGAAAAAAAAAACTATAAAACGGAAGAATGGCACACAACATTGAAGGAACTTCTGTTACCACTAAACTGCACTCCTTATCGAATTACTGCAGTAACTTTTCTTACATTAATTACTCAACGCAAACATTGCGTGCCTTTCGAGTTCCTCACACCTTGTTGAAAAGGTGATGAGTAGATGTCATCTACGAAAAGTCACCGCGCGCTCCACAACCTGGCGGTACCACCCAGATGGCCGTATCGCCTCCAGATTAAACTGCTGGACCTTCGGGCATTACAGTGGCGACTTCTCGCACACCTGGTGCTGCACAACAAGTTGCTATGCCCGAACAGTCTTCAGATTGAGAGAATCTGACAAATCCCGGTGAGTTCCATTCAATCTGTTAACCTAGCGAGGCGCAATACTTATTCTTCGCTTCATTTAGTCCTTTGACTAATCCTAATGATATTATTGCTCTTAGCGACTGATCGTTAATGAGTCAATCATAAATATTATGTGAAAAGATGCACGTTGGGGTATTGGAGCCCACCAACGGCCAAAAAAAAAAAAAAATAATAATAATAATGTGAAAAGATGCACGTTGGGGTATTGGAGCCCACCAACGGCCAGCGGTAGCGAAATCCTATCCAAAAAAAATAATAATTTATTCCCCTGTGTCCGCGGCGCTCAGGACCGCCTAGATCACAGCATCGACCTAGTCAAATCATCCTTTAGAGCCTCTGCTTTATGCAGCATCGCCCTGTCTCCAACCTATCCTTACCATGTGTTGTCTATAATTGTATTCGCTATCCGCCTACACATTAAAAATACGAAACTGTTGTCATGTGGAATGAGCAGTTCAATAAAATTAAAAATACGAAACTGTTGTCATGTGAAATGAGCAGTTCAATAAAATTAAAAATACGAAACTGTTGTCATGTGGAATGAGCAGTTCAATAAAATTAAAAATACGAAACTGTTGTCTTGTGGGATGAACAGTTCAATAAAATTAAAAATACGAAACTGTTGTCATGTGGAATGAGCAGTTCAATAAAATAAAAATATAAGATCACCAATATCATTAGTCCTTAACTGTTGTCATGTGGAATGAGCAGTTTACTTAAATAAGTCACCGTTTACAATATCAATGATTTAAACTGTTGTCATGTGGAATGAACAGTTAATTAAAATGACCTTTTACCAATATAATTTGTCACTGTAACTATTGTGATGTGTTACACGACAATAATACCACAAGGTACACGACTTTGGTACCACAGAGTGCGTGACTTTGGTGTCACAGTGTACGTGACAACATAACACTACAGTATACACTAAACTCAGTCAGATATGAATCTTATTGCTGACCATAATAATTATTAGCAACCTGGTTCACAGATACCAATCTCAAAGATTAAAATTTACCAGTTTCAGAAATTAATAATCATCAGTAAAACACCAAAACGGCTAGTGCAGAGCGCGCACAGCCGGTCAGGATGGTCGTATCGGCGCAAAACAGGCGATTCGTTGCGTCATCGCTGCACGTGTTCCTAACGGCGTAAACAAGTGACTCACGTCGGTCGCTCCACTGAAATCCCCCACTACGTGCTTATATAAGGCCGTCCGTTGTAGCGCAGGACACTTTTGGAAGGACGGCGCTCTGAGAGCGAACGTCTAGTCTATAGCTATTTTTATTATTCAATTATAAAAGTGTTTCAATAGTAAAAATGGACCACTCTAACAATATTGACAATTATGACGTCGGTGCTGCCGACGTCACCAATTTTAAAAACAATTCTGGATCACATACTTCGACATATATGATATTGAGGTTGTAAAACACGCTAACGAAGGGTGCTAAGAAATTTCCATATTTACGTGCGTGAAATTGTGGACATCTCCATAAAATAATTCAGCACGTTATGTTTATTATTGTTATGTTAATTTACAGTTAGAGTTCAGAACGAGATTCATATGGAAATTGTTTAATTATTATTTATCTTTTTATGGTAAACAAGTTCTGTTTCAGTTTGTAGTCAGGTTATTTATACAATTTTGTTTAATTTTTATATTATATAGACGTATATATACTAACCATTAGGCGCGATAACGGAATATTTTCCTTCCTTAACTGGGACTCGAATCGGGTGTCTTACGTTCCATCCGAGCGGGTTGTACATTGTCACCTGAAGAATAGAAGACTTATTAAAAATAAACGCTCCCTATCTATAATCAATTTTCATCACATTTCTTTGTAAGCAAACACACAACACGAGCGAAGTTTTCTGGAGCTACTCTCTGTGTAGTACTCGCGTAAACTACAGACAATATTTGACGCAATCCAAGAAGAATTGCCAAAAAATATTTGAGTCTAATAAATCAGAAAGTGGTTAAAGCAGTAGTCGGTGTTATTCTTAGTATTCAAAACTATTTATTAAAGTAATTCGGAGACAAGGATGAAATCTGCGACAGAAAGCGTACTGTACTGTACTTATTACTGTTCCTGTGCTACTGTGCTCTGTCACTTTATAATAGGTGTCTATATAACTGAAAAAACTTGAATGTCTATTTATGTAAATACATTTTTAAGATTATAATTAATTTAGCATGTAATTGTTTTTGTTTACTTAAAATGTCAAGTTAGAAAAAATACAAGATATAATGTAGTGGTCACGGTAGGGTAGACGATTCAAGTTCCGTGTGTAGTCGACAATTTTCATTATTTATAAAATACATAATTAAAGCTTGCACTAACCACAAATTGGTCGCTTTTCTCTGAAACTTCGCAGCTGGACTCATTAAAGCGACATCTCTTGTACGAAAACAGAGGCAATGATGCATTCGGCTTTGTTACCTTACTGTCAACAGGAATAGGATGTTTGAGTAAGGGGTTGTCCATTAATTACGTGAGGCTTGAAGGCCCCCCCCTTCAAGCTTGGGGGTTGATAAAAATCACGAAAATAACACAAGGGGGAGGGGGGGTATAGTAGTAATATATATCGTGTATTTATTTTTTCGTCAAAGGCACGATTTTTAAACAAATGGTGTAGGTGTAGGTACTAAAAATACACGTGATGTTGAGAAGGGGGAAGGGGGTGGTCTGAAACCTCACTACGTATCACCATTGGGGGAGGGGGGGGGGGGGGGTAAAAATTCTAAAAAAAAAGGCCACGTGATTAATGGACAACCCCTAAAGTATCCGTGTACCTTTACCGTGTTACCTTACCGTGTACTTTTTAACTTATGACGAGCAACATATGGCCAATGATCAACGGGTCGCAGCTTCGATCTCCATCGGGTCGTCTGGAATCTGGATATTAAATGGGTGGTAGGAATATCGAAATTCCTTAGGGTCCCACGTCCACAGTTAAAAGAGCCATAAAGTATAATCGGGTTTCGGTTGTTATATGGCTGGGGATATCACTGATCACCGAGTGAACCTCGTGCCTGTCTTTCCTCCTCTATCATAAGACATATTGTGTTGCTTTAAAAATTCTAAAAAATCTTAAAAAAAAACTCGACTAAGAGACTTTGCAACACAAAGGACGTTTTTTGAAAAAAATAATAATGACTCACTTAAAAGCCTGGTCAGCTATAATACTAGCATCTCGTATGGCCGAGTCCAAGATCCTCTCATAGTCGTGAGCCACGTGTTCCTTTTCAGTTCCTGTCACTGCGTCGTGGTGCTGCATTATACCTGGCCACATTAAATATGGAAGCATAATATAACGGGTATGATTACTTAGTACGTGAAGACTTGAAATGAAATTTGGCGACAAAAGAAGTGCCGGCAAGTTTCTTGCCAGTTTTTCTTCTAATATAAATTTAAATTCTTTAGTTTTGCGACGTTGATAGGTGTACCGAGTTACCTATGTGAATAAATGATTTTTGACTTAGACTTTGACTGTCAAGTCTCAACAGTTTTCATAGTAATTTAGATTCTCCACTTACCCATCGCGCTGCGAAGTTCATTAAGAACAAACTTATTATGCTCTTCCAAATTGGTAAGGACCTGCAGCTGTTCTAATACCTGGTGAAGCAATATTTTATTAAAAAAATACTTGCTTCTACTTAACGTTTGAAAGCGCAAAGTATACGTAAAACATGAATGTGATACATTTCGCGTTTTTAACAATGACCCTTGACCAACGCTTTGCAGCCTTGGAGGGGACTACTGTCTACTACTATAACTTCTTCTTCGCATATACTTGTGTTAGCTCAAAACCAGTTATGAGTTGGTGTAATATTATGTTTTGCAACCAATTACAATTGTCAATTCGTACTTAATCACATATAATATTTGTGTTTTCCCTTGCGTAAATAAATGTCTTACACCTTTATATTTTCAACCCTATGTGGATTACCTGAAGGTAGTTATTTCCTAATCTCTCAAAGTACTTAGTCGTAGGTCTCGATGTGAAATAGCCGGTCCAGTATGCTGTAGGATCGCTTGCGTAGGGAAAGAAATCGTCCTGTTTAACTGGCAGCGTAGGACTGGAAGTACATTGATTGATTAGTAATTTATCAAAACTTATGTCTGTGGGGCCGATAAGTATGGCGCCTTTAATATCAAAGTTGGCTATGTGCTATAATACATCACGCTGCAAAAAATAGGAGTGAAAAATAGTTGAATTTGAGGAAAAGTCGGGGAAAATTATTGAACTTTGAGGGTTTCCTTTGCGTGCGCTGCGAAAACGGTTCAAGATAGCTAAAAGATATGTGCCTATAGAAGAATGATTCCTCTTTAGAGGGTCTACAAAAATATTGGCGACAGTAGTTAAGATCTTTCAAGATTAGTTTGCAAGAACAACGGGACGCGACCGATGTTGTGAATAATAGCTATAATTTATAATAGATGAGGACGAGGTTTGCAGAACAAATCATTTTACGTGGACTAAGTAGCTTGTTTTATTGTAGAACTGCTTTATTCTTCTTTTCACTAATCCTTAATTGCTTGCTTTTCATGAGCACAAAGCTTGTTAACCGGCTGCCTAAATTCCGTCCTTACGTTCATAGAATGGGAATGCTGAGACGCCTCAGCTACGTCATCTGGTAGTTAAAAGCTCTCGGGCTACTTACTTCGTGTCCTTCACAGCCTTCAAATAGCAGTCAGGTGTGGAATAGAAGAGTTTTATGTTAAGACCGTCTTTGGCTGCTTTCATGTTTGCGTATCTGAAAACGTGATTGTGTATATTATTACTTGTAAAAAAATATTAAAAAATACTTCTTATTTTATTATACTATATTTCGGAAGCTACAAAAAACAAACAAAGAGTTGCTTAATTTGGGCATGCACGTAGGGCAAATAATGAAATATTCAACATATAATATAACGTCATAAATCCGAGTTGTGCGCATGCGCTTATCTTAGTGTAAAATCAATTCTATAAAATTTCAGCATGCTAAAATCCCGTTAAAAAACTGATGCGATAAAACCAGTTATCAACTAATTAATATCAAAATATCAAATAAAGTACAAAGTGCTATTTAAGTATAACAGCCCTAGGCACTGAAGCTTTTTATTGTGTTCTGTCTTTCCAGTCTTCAATTGCGTGTATACTTTATTTTCTTATCAAGTAGTTAAAAGAACGCTGTCACTTAGTTTTTCCTTTAGCATGGTTAGCTAGTAATTTGTATATTAGTTCTATTAGTATGGAAGCTAAAATGTTAAATTATTAATTAAAGCTTTATGTTGTGTTAAAAACTAAAACTGGGTAATAAAAATTTAAATTTGTTAGTTTTAAATAGTAGTAAATGTTTTGTGTATTTCATTCATTTGTTAGTAGGCAAACACTCACTGACACAAATACTTTTTTCATTAATAACGTCTATCGTTCAGCATATCATTGTCTTTCGGGCTGTTCGGCCGACGTGAGCGAGAAGAGGTTCTCGATGTTTAGCAATCACAAACGGACGGCATAATCAGATGTTAGCTCCTCGATTGCTAGAAGAATTACTCGGCTCAACTCATAATTCTTCGGCCAAATAGCCCGAAAAACAATGATATATTTTGTTTATTGATTAGACTCAATCATTGAATTTAATGTTAAATAAATGCGTGAATAATTAAATGCAATTTTTAAATTATTAAGTTTAATGTAGTAAGTATTTAATGGATTTGACTTTAATAAAGATTTGATTCAAAGACAGTGTAAATGAGTGTAAAATTACCAAGAGTACTTTTAGGAAAGTGTTTAGGACTTTTAATCTTACTTAATAAGTTTGTCCAGATTTTTATACCACATGGTCGCGTCCTGGTAGGTGAAGTCTCCACCCATCGTCATGATTACATTATTTGTTTTATACCGTTTTGATTGTTCGGTTACGTAGTTTATAAATTCTTTTAACTGTCGACAAAGGTTTTATTACGTAAATGCATACAGCGCCATCTCTTGTTTCGCTCTATTAATGTTAATTGAATTATTATAAGAATAATATTTTTAATATTGTAATGGTATAAGAATTTGTTAATTTATTTACTTAACAACAGCGCCATCTCTTGTTTGAATTGAAGCAACACCGTTGAACCATAAAATCGTGATGATCAATTCGTTCGTTTATGACTTTAAAGAAAGACACACAAATTAAAAATATTTAACGATTCTATTAGTACAAACAATAAAGTATTCTGATCAAATGGTGTTATGAAGTAGGGTAACTTTAATTCAGTTCTGTCGGTAGTTACGCGAGTAGAGTAGTAAATACGCGAAATGGAATAGTAGAACTTAATTGCAGATAATTTTAACTACAGCCCAAAGTTTCGGATACTTTGCGACAGCAGTAATCACGGAGGCGGCTTTGAAGCTTCACTTGTCATAACGTACAACTCACTGAATCAATTTATCCAGGTTTTTAAACCACATGCCTGCTTCCTGGTACTGAAAGTCGTCGCCCATGGTTAATAGGATATTTTTTGTGACATAGCGCGACGCCATCTCTTTGCACTTTTCGAAAAATGCAGCTACCTGCCAAACGGTATAAACTATAGTTAATACGCAAGTGTTAAGGTTGAAATAATTGCGCGGGACGTGCATGTATCAATAGATTAAAAAACGATGACGTGTAGGACACGGTAGCTCAATTGGTTAGAGCAACAGCACGGAACGCTGTGGATGCCGGTTTGAGTCCTGCCCGTGTCGTAATCGATTTTTAACTATAATTTTTCAAACACACAGCTTTTTTGAAAGAAGAGTTTAGCAGAAAATATTTATGACAGAAGAGAGAGACACAACTGCATGATAGAAGGTGAAATGTTTTGGCTCTATCACTTGTATTGTACATACGGAAAACTTCATTTTTTGATAACATATCATAAGTTATAAGTGAAATTTGTTTATATTTTAAGACTCGCATTGCCTGCACATTTCCTAATTTAAAATATTCTACCTGGGTTGCCTGGAAGAGATCGATAATAGCGTTAAGTCCGCCCATTATACACCATAGCTAATATGTAAGTAGGTATTGTGTTTCGCATTTAATTGCATTTCGGGTCAACAAGAGAATGTTAGGGAAAAATTGTTGAACTATATATGTAATCTAAAATTATTTATTTTTTAGATCTTTATCATATAGTAACAATTTTATCCACGTGTACATGCATTTTGATAATACTGGCATATCAATGACTAGATCCCGTCATGTATATGTCACAATTTATGAAGGCGACCCCGTTTGCACCTACGATTTCGGCTTAAGGTGTCATCTTGGATGAATCTTATCTTTAAAATAACATTTCGATGGGTATATCTATCTTTTGTAATGCATTAAAAGGCTGTCGCTTTTGTTGTATTTAAACAAAAAATCGTCAAAAAGGTGTGCTAATTTCGAGCCAACAAAAATAATGTAGACATAATAGATATATACATATTTTTAATACGTATATATGTCTATTAAGAAACGTCGGGCCGAAGTTAAAAATAATTTTCAAATAAGTTTAACTAATACATATATATCGCGTTTTAAACCGTTAAAGTGTTTTATTTAAACTTGCTAAAGTGGTTAGACATGATTCGCGAATCGAAATGTATTGTAAATATTGTAATACATATATGTTGATACCTTTTGGTGTCTATTAGTTTTAAACCGCTTTTTTTACTTCTCGTCATATTTTTTTCCAAGCTACGTGTATGTACCGTTAAATTTATTTTCGAGTTAACTGATTTTTTGGCTGTCTGTCTATTTACAAGGTTCTCGAGCTACCCGCGTTTTACGTTTTACAAAATAACATTTTCATAAGCTTTACGTAACTTGCGTAAACCATGACCATGCACAGAGTATGCTATTGCATACTTAAATTAATGCTTAAAACCATGCATGCTTAAGAAATATGCATACTATATGCTACAATATACTTCAATGCTCAAACGCAGTCTTAACTCACTCAATAAGTTTATCAAGATTGGAAAACCACATCCGAGCGTCTTGATAGTGAAAATCTTCGCCCATAGTCACTAAGATATTTTTAGTTTTGTAACCACGAGACATATTTTTCGATATCTCCAAGAAGGTTTTCACCTAATGATAAACAATGATAATGATCAAGTGACGGTAGTTTTGGAAAATAAGCACATTTTAGAATAAATTGAGATACCACACAGATCATGATCGAAAAATTGTCAACACTTATTTATAGTTTATTCCGCAATATAACAATTAAACCGTTTAACTAAATAAATAAATGCATACACTATTTATCTTGACTTTGTGGGATATGACCTATTTTCTTATCTATGAAACGGTGTTTGTAGACAAAGGACATAAAAAAGAACAGTAACAGAATTTTGCGTAGACAAAACAAATGAAGAGTAAACTTAATTCAAGAGATGACGCTATTGAAAACAGAAATAAATAATTAAAAAAAAAAAACAAATAGTCTAGTAGTTATTTAAATAAAACACTTTAACGGTTTAAAACGCGCTATATTAGTGAAACTTATTTAAAAATGATTTTTAAATAAAAACTAATATATCGCGTTTTAAACCGTTAAAGTGTTTTATTTAAATGTGTACTACTCGCGTAAACTATAGACAGTATTTAGTCTAGTAGTATGAAAAAATATCGTATGTAAAAATGTCTTTCTGTTTAGAGCTTATCTGTCTGTTATATTTGAAATACTCACTCTTTCATCAACATTGAACATGGGTGATGAAGGGTCATCAACAATAGGTTCATCATTACATAGAACATCGAAACAGAAGCCAGGTGGTGGTGAATAATTGTTATATAGCACTCCGGTGAAGATATCGGACGATGGACCTGTAATTTTTATTGTTATACTACTATTATTAGATTATTTTAAGAACTGTTTCAATATTAGCTCCAAAATACAAATTTTGACGAACTCTTTGTGCCAAATCATTATTGTTTATTATTCACCCGGGATTCGAATCCGACACATTTATAACCTTGAAATAACGTGCAAACGATGTAAGCACGTACACTGCGTGCACCTTTTATAATAACATCTAGGGAATGTTTAATGCTTAGTTCATTGGGAACGTGTAGTGAAATATGTTTAATAAGTCACGTTCTTTTGTTTTTCGTACTAATGTATGAGTCTAGGTTGAGCCAAAATTAGGTTACGGTCAAAACTGATTTCAGCTTAGTATTAAAATACTTGGCCTAAGACAAGACAGGTAAACAGAATGTTTGCAACAGACATCAATAAGTTGTGAACAAATAATCTCTAATCATTTTAAAATGCACTTTAAGCATTCTTTAATTGTGACTCGTTGTGTACTTATATGAAAATATACAATATAGAGATAGACATACATAGGTGGAAATTTTATTTACAAAATTAAAAATCTCTTTAGGCTGAAAAAAAATTGCGGTACGGGCGAGAATTGAACCGGATTCCACATTGAATTTCTGGTTCAATTTTCCTCCGTATCAATTTTTTTTAACCTAAATAGATTTTTACCTTATACAATGCCGTCGTGTAAAAAATATTAAAGTTTTTAAGGAACTACAAACAGCCAATACGTTCGTTTCTCTCTAGTATTTACCCAAATCATCATCGCCCCTCCACAACATCTCCATTTCCTTATTCTTCAACCTCGCAAGTTTGTCCTGATAGTCTATTCTCCCCAAAAACAGTCCATCAAAGCCCATAGCCGCAAGCAACGAGGCAAACTCTCTGGAGTGTCCGAATGGATCTATCTGCCAGCCCACGCGTGGGATCCCACACTCGCCAAACGTTTCATTTAGCTTTCTGTGAATATAACGAGGAAGGTGTTCAAATTATAATTCTACTCTGGCCTACACATCAAATAAATAGCAAATACATATTTTTTTAAGTTAAAAATGATTCTTCTTTTTTGGCGTGAAAGAGTAACAGACAGACAGAGTTACTTTCGCATTTACAATATTATTAAGGATTAAACTATAAACGTAAGGTTAAGTTTGCGATCCATTATAAATAAATAACAAAAGTTAAAAATATTGACCTCAAACCCCAAGTAAACTGATCAATTGTGCTCTGATAATGCGACGCCGCCTCGTCGTTCATGCTCCACGCTCCACCGACGAACTGTAGCCTTCCCTGCCTGACCAGAGTATGGACTTTGTGCCTGATGTCATCCCCCTGGCGCGTCCACCACTTCCAGAAGAACGCTGTCTCTACGTACATGAAGCTGGGCGGATAAATGTGTGATTCAGTAAGACTTATTTTAAGCAGCTTAGAGTAGAGTTGTAGACACTTTATCGTTTCAGTATCTCGACGATCAAACGCGTGGCACAAGATTACGTGCCAGAGATCCTAGGGTCGAACCCTGGGAAAATGATAGTTTGTGATAGTGAAACGGAAAATGTGCTCGCCCCATGCCCCATAAAGGTAAAAGGGATTACATAGTCATCTTTACTTACCAATTTAAATTATTATAAAACAGAATCAGTAATTTATTTGTTTGTTATTGGCCCGGTTAAAAAAATTACTGTAGCTAACGCGAATGGTACAGAATAAATAAAAAATGTTAATGTTTGAACGGTTTAAAACGTGGAAATCATTAATAAAGTTCTTTCTTAATGCGACTCGATGCTTCGTAAGCTACACCAGCCTTATGTGGAGATCGGGTCGAAAATAGTTAAGACAGATTTGTTTTAAACCGTTACTGGTATTTTATTTAGTATTATAAAATATACTTCACTGTCAAATAACACATTTAAACATTAAATTCATTCAAAACGTTGCGTTGTAATTGGGATGAAAAATAATAAAACTATCATTTACATGTAACTAGTGATCCGTGATATATAAAAACCAGGTTTCATGCCCGGCGAACATTTGTACATATGTATATAGAAATAAAGTAAATGAATATAAAAATGTTCAAAAAAGCTTACTTAATGTATGAATTTTACCCCCCTTTTTTGAATCCACAAGTAAACTTTATTTATTATCTATGTCTATGATATCAACGACGCTAGCTAGTCTACATCTATAATAGGATAGGATTTTTAAAGGTTTCCATCATAATGGAGGGATTCAAAGTAACTTGAAACTAAGCTTAGATATACCCTAGATTATTTACAAGCTTACAGTAAATCTAGTATCGTCGGGCCGTAGTTAAAATAATTTTCAAAAAAGTTTAACTAACATACAGGGTGTAAATGGAACAGTTTTGAAAACTTATAAGGGCATAATTATATTAGAGGCTAAAAGGCGTTATATGGAGCTATTTATTTTCATTTATTTCAATATTTTTTTCCAAGTTTTAAATACGAGTATGAAATGTACACCGTACACCCGAGAAGCACTATGACAGCTGATCATTTGAAGTAGGTTAGGTACTTTTTATTTCATCTTTGCGTATAGTTGTAATATTCGAAAAAAAGTATTTAGTATACATTAAATACAAGTTCAAATAAATAAAAAAGACAAATCACCACAGTAGAACCGAAAAACTACATAAGTGCGAAGGCCAGCAGACGAGAGCACCCTACCTTTTTCGCATTACCAAAAGTGCTCCTAAGTACATTAACATAATGAGATACTCACGTGCTAGTTACACGCGCAAGCATTTTAAATAAAACTATTATATAATATATATATATATATATATATATATATATATATCGCGTCTTAAACCGTTAAAGTGGTTTTAACGGTTTAAAACCACTTTAACGGTTAAATTTTTATTTATTTATGAATGCCCTAATCGCAGAACTACAACTTAAAGGCTAGGCGTGTCGCATGCGCAGCGGCATCGATTTCGATCACGACGTTGTTAAAAATACGAGATATTTATCTGTCTGTTAAAATTGGCTTGTTATAAACGGCTAAACGGTTGAAGTGTACATAACTACTATGTACTATTTACTTTACAAAATTATAATATTGTTTTATCACTCAAGTATACCTCTAGTATTAAAATGTATCAACAGTTTGTTCTGTAAGTTAAGGTAGTTTAATTAAGGTAAGTAAGACTGTTTTCAGCTTACCGTCTCTTCGGATCCTCCCATAGCTCTTTAACGACTGAATCGAGGATATATTGTACGCCGGCCTTTTGTATATTGTTACGACCTAAAACCAATATCTCTCATATACAAGACAAATAGTATTAATGTAATTATTAGCTTCGATATCAGTATGACTTAGATTCTTCGTGTACGCATGTTATTGAGATGCAAATTTAAGTCTTCATCATAGTTTTTAGACTTGTATATAACAGTTTGAGTTTTGTGTGTATTTTATGAATAAATGTTTTATCAAAATTGGTCCACTTATTTAAACAATATACAGATCAAACAGACAGATATTTTTTTTGTATTGTGATTTTATTTTGATACAAGTGTAGCGGGTTCTTGTCCCGTTGTGTATTTTTAGTGTTCAAAATGAATTACTTACTGCCATAGTAATATTGATCGACCGTTTTTAGCCACCCGACATCGTCGTGTGTGTGGGGCACTATATGCACGTTTAGGACACCCGGTTCTGCTTGTGTGCAACTCTGAAACAAACTCTCTCTGATACTTTAACTCCATGACCTCCAGTGACCTTGATCTCTTTACTCGGGAAAAAGGCTTTTGAACGTATTCTTCGGAACTCTTTTTTTGATGACTCTAGTCGAACTTTGCGCCAAAACTTGTCTTGTGTTTACATAGACATAAGGATCTCTTTTAATTGTAAAACTCTACTATCTATTCTAAAACCGAAAGCTTCCTTAAACATCACTGTACTGATACTTCTTATTACTGAATTGTTTATCAGTGTGTTATGTGCCGGCCCTAAACTGTACTTTATTAGGCGACAGCCCTAGGTTGTGCCACTACGGGGAAACTGCTGATAGTGCGCGTATTCGATACCCGTGCGATCGGTATGTGACGCTACTGTTGTCGTACCCATTTTAGCATAAGATATTAATTAATATAATTGTAAGCGTCGAACTGATGCATCGTGCACAGGGAGACAAGTAGGAATAATTAAATGTATTATTTTGTATTAAATTAATTATTAAGTAAATGAGTTTTTTTGCAACCACCGGTGGCGACTAACATAATTACTGTATGAATTCAAATTATTAATAAATAATCAATCAAAAATAATTAATAAATTCCTGTAAATACTGTAAATGCATATTGATAACAGGATAATTCTTGCACAGAACGGGGCGAGAACCCCTTTTTCCCTTTTATGAATAATGTTCTAGAAATCTGCCATAGTGTGTTAGTGTTCACAATTGAGTTGAAATGTCAAAAGCTACCAATTTTTATCGATATCTTGTTTCTCAAATTATTACATAATTGTTTGTACAATTCAAAATTTTAAAAGCTTTTTTAAAGAAAGTGGGCCGTTCTTGGCGCTTGTTCCTTATGCAGAGTCAACATCAGAAACATACTCTATGAAAAAACTCTATTAATATTTTAATGCAAAAATGTGTTATTATGAATGAATATATTTATTTGTACAGTGCACAAAACAATGTATAAAATCAAGGCAAAACTTATCCACACCGTGTCATTTGCCACATCAAATCTTATGAAAGCAATTCGAATGGATATCGTATTACTTCTTTAATAAATTCGCCACAACTAGTTAAATATTATATTGTAATTGTATTGTTTGTAATTTAGTGTATTTAAAAAAAAGGATTACCTCGTAACCGCATTTGTCCCCCGCCTTTGGAGCGCTTTCTTCATTGAATGGCAACCCCAAAACTGCGCTTGCGCCGATTAGCAGTAATATTAGTAACATCATCTGTAACAAGGAATACGAATAATGATTGAATAGTAGTAAATCTTTGTTTTTTAAAAACTTATAAAAAGGGAGGAAAATAGGGCCATTTTTGAGAGTTCATGGCTTCTAATAAGGACGATGTAAAACCTATTAGGTACAAGAGATGAAACATGTCAGATGTAAAGTTAGAGTTTGTTGTTTTACTCTCCGATGCCCACAAAAGACCAATGTATTTGTTGCATTGCCGGGAATCCAACCCAGGACTATTTAGAAGTATATACCGTTAGACAAACATAGATCTACGAGTATAATAATTGTTATTGCAATACAAACTGTATTCTTATAATATATATAACTATTACAATTTGCTAGTTGAGCCTTTTTCTGTTCTAGTATCGTCCGTAGTTAACGCGTGTTGTAACACTTTGAACGGTTAAAAACGCGAAATATTTTCTTAACTTTCATGAACTATAAGCCGACGGTTCTAACGTTTTGTTTTTTATATACTTTATGGAATCAACAGTAATTGACGCTCTTAATACCTTAATATATAAAATATAATAGATATAAGTCTGTGTTTTGCGTTAATATCGACAGTAAATTTACGCTATCAATCCGTAACGAGTTGGAAAACAATATCAGATACATAAACACTCGTAAATGTTTATTTAAGAAACATTAGGCCGACGACCGGACAAAGATTATAATATAAATATCCGCAAATAAACCGCGATAAGGAAAAACAGAAGAAATATGTTTGTTTAGAGAAACTGATAGACGTGGTAATATCAATTAATGCCACATATCCTCGTTGGTCCAATGGTAGATGTGTAAGGCTCAACATGTTTCTAAAGAAAAAAAATGGATGTAAAACGAGTGGTAGGAATATGTACTTCCGTCCTAGTCACGGACCACTGTCCAAAAATAAAAAGTTGAATCGCGTTTCAGCTTCAGTCTATGGACTTCCGAATATCCAAAGCCAAGACAGCGTACCTAGTTTGGATATTATATGTCTATGGTATCTCACTTTCCATCAAGTGAACTCGGTACTTGTCAGTTTGCCATAAAAAAATGAAAAACGGCCTAACACAAACAAAAAATTAAGATCCAGCCCAAAAAAATTAACGTTGACATTAAAAACTGTCTATAGTTTACGCGAGTAGTACACATTTAAATAAAACACTTTAACTGTTTAAAACGCGATATATTAGTTAAACTTATTTGAAAATGATTTTTAACTTCGGCCCGACGTTTCGGATGCTTTGCAGCAGCCGTGGTCGCGGGGAAACGTCGGGCCGTAGTTAAAAATCATTTTCAAATAAGTTTAACTAATATATCGCGTTTTAAACCGTTAAAGTGTTTTATTTAAATGTTGACATTAAGTTCTACAAACATATTATTAATAATATTTTTTCACTGAATAAACTAATAACTAAAACTACAGCTAGACAGAATTTTGAACGTATTTTTGTTATATATCCACTATGATTATTATGGTTCGTTTTTATTCGAGGTTAATTTTTCACAGAAATCGCTTCAAATACCATATCTTTTCAGGCCATATTACTATGGCCAAAATCCGCTAAAAATAGTTACTTTGGGCATCCAAATTTGTTTTTATATGTTTAAGGTGTTACCATGTCGGTCGCGTCCCGTCGTTCTTGCGTGTTATTCTTAAAAGATAGACATACTGTTACGGACATTTTTTTAGGTGATTTAAAGAGGAATCATTCTTTTATATTTTTTTTTTGCATAGGTATCTTGAACCGTTTTCGCAGCGTAAGAATCGGAATCTCACAAAGATTTCTCATTTTTCGCTATGCCTTTGCTTCTATTAGCCACATCGCAATGTTCCATAGCCTATAGTCTTCCTCGATAAATGCTCTATCCGACCCAAGAATTTTTTAATTCGAACCAATAGTTTCTGAGATTAGCGCGTTCAAACAAACAAACTCTTCATCTTTATATATTAGTATTGATAGAAATATATATCACTCAAGACATAGTTACGAATCGATAGACACCTCTTACAACTCTGCTAAATATTTAGCTCATATATGCACATACAATAACTAAGAAAATAAAATAAACGACATCGCTAAGAGCACAAGTAACAAACAACGGCTTGTATTATTTTCTATCTCGAACAGGATATAGGAGGATAAATAAAACGGGTCCGAGTTCCACTTTTTACGCAGTTGAAAAGAATTCTTAGAATCGCATTGGGTTAGATTCTGTACCATTTAACTGACTTGCAGTAAGTGCCATCAATCTGGGCCATGGGACGGAAAGATTATTGTCCCACATCATTTTTTAAATTGAATTAATAACAAGTAAGTGATTAGCCTTGGTACCATTTTGGGCGGGAGTCGAGCCCAGAGCCACTTTTCAACCCTTCGACACTTCAACATTCCAACAAGATGCGCTGCCTATCTATGTTAGCTTTGGATATTTGGAAATCCACACATTAAAACCGAAACGGTCCGGACGATATTTCGATATTCGTACTACCCATTAAATATCCAGATATCCAGACGAAATTCAACTTATTTCAGGAAAATTAAATTGATCTTATCAGTTTAATTAACATGTTGGATTCGGTTGGGATCGAACCCACGATTCGTTCATTATTATTATCGGCCATTAGACCAAAGCACTGAAAACCAATTTGTATTTTTAGAATTGCTCATACTAAAAATTTATATTGTTTTGCTTATTCCTACCAAAACAAACAAGTAGTTGAACACTTCGACTGGTCTAAACAATAAACATGTTAAATTAATAATTACCCTATAAAGTTGTAAGAACATCCCAATCTATATAGTTAGATGGTTGGGATGTTCTTCAATTATTTCTTATAACTATTAATATCGTGCATTCTATGGCCAATTATTGTAATTAAATACAAAAGCGATAAAAAAATATTAATCTATTATAATTCTTAGGTAACTCTAGTGAGAGAATACATTTACTTACAAGATTATTTATGTATATTCACACATTTAAAATAACAACGAAATTGTTTTCATAATAGCTGACTACGTCTACACGTCTGTACCAACGGTGATAGATTGATAGATTTGTAAGTATTGCTTGTCAGTTTTCTAGTTACAAATCAAGTAAATTTGCAATGCTGCCAGTACACAAATATTTTTCTCTGTTTGTGGCAAATTTAAAAGCAAACGCAATTTTATTTTATGTCATTACAACCAATTCACAGTTATTTTTATTTCAATTGTGTTGTAATGATTTATTTATTCGAGGACAATGCCAACTTTTGACAAGTGCTTTGACATTATTTGAGGATTAACAAACTCTATCAGTCAAAGCAGATTTGTAATCTCGATCTCTATATACGCGACAGGACCAAAATATTTTTTAGTCCGTTTCACTGATTTTATCATTGCACTTCTATATTCCAAAATCCAAAGTTCCGAAACAGTAATACGGACATGTTTTTTCCAGGGTTCGAATTAAGGACCTTTTACGCAAGGCATCCTACAATATAGTCGCCAGCCCTATATAACCTAAAGCATTATTACAGCAAATATGTATGTGTAAGTCTATCTATTATTGGGATAGATAAAATTTAATCTTTGACCCAAAGATTTAGTCTGGAATGTCTTTAACGATAAGAAATCTCCTGTTGAGCACTTACAACTCTAGTAGTACTCAAAATCGACCTTTATTTAACAATATCTTAACTTATTACACCTGCATCATTTTCTTACCCTCCTTTACTATTTTTTTTTTACAAGCCGATATACGAATAAAAATCGGTGATATTTTTTTATCACACCGACAATCTTTTGACAGTCTGTGGCCAAAAGACCAGGTTCCAAGTCATGAAAATCCTAGAGAAACTGATTGGACTTGTCAAATGTTTACTGTTTAATTGTTTATGTATATTTTGTGATTTAAGTTTCAATTACTATTACACTAGTTAATTTTCGATCTATAAGACGTAAACTAATAAAATGTATCAGTTTACATCGTCATCAATGCTAATTCTTGAGAGATGTATCGACTTGGCTAAACAAAGAAATGAAACAAATCAGTGGAACCAAAAATTCTCACTAAAATCAAGCTATTCCAACGAGTTTATAAACAATTTAGATGCTAAAGAAGGCGCTCAACTCAAAGAATTAAATTACGCGCACGAAGAAATAATTTTAGATCCTAGTATTAATAATGAACAGAAATATAAAGATATCCTAACAGACCCTATTGCATATATAGATGTAATTCTTGAAGAAGGCAGCCTAGACAATATATTATTAATATTTTTATCTGAAAATTTAACAGATATGGATGTTGAAAGACTTAGTGGCCACATATTAGAAGACAGGGTGAATTTGAGATTTATTGAAAACTTTTTTACATATTTTCTTCCCAATTGTTTTAAGAGAGAGAATTCTAGGCTATCCCTAGATTTACTGATCAGAGCATTTAAAAGTTACCCTGCAAAGTTTCACCTTTTATTACAGAGGACTTTGGATACTGAAATGGATTGTCATATTTTTCAAGAATTTACATCTATTTTAACACCTCAGGAACTAAGTGCCATCATGAAAAGTTTTATCGAATTTGATTTATCTGTTGATGTACTTATTAGGCATATGTTTGCTTTTGTAAGTTGCTATAAATCTTGTATCAAAGATGTAAAAATTAATAATTTTGTTGTTGTCAAATTGAATGAAGCAGCTGAGAAGTGTACTGCAGATAAACAATATGGTCGACTTTTGTTGACATATTTGCAGAATAAAAATGATAATTTCAAATTAAGTTTATTAAAGAGAATTGTTGATAATCACAGGTCACCATTTAAAAGGCCATGTTTGAATATGTTGAACGAATTGGTTAAAAGAAACGAATGAGTTTTACAGCATTATTTTCCTAATTTGAGATATAAGTTTAGGTTCATGAAAAATATAATAATAATAATGTTGTGTATGTTTTATGAGAAATATATTTGGAAGAAATTGACATCATTTAAAGTATATTATTCCGCCCGTATGTGCTACTTCGCTTATTATTTGGTTAAGTGTAGGTGTTCTTAATCAAACTAAGATACAATAACCTTTTTAAAAAATATCGAATTAATTTTAAAATATTTTGATAAACCAAGTCCATATTAGACTTTTGTGTTGTCTGTATCCCAATATGACAGTCGCTAAAACAAACTGACAGATAAGCTTAGCTGTCATTATCAATAGTACCATATTTTTGTTTATCTTCGCTTTCGATAACCTCTCATGCACGTGCGATATTTTAAATTTATTTTACTTTTGTATATAAACATAAGTTAAAAATGACTGAAATAGAAATAGACGCAGTGTATCCGAAGCGGTCGGCGTATCCTATGTTAGTGAATTTTCAAAATGGATATGTTACAGATGGATTTCGTGACATTGAATGTTCGCTTTATAATAATGATGATAACTCAAAAAAGACATTAGTCTCGCTACTCGACGATATTGTTTATACGGGGGAAGAAGAAGATGAGCCCATAGGAAGAACGTTATTAGTAGCACGAGATAGAAATACCGGTAAAGTACGGATTATAGAACCAGGGTATGTGGAGTTGAAACCAGTCATTAAAAATGATTTAAACTCATCTCAATTATTGGAGACAAGTGGTCTAGAGTTGAGTAGGAAGTTTGGTTCAAAGAAGCAGAAAAAGAAAATGGAACAGCGTGAAAAATTGAAAATGAATGTTGAAACTGTTGCAAAACAAGTTAGTATATGAATTCAGTTGTTAATTACTTTAGGCTTTACTGTTTTGCAGTTAAACTATCTTCCGCGCGATATTTTCATTACCAGTAACCACCAACAAACTTTTTACAATTTTCTTTTAACCTTATATTTCTTTTTAGAAATTTTTTAGGAGCATCTTATACAATTTGTTTATATGTAATTTATTATCTTTAAAATTCTTTTCAGGTTGAAAAAACCACAGCAAATATAAGTGTCGATCAACTTGATTTGTCAGCATATAACAATGCATCAGTTGGAGATGATTTCTATATACCACCAATAAATCGTGAAGCATCCTGTGTTGAAGATATATACAGTATTGAGAAAATCATCAGCAATGATATAATGGAAGCTATAGAATCAGAAATAGAGGGAAAGGATTTAAGTGAAGATATTCATCCATCAATACAAAGTATAATAGACAAGAATCCGAAGAAAACACTACAGACTGTCTTTGGCTTATATGCCAGCTGTCTAGCCAAATATTACACAACAGTGATGAGAGATGTAAATAGAAAAAACTTTTATGTTTGCAATTCCTCAAGGACACTAAATAATTTTATATTAGAGAATTTCTCGACAAAACTAAATGGTAAAAGAGGAAGGCCAGGTGAATATAAGGACAGAGCATTCTGTCATTCCTTAGTGTTACTATTATTAATAAATAACTTTAAGATATCTGTGGACAAATTTTGTGAGATCACCAAAGCGTCACCTAAGATAGTTCTAACTAAGTGTAGAGTAACAGGGGTAACTGTGCTGCAGCAAGGCGGGGAAAAGGTTCTCCAGTTAAAATTGCCACTACCTGTAAAGAAAGTATTTAAAAGAAAACAGCAATAAAGATATATTGGATATACTTTTTGATATATTTTTTATTACCCTACATAACAGATCTATATAAATTTATTTTTTGATATTTTTTGTACCCTAGTGTTTTTTATTTTAATATTTCTGAGACTTGGATAACAATCCATACCGACGTTTAAGTAACAATCTAGTAATAATAGATAAAATAATAATATTTTTTTGTATATGTATTTCCTTGACATTCCTTAGAACAAAGTGTCACAGACTAAAAATTCACTAGATGTTCTTTGCGGAATTTTTGTTTACAATGTAATGTATGTTTAATGCATAATTTTTACACGAAATCGTTATATTTTAGTTCTAATATGAATTAACAATATTATGTTTTGTAAAGCGCAATAATCACGAAAATATTTTGGTGGGTTTCCCATATTTGGCAAGAAATAAAAACTACTAGATTTAAAAAAAGAACGAGCGTGCAAACGCCAATTTGACACAGTTTCGGCGTGATCTAAATTTACAAGAGCATGTTACTCTTTTAGAACGTTAATTACATTATAGTTCACCATCAAAATACACAAAACAAACTCAAATAGAAAAGCCGGCGTTTTCCTGCCGCGAAGTTGTATCGGTTGCGATCCGCACAAATTTCACATCGGTCGCCATTTGCGCCACGAACACTGTCCGTACATTAGTGAAAAAATTTGAATTGTAGGTTATTAATAAGTGTATAATTTATAGTTAAATTGTGCAACGAAACCAGCAATAATTAACTGGGAACACGTAGTAGTAATTAGTTTTAAGATCGGGCGTGAAGTGTGTTCGACACGTAAGTACGACTTTTTATTATATTCAGTTCACACGTGTTTCATTTTCTAAATAATATTTGCTTGCGTAGGCTATTATTTTGTTTAAACTGCACGTTTTATTAAGATATTAAATCTTTAAAAAATGTTGCTAAAGTGTACAATCGCGCAATAACTAAATCTAGGTCTTAATCTATTTTTACCGCAGTAAAAGTTGAGTCTTTTAAATAGTTGCGACAATGTGAAAGTATTACGTTTAAAATTAATCGACCGTTTCGTATAGCTAAGGTTTGATTGCATAATTAAGTTAAAGTAATTAAAAATATATTGTTTAAACTGTGATAGTAATAATGTAACATGTAAAAATTTTGTACACAGTACATGTAGTTGCAAGTGTTACTGAGAAAATTCTCAGTAAGTCGGGAATTCGATATGAACCTGAATTCATATTAATCTATTTTTGATAGTGATCATTAAATTAGCCTGTTATTGCTTATACATATCACCAGTCTTATTCAAAAGAATATCATATCTTAAATTTCCAACACACAAATTATATATTTGTGTTAACTTTCTTCCACTTTTTCTCAGGACAGTCAATATTAGTTTAATATTTTGATAATCTGTAAAACATTTATTACATTACTATAACCAATTAGCAATATAAATTAATTTTATCTTTAATAAATTTAAATTCATACTATTATTATCAAACAGTAATTTGTTTTATTAAGTATATTTGTTACAGATATGTATATAAATATATTGTAAAAATACAGACTCATAAATTAGTAATGTAGTAAAAGTTAAATAAACTAGTAAAAACTATTGATGTGGTTTAGGTTTATTGCAAGAGGTCCTCGATTTGAATCCTATTGAAACAATATATCTATCAGGCAGAGCACAATAGTCATATTATTTACTTGCATGTAAATAAAACCTATTAGTAAAACAAACGAGACATAAATCACCCCGCCACCTACATATGGGAACCTACCTACTAAATTTTGCTTGTTTAAGGGAAAAAATCCAATATTAAAAATTTAAAAACAAATGTTTTGCGGACAATGGAACATATGTACAGTTTATCCATATTTCAGTAATATTGCTTTTTTTGTGGATATAGGTTTTTATTATTCAAATATATAGTTTACTGCTACCTAAATATATCAAATTTAGGCTACTTAAAAATGATGTAGAGTGTATACATTCAAATAGTCAGTTAATTATAATTTTATCATTATTAATGTTACATGACCATAGTGGTAAAAATGTACACTAATTATTCTTTGTTCCAGATGCTGTGAGTTCCAGAAATGCAACACCGATTACCTCATAATAAATTATATAAACTTATGACAACAGTGCCTGTGTATACCATAAGTTGTTGATCTGTCTAGAGTCTAGACTCTAGTATTTTGTCTATGGTCAGTGTTTGAGTGTTGCGAGAATGAAAATACCAGAGACGGGGAATGTTGGCACATATTATGGTGAGGAGAATGGACAGTGGCAGGTAATTTCTTTGTTTCATCTTCATTATCAGCCTTTAGTTTGGCGAGAGCATATTGTTTTAGACACTAGCATACATTTGTCCATCTGATTATTGTTCATGAAGATCATTAACCAGGTCTATTCTCTTTTTCAGCCAAACGGCATGATCATAGATAACGGGGTTGGTGGCGGCGTAGTCGGAAGTGGGGATGCAGGCGTACTAAGGCCGCCCGCGCCCGTATATCCAGTGCACTTGCCCCGTGGCGGGCCCATGGGCGGTAAGTTTATTATACCTATCAATATTTGACTAATTATCTATAATTACAAAATAAGCAACTGAAATAATATTTTTCTGCACAAGTCAAGAAAAGAAATCAACTTTACTATGGATATTGTCTTGGTTTACCGACATTTTAAATTATATGCAATTTCCAGGTTACGTCATGGCCGGTGCATACTACCCAGCAGCTTACCCAGCTGTCGCTACACCCCAGGACGACTTTGCCGATTACATGTGGATGGAGAATGAGGAAGAGTTTGATAAGCAGGTTATTATCATATACATATGATGATGATGTTTCCTTACCACCCAAACTCTTTTTGAGAAAGTCAAATTCCCGCAACTCACTACCTTGCGATGTTATGACTATGCCAATATACCCAGTTCAACGCACTTTTGATTATCATAGATTTCACCATTTAAGTAAATATAATCTAATCTTATGTCAGTATATATAAATATAAACTTTTCTTAATACAATTATAATAGGAGGTATCCGATAATTTCCTCTCTCTACTACTGTGTCACTTACATGTTATTTTATGTTCCAGGTGATGCAACAGCTGGAAGAGGAAGCATTAATGGAGCAGTGCATTGAAGCCATGCTTGAAGACGAGCAGCGTGAAAGGCACAGGAGGACAAACGGGCATAATAATAATAATGGGCCAACGTAAGTAATACAGCCTTATTGTTATTGATAGCCTTATTATACATGGAAATGGTCAAATTTTTAACAACTTAGGACTACTACTATTTTTAACTATGTAAATATATCATTTAAACTTACTGTTTATTTATTTTAACTACGACTTGACGTTTTGAATACTTGCAGTAGTAGTTGTTGTATAATGATTCGCGTTTTCTTAAGGAAAAACATTTAAATTTCTAAAACTACTTGCGTAAACTAGAATAATAAGCAATGATTATAACAATATAATTCTAATATTTATATTTGGTTTTTACAGAACCAGCAACAGTTCAAACACCGCATCTCTACAAGAGGCAGTGTCGAGATCGACATTGAATCCGTTGGCAGCTGAATTTGTACCTGGCAGAGCTAGGCAACCTCCAGGTAAGTTTTTCTATTCATGGATCATTTGTGCAAAGAATGAAGAAACAGTGTTATTATAAAATTAGACTAAAATGAGATTGAGTTTAAAAATATGCTAATGATATATAACTATAGTAATATTAATCCTATATATTTTGTGTGCACAATTCAATAATATGCCATTTTGTAACTGAAAGAATAATTCTCTTAAAGTAAACAGAACCTAAACGAATAACATTATATTCCAGAAGAGAGATCTGATCCACCAGAATCAAAAGAACCTGAACTACAAGTGGAAGTGCAAACACCAAGTGAGACAGTTGAGAGCACAGAAACTGAAGTAAAAATAGATGACAAAGGTGAGTCTTGATATTAGAAATTTAGTTGAGATTAAGGGAAAGCAATATGCCAACAACTTTACTAAGCTCTTGTTAAGTATAGTGTATTTTTTCTTACTTGGCATTTTTGGTAAACAAACACATTTACATGAAACCCTGATAAATGGATATTTCTTTAACCCTGTGTCATCTGTGGTAATGACCCTTATAAAAGGGCTTCACTAGTTCTAGATGTTTTGAAATCGGCCGTATTTGTTTCGGACTTTTGCGAAGTTAGAAAAATATACTATATATATATTAAAAGAACAAACAGACAATTAAGATTTATAACATAAGCCAATATCTTGCAGAATCACTCCCACAAACTGACCCACCAGAAGTGAGTGCAGCCGATATCCAACCAATAGAAGATGACAAGAGATCAAAAGAGAAACTCAGGCCCAAAGTAGACACAAAGAAAGCGAAAGCAGAAACCAAGCCCAAAGCAAAAGTGGAGAGTAAAGCTAAGAAGGATGTGAAAGTGAAAAGTGTTAGTGAGGTGAAAACAAGTGAGGTTAAAAATGAAGTTAGTGTGCAAAGTGAGACAAGTGTTACATGTGAAGAAGGGCAGGAAGAGAGCATAGAGGTTGTAAAGGTGAGTCTTACATCCCTACATTGAAACAAATGTAAAGGTCCAAGTCCATAGACCATAGGGTTATTTATTAGCTGGAAGTTCAATTTGTAGTAGAATTTCTGAATGTCCCAAGTCAAAATAGATTGACAGCACATCTTTGAAAGATATTATATGGTTGGGGTATTCCCTTGTACCTTTCACCCTTTATCAAGTTAGATCATGCTTGTTTATCTTACTCTATAATTATAGAGAATTATGAGGTAAAATCTCATCAGATGTAACTGTATAAAAAAAAGTATGGAGCCCTTGTGATATTCAATTATGTAATAATTTAAAATTACAGCAATCATCGCCGCCCCCGACCGAGGAGCCTTCAACTGGATTCAAACCAATAAACTACGCGGCAGCAGCCAAAGCAAATAAGCCAAAAAAGGCTACCACCCCACCGACCACCACAGTGCCAGAAAAAATTACACCACCAGCCCTTAAAATCGAGAAATCTAAAGAGAAAGTTCTTACTAAAACAACACCAAAGGTCAAAACTGACAAACCCATACCAAGGAAGAATTCAACTAAGTAAGTCTTGCGTTTGGGTCTAAATTGAAATGTACAAAAAATAATATATAAGCAATGTATTCAAAATTCATTCTCAGTGTTTGGCAAAGGGTTCTTTGAAAGGAGTGTCAATGTAAAAATGCTAATACTAACAAAACAATAAGATGTGAACATTAGTCAAAATCTTTCATTCTGTATCACACCTAGGCCACACATGTACGTTGCGCGTCAATGAGCCGGCTTTTTAGACTAGGGCTGATAGTGCTGTCAAATTTAAATTTTGACATTTGACAGCATGGACATTTTTTTGGTAAATCCAGCCAAGCGATAAGCAAGATTTGCACGTTATATGTATTTTTTATGTATATCTGGGTATATTTCACCCTCTAGTATATAAATATTATATTAAACGTAAAATTATTATATAATGTGATATTATCCAAGTTGCATTTTTCCCTATGGAAAAATTTCTAATTGACAAAAAAATAAAAAAAAAATGTAAAAAATATCCTAAATATATTATGGTAACGTTTGAATAAGTTTATTATAAATAATTAAAAATATTAGTTGTTAGTTTTTTTCAGTGGGCAGTGCAGTTATTCATTGCAATAGTTTTTCCTCTAATGAAAGATTAATATGGAAAATTTTAGCAAGATGGCTGGCTTGAGATTATAATGATGACTCAGCAAATTATTCGTGAGGTTAGAAACTGCGCCGCTCACTCTTAGTTTAACAAAGTCCGATTAGATATGAATTTTAATAAAAAAATGTACATTTTATTATATTTAAAAGTGTATATTTGCACGTAACGCGTGTTAAGGTTAGCGCACTAAGATTGGAAATCATGTAGTTTACGCGTAGGCAAATTATTTGGTATTGCTCCTGAAGTAGACAGGGCTGCGGTAAAAAAACCATACTTGGCCTAGGAATTTAATCATAATTTACAATGGACATTGTGGGTCTTATCCTTTTCCTCTAATACTAAATAAGTTTTGGAACAAGAGAAAACTGATTATGGATAATATGTTAATGATAAAACTTAGTGAAAGGTGCTTTTAGCACCTTAAACTGTGTTACCACCCATTCCTGAAGTTTAGTCCTTGAAATCGCCAAGTGCATACTGCACAAGATTTAATGATAAATATATGTTAATGTAATTCCAAAGTCAGCACCCGTAACGGATGTGACAAACTTGACGACTGAGAAAAAAACAAAACGCTAAAAGCGTAATGTATTACTTTTTACAATTTTATTTAAATCTAAACATATGCTTTTTAATAACCTCAACAATAAATAGCGTCGACAAATCAATTGGTATGTAAAAATATGCCGCGGCCATGTTCTTTATAATTTGGGTTTTTGGCGTGGCAACACTTGCAATGTTGCCATTTTTCCTTGACAAAATCATGTTATATCATTATAGTGGCATAATATAAGCGTTTATACAATGGACTACGATTATATCATAAAATGTATTTATTTCGCGACAGGGTTACCAGTCACAATCATCAAATGCCAGTTGCCACACCAAAAATGCGTTTCCAGCCTGCGGTCGGTTCTGAGATTAAGGTTTTCATAGAAAATATCCCGAGACCGATCGCCGGCTATGCTATGTGCATAAGTTTCATTTAATATAGGAATGTTATAAAATTAATATAGAGTATGTACTAAAGTTATTGTTTTTATTTAGTCTAGACTGTTTTATGTTTTAAATTTAAGCTATGATATGTTTAGTCAGTTAGTAACCTTTTTTCGGGTCCGTCGCCCTCTGTATAACTTTTGACGTTTAGCAACTCGCGCCTAAATCAAATGACAGTAGCTCAATACTTATACTGTTGACAATTTAACAGATTAGAATACTATAAATCTTGTCAAAAATATGAATTATAAAAAAATATTCAATCAATCACAAAAAAATAATAATAATTAGATACTCCATAGATACGTACATTTGGATAGCATTGTATATTTATGTCGATGTAATTAACTTGAGTTGCTAAACGTTACATTCTAGGCTGGACTTAACGAGCGTTTAAATAGGATTTGAGTGGGTTTGGCCTTAATAAATTATGTTTGTATCTCGGTACATAAATATGTTTGGATCGATTTTCTGTCGCTGTAATCTGGATGATACCATTACTAGTGAAAATTAATTTAGACTTTCACGTATTTCTTTCACGACCACAGTAAGAATGTCATTAAACATATAAAGCTCTCATAAGGCAAGGTCAACGGAACCAGATATGCTCTACTGAGCTTGAGAGTATTAGGAGCCATTACGTTACAGTAACTATAGTTACTAAATACTGCTAAATTCGTGGTAATGGACCTATTTATATCTTACGATAATCGAAGATAAACTATTGTATACATCTATGATTTGATTTGGAAAATTCAGTTCCGCCTAATACGTTAACACCTTTGTATAGTCTTTTCATTTGTCAAAATGACAGAAAACCGATCGAAACATCAGTTTTATCGCACGATCCATTTGATTGGTTTGGTATGAAATTTTTGATCTTGCAACATGTGCGATTGTGGCATTAATGAAATATCTATTATTATCTTGATAATTTCAAATTATAATTCGTCGCAAAGTAATAATGGTTATAGACGAATTTTGTCAATATATGTACAATATTGTAAAATATTTTTTATTGCATCCCCCTACCTTCCGATTCTTCTCTCGATCTTTGATCGCCTCTGAAGTTAAATGTTGCCTAGCACTGCGCTAAGAGCGAGAGGCCCTGGGTCTCGAATCCCGGGAAAACAGTGAATTGTTTCGGTCGGGCAGGGCACAGAAGTCTAATCAACTACTTGCCTGTAAATAAAACCGATCAAATACTGTCTATAGTTTACGCGAGTAGTACACATTTAAATAAAACACTTTAACGGTTTAAAACGCGATATATTAGTTAAACTTATTTGAAAATGATTTTTAACTTCGGCCCGACGTTTCGGATGCTTTGCAGCAGCCGTGGTCACGGGGAGACTAAAGAAGGAGGATGTCTGAGACATCCTCCTTCTTTAAGTTAAAAATCATTTTTTAAGTTAAAAATCATTTTCAAATAAGTTTAACTAATATATCGCGTTTTAAACCGTTAAAGTGTTTTATTTAAATAAAACCGATCAGTGAAATGGACACAGAAATGTGTCCACCCTATGCCCCACCAGGGGAAACGGGATTTTCCCACCTACCTCGATGAGGTGAGATCCAAGGTTAAATTGCAATTTCGTTTCCCTTATAATTATCGTAAAAATTATTAAATCATGATTTAATTTTTACCATATATTTTAAAAGGAATAACATTTAGTGTGATGATAAATATTATTCTAATATTTTTATCATACGCACGCGCATAGAGGCGCTCCACTTATATTTTTACACACATTATACATCGTACATTAAAAAAGATATTTGTATAAAGATTTAATACGAAATACGCCAATACTTCTTATCTATGCCGCCATATGCTAACCGTCAGACACTATATAAATATTGTCCTTATCCGTTTCTTCTAGGGCCTCAACTTCACCCAACAACCCAACACTATCTATCACCTGACCATCGTTCTGGTCATCATCTACCTGGCACTCGACGAACCCAGATACGTACTCTATTTCCTGATCTTCCGAAATGTTGTCATTTTCCGTTACTCCTGCGTTCTCTTCCACTACCTCATCGTTGTCCCCTACCACCTCGTCTTTCTCCCCGATCAGATCAAACACCCCCTCCTTCCCCATTTTCTTCATCAATTCCTTATATTTCTCCTTCTGCTCCCCGCTCATATTCAACGGATTATGGTACTTCAAATGGTAGTTTAGGTGACTGCTCTGCTTGAACCGTTTCTCGCACACGATGCATTGGAACGGCGCTACGTTCGTGTGCGTGCGCATATGCTGCTGCAAGTGCACCGATTGACAGAACGCTTTGCTGCATATGACGCACTTGTACGGCTTGGTCTTCGTGTGAATGCGGAGGTGCTGGTCAAGCCCAGATTTCTGGGTAAACGCTTTCGGACAGTACGTGCATGAAAACGGCCTGTCGCCGGTGTGTGAACGCATATGCTGCTGCAGCCCGCCCTGCTGCGTGAAGCGCTTACTGCATTTGCTGCACTGGTAGGGTTTGATCTTCTTGTGGGCGGTGCTTGTGTGCTCGGATAGTGCGTGGCTGAACTGGAACTCAACTCCGCAATACTGCAGGGATACGACAATAAAGACCGATAAAAGAAAATTCGTATGAAGAAACAAATAAAACTTGTTAACATTTTTGTGTGTGTGTGTGCGAAACCCAAACAATTACACTAAATGTAGCCAAAGCGCCTCATGGCCGCAAGTAAGAGGAAAAGCCTGCTCACCGGACAACTATAAGGGAGGTCCTTTTCGCCAGATCCTTCCAGAGGTTTCTCACACACCTGCGAAAAGGAAATACATAGTTATCACTTATTATACAGGTGATGCTGCATCCTCTTTTATATATCTTAACTGCAAGCTCTTCAACTTTATATTTTTTTTTCTTTAAACAATAATTAATTACCAAACCTGACATTTTATCCCCTTTCTTCGTCGTGTATGTTCGTCTCTGTAATGTATAGAATACTCGCAACAGGAGAAGAACATTTGATGACACGTCGCGTTCGAGACGAGTGTTGAAGGTTGAAGGCATTCAAACGGACCACTAAAATATTGTATTTTTTAGTTACACAAATTAATAATTATAGTTTTTTTTTCTAAACAACAATTGAATACACATCCTGCTGCCCAAGACTCAGGAAAACCTAGAGTGGGGGCTGGTGCACTTAAATGCCGAACGTAAGCAATATTTTTGGACAGTAAATTTGTATTTGTTAAAATTGATAAAATAAATAAAAACTTTAAAAAAGAGTTAACCCAACGAACGGGAAATCACTCTATACTAACGTTATAGGTTTAACTTCCTTCTCCTTCTTGGGCGTGCTTTTAATTTTCACGATCTTCTGCCTCTTTGCTTTCGGTTCAGCGGAGCCCACCTCCTTAACAATGCTGTCTTGACCGTCCTGTATATGCAAAGATAAAAAAGTATGGTAATCAAATTATATTTATTCGCCTACATTGCCATCTACTTAATTTAAATCCACCGGGGAACGATAGAATAGAGCGTCGTCTCTTTCTGTCAATCTATCCGTCGCAATACAAATGACAGGGACAAAAAATGGTCAATAGGTAAACTTGACTGTAAACTGGTCTCACCAATCACGTGCCTGCCCCTATTCCACATATAACCCTCTTTGGTGAATATAAAAAAATGCCCTTGCGGTTTATAAATATTGCTCTATCAATTGGAGCCTAATATCCAGGACAAATATTCAATTGAAGAGCTTTGATTGCGTTTGATTGAATATTTCGACATATTACGTGGAACAGAATTTTTTCTTTAAAATGTTTATTATAATAAACATGATAGCATTACTAAAATTAAAATCTTTTTATCTATTATTATATAGTATATTAGGCTATTGATAGTCTGTTACATCGCAGGGCACATGTAGTTTTAAATAGCTTTTTTCGTTCGAAACTGTCATTTTCTTAATAAATTCATATTGACATACCTTAATAATTATATAACTAACATCAGCAGATGCCATCGTCATTATATCTGTAGGTTCCATAGACGAAACCAACTTTTCAGTTTTCAATCTAATTTGCTCTTTCAATTCTGCCTTTTTTATAGCTTTCTTTTTGTTCTGTTAACACAAATTAGGGCTTTAGTTCTATATCCCCTCCAACTGGGATATGGAACAGACATATTTGTTTCACAGATAAGTGACAATTACATGTGAAATTATGTGGCAAAAAGATAAAAGAAATAATAAAAATATTATGTACTTGTAGAAACACAGTAACGGCAAGTGTACTTATTTAAATCAAATTTACCTCCAAATTAACTGAACTTTTCTTCTTTGCTTTTATACCAATAACTTCACCCCTGAGTACAGCATCTGGGTGATCAAATCTACTATGGATAGACAATGCTTTCTCGCTGCTAAATATCTTAGTACAAATATTGCATGCCACCGAGTCATCATCCTCATCAGACGATGGTAATTCTCTCTGAAAAAACAATGTTGACATTTTGCATTTGAGACATGGATGCAATGCTGCAAAGCACTTTGTACTGAAAAGTAGCCACCAATATATGTGAAGTAGAAGCTGTCCTATCTTAGAATAACAGGGAAACAATCAAATGTTGTGGTTGGGCTAGGCACAGAAAATACTTCTTACCTCTCACGAATTAACTAGTCTGTAAATGAAACTGTGACAAAAATATACTCACCCTTATTTCTTGACTCATTACATTTAACATTTTTATTTCATTGTGTATAAAGTACTAAAGTTAGTGTATTGTATTGTAATATTAGTGCAGTGGCTTAAAATAAACTCTAGACTACTTCTACTAACCTTTATTTTTGAAACTGGGATTACTTTAACCATTCTTATAGATTTGGATTCCATTTTTATCTACAATTAAAAGGAAACAATGTTATTAGGTAAAGGTATACCTTTAAAAAAAAATTACGTGAGCCATTAATTAGTATTGGTTTTAAAACAAACCTAATAGTTTTAATGATATCTTATTCGACTCGAATTTCCAATTTAACTTAAAAGAATTATCGCATATAATTCAAAACATTAACATAAAGCGGGAATGAGAAAAAATCAAAATGTCAAAATATTATTTTTTGTTTGAAGTGTAGAGGACGAAATTTTGAACATGAAAAGGAATTATAAAATGCGTCACTCGATTACGTAATTATTTCAAAATATATTAATAGCAACTCATTTATATTCATATTTTTAATATTCTTTGTGTAGTTAGAGAGCCTTCAATGTTTAAATCACCAAAACACGATAACCTCAGTCAGCAATAAATACTACTTTGTTTTTTTTTTACTATTATAAAGAAAAAATGAATTTTACTATGCCTCTAAAAAAAATAAAAATGTCACATTGACGTATTGATAAGCACCCGTAACGAATTACACGAAGAAAGTATTTTAATAACATAAAGAAATAGGCAATACTCTTACATACAACGAAAATACTTACTTGTGCCTAAATAATATTTTATTCAAAGAAAATGTATAAATTCAAGCCTTATCGCTTAAAATCGATACTTTGGTTGTCCTCAAAATGGCCGACACTTACAGACTATACTTCAGTAGAGAACACCTTAACGATATTTATTATTATACTTTAATTAATGGTTTGAATAAACCAAATTAATTACATCACGCATTTATTGATAATGAGTGAGGCTTAAAATGTACTATAATTAACCTTGCGATTTATCATTGTTATGACTATAATTTGTCGCATGTCAATTGTCACTGTCTGTAGCTGTCGCTGTCAAAGTCAGCAATTCAATTTTCCAACGTCTAAAAAAAACGTAAACGATAGTACTCAAGTAGTATTTGTTATTGTTTTGTTAACGATTATTACATTAATTTTCGTAAGCGAATAGATTTTTAACAACAAGATGGGTGTTATTAGGTCAACCGAAGTTCCTTGAACGCTAACAGTGTGTTTAAAATTAATATGACGAAGCGAAACCCGCGATGATTTTAGATTAATTATTTGAAATGTTACCCATATTAATGTTTAATATGGATGGGAGTAATAATGCGAATACTTTTAACTCTATCTACGATGTAAATAATGTTTTAAATAGTGTTAGGAGTAGGAAGAAAGTGTCTGAACTCCCGAATTGTCCTGTATGCAGTTGCACAATTCGTCAGGGAGAATTAGATTCACATTTAGCGTTAGAAGTTGAGCGGCTACAAAAATTATCCAGTGGTTCGAAAAGGAAGTTAAGTGTCAACTGTTCTACGCCGGTTGCGGGTTCGAGTGCCAGTTTGGACGATAATACGGATGATGTCGATGTAACAGGGTGTCCTGGTAGCGATGTTTATGAAGTAAGTTAAAAAAAAAACACGTCAGTAAAATTACAATACTATAACACGGTAATAAATAAAATACGTTTCATGAATTGACTCAGTATAAAAATACTGCTAGTTTATAAAATTTACATGATTTTTTTTGACATTCGGAAACAAGTAGGCCAATGTTACATAGTCTGCCATACATTTATATCCTTTAATTTAATTTTTAAACTTGAATCAAACAATCAGAGAGTCAACAATCATGATCATAGTATAAGATGTAGATAGGTTGGCTCACAATTACATAGTCAATGATTTTGTTAGTATAGTCCTAAAATTTTGTTCTTTTATTACATTTACAAAACACAAAAGCAATTATCTTTAGCTACATAATTTACTAACTTTTATGTTTAGTTTCTCCTGGTTAAATAGTGTCAGTAAACTAGGAAAAAAGACATATTAAGAATGTGTACCAGGGTACATTCCATCAAGTTTTATTATATTGTTTTCTGTCCATACAAGGTAAAGAAGATTTTTACCTCCCACAGCTGTGTAAAGAAATTATTTATCTATAGGTCTTAACTTAGTACTCACTTTTTATTTAAGAGAGTCCATGGCAACCGAATGCGACGACTTCGGTCGCGTCGTCGTTCCCCTCCGCCCCAGACGGGGCAGGGCGAGTGCCCCGTGTGCAACGCGACGTTTCCTGTATCGAGACTGCAGCGTCACGCACTCAGATGCCTCAAGAGGAGCGGTGCTGAGATGGACGATGTGCCCGATACCAGTTCAGAGGAAGGCAGCATTGATGTTGAGGTATGGTAAAGCTTACATATACTCCCAAATGCATGACAAAAGTAAAAAACCGATAATCTTCATAATTTAGAAAATTAGTCTAAGCATTTATTTAAATAGCCCATTTATCTACTACTAGCTGCGTCAGCTGCGGCATTGATTTAGTCTGCGTAACATAGTTATCTTGAGCATCCACATTTGTTATTACAAATCTCCCTCTTTAATTTTTTTAAAATTTAAGCTGTTATCCATGATGTGGTGATGTCCCGTCGTTTTCATCATTTTAAGAAGAATCATTCTCTCATACATATTTTTTGTGTATCTGGAAACGATTTCGGAGCGTTACGCATCGGAAACCTACAAAGATGAATCGTTTTCCCCGTTTTTTTTTATTTTTTTCTCTTTTTCCTTTCGCTCCTCTTCGCCTTTTTCGATAAATACTCTAACCAACATAAAAATATTTTTTAAATTCAAACTCCTTAATTCTCTTCCTGAGATAAGTGCATTAAAACAAAAAACAAACAATGCTTAGGAACCAGGACTTTTTTATAGCTGTATTTTATTACTATTTCTCCATTCATAATGACATACAATGTTGATAAAACTAAATACATATATATGTATTGAGTTATACATAGTAAATTTTTTGCTTCTCTGTATGCCTGCAATAATAAAGAATATTCCTTTTAGAATGATGAACCAAGTGGATTTGGGGCTGAATACCAATGGTGTGGGGAATGGAGGGTGAGGGCCACAGCTCTTCAGAACTCGGAGACGAGACCTGGGACCAGCGTTCGACGAGCTTCCACTGATCATGCATTGGTAATAATTAATCTACATTAATTTTTTGTAAAAATAGAGCAGACATATGTTGGATGATGATTTCACGATTATTTTTCAGGTGGTCGATGATGATGAAGATACAGAGTTGTATGGACCACCTCAGTATTCACCATCAAGGATAGAACCTGATGTAAGTGAAATGTTTCTTACCCCATGTAGCATGGGCAGATATTTCGTTGGTTTTACATGCTAGTTCTCTGGAAGTAAGGATTGTTCCCCTTTTTCTATTAAGTATTTAAATAATAATTACTTGTTTGCCAATTATTATGGAATAGATTCCATTTTCAGGCTGAGGAACCACCACAGAGTACAAGCGAAGTGGAATGCGAACAGAGCGAGATGAACAATGAAGAAAATGTTGTGGAAGTTAGGAAACCAAATGGATTGGTCGAAGCTAGTGCAGAGGTAATTTTTTTGCTTATAAACGATCAATGTAATACAAAAAAGTAGATATAAATAATTAATAAAAAAATTGTGATAAAAAAGTTACCAGGATCTTATTCAGCACAGAAGTGGTAAGACTTGTTAGAATGGAATAATTTTATAGACAGAAAGCGGTCATTTTAGATGCATACTAATATATAAACTTGTCCTTTCCTCTGTGGATACTATGGTTAATACATAAAATTAATAGAATGAGTTTGTTTATGTAACTATTAAAGCTACCTTAACATTTAAATGATTTATTTTTTATTGAAGTATTATATTTCTTTATTAAATTCCAGACCAGGATACAGGCTCTTAAGATGAAAATCAGAGAATTAGAAAAGAAACAGAATTCTGCTGCGGAGGTGAGTTTCACTATATATTGGATCAAGTTTTCCATGCCATGTTTAACATCAACTCTATTTTCTATCCTTTCCCTTTATCACAAAATGATGAGCAAATAAACTTTTTGACATGAATCTCCTTAAATTCTGTCGAGAGATTTTTTTAGAGTAGAATTTAGGAAAAGTGATTTAATTTGTTCTTTTTATTAGTATTGCTCTACGTGTTCGCTAATATCTATCCTTTACTTTGTTTCAGGCCAAATGTTTAATATGTCTTGCACAATATATATCTCCAGCTGTCTCCATACAGTGCTGGCATGTCTACTGCGAGGTTAGTATTCCTGTCTGCCATTTTATTGAGGGTGATGTTTTGGTTCTAGAACATATCTAGGCTTCTGTACCCTTACATAGAGGGCATGATACAGATATGAAAACAATACACAATATATGACTAGTTGCGTCAGCGACTTCGTTCGCGTAGAACAGTTATTTCTATCTAATTCTATTACTCTTCATCTTTATAAATTCAAGCTATTACCCACGACGTCAGTCGCTTCCTCTCGTTCTTGTAACTTATTCTTAAAATATAGACTCGGACATTTTCAAACAAACAAAAATACTTCATCTTTATATATTACTGATTTATATGTTGCTTTGGCTTTTTTCAGGTATGCTGGCTGCAATCACTGAAAGCGAAAAAAATATGTCCGCAGTGCAACGCCATAACGACCGCTAATCATTTGAGAAGGATATACATGTAATGGATGACAAAGACGAACTATGTCTGCGCCTCGTCATTTGTACTGTCTGTACAAATGCAATGTCTGTAAGATGACACAACTTTTATTTCCCTTGAGGAATTGCAGTGATATTGAAGCGGACGTTTGTAGTTATATAATACGAATCATGACCAGTAATAAAGACATGTACATTGTACATCCCGGACATGCGAAAAATTAGGTTATGAAAGAAGACGAAAATATGTTTTTATTTGAAATAAATGTGCAGATACCGGCTACTACAGCTACTAGGTTTGTGAAAAATATTCAACGACTTGTAAACAGTCATAAAATGTGTTGTGATGGGAACAAAGGAAGTGTGAAAGCAAGTAGATTTGCTCAGTGATTAATGGTAAGGACTAATAGATGTAAACAAATGCCTTCCATGAAGATATACAATAATGAGACGTAATTTACTATGTAAATAAAATTATTTGTCTACTTTGTTGTTTCCTTTCCGACTCGCTTAAATAGATCTGAACAACAGAAGCCTCTTGTGTTTTTTTTATGAGAAAGGAAGATAAAATGAAGAATGAGATAAGATGAATGAAGAGGAAATAAAAGGTGAAAAACTCCAGCCATATAATATCAAAACCGAAACGCGATTAAATTCGGTCTGGTAGGAAATTTTGGTGAAGTGTTTCAGAAGAATTATAAATTTAAATAAAACACTTTAACGGTTTAAAACGCGATATATTAGTTGAACTTATTTGAAAATTATTTTTAACTTCGGCCCGACGTTTTGGATGCTTTGCAGCAGCCGTGGTCACGGGGAGACTGACTGATTATAAACTGTTGAGAAAAATGTTAGACCAGCTGGGGATCGAACCCGTGATCGCAGTGCTTATTAGCCTTGTTTGCTGCTATTAGATCAACGGGCCCGTCAACATAGATTTAGTTTGATGTACTAATCATTAGCTTCCGCGCTGACTAGAGTTTCTACAGCGTCAGCGGGATCCGCCTGAAAAAAAACATACATGAAGTAACTATCAATATTTAACTGATATAAAATTAGTCTGAATTACTATAATTATATTACAGTTGATAATACAGATAAGACTTGATGGTAGGTGGAACAACCCAGCCCTATACCATCTCAACAAAATGCGTTGTCGACCTATTTAGGTCTTTATCAATATCCTTCAAATATTTTTGAGGTCGGTTGTTATTACAAGGACCGCGAAGAAGTACTTGTACAGAAGCGTCACCTGCATGTCAGCTACTGTAAGCGGCGGCTCATCTTCTCTTAACACAGTTTCACCATCCAATTTCTTCAAGTTCGGAAGGCGTCTCGCGGCTTCTGACCTCCACACCTCCAATTCACAGGCGTCATATAACGGGTTTCCAACGAATAACAGGTCTTCGAGATTTGGTAATTCCTGAAACAAAAATAACACCCCCCCCCCCCCCATACAATAAAAACTATCGACATATTAAGAACCGCGTTGTAATAACATTTAAATAAAACACTTTATCAGCTAAAACGCGATATATATTAGGTAAACTTATTTGAATATTATTTTAACTGTGGTCCGACGTTTCCGATGCTTTGCAGCAGCAGTATTTATGATAACTTTGTTTTAGGTAGATCTATTGAAGTAAACATGGCCATTAGCTGGACATCGTCATAATTTGTTATTTTATGTACACATTAGGTAACACCTCATACTTTAATAACATAATAGTGAACATTCTTATCAAACTTTGGGTGGCGTTTTAAAATTAAAAAAAAATTAAAACATGCAAGTCTGTACTTAATATTATAAAGCTGAAGAGTTTGTGTTTTGTGTTCAACGGGCTGCGACTAATGGGATCGAAGAAACAGAAGGAAATGTGGAAAAGCCGGGGTAATTTATTCATCTTTGAGGACTTCCGTTGCGTGCACTGCGAAAACGATTCAAAAAACTATGTGTGAAAGAACGATTCTTCTTGTAATAATTTTAAAAATATCCGTTCGTGTCAAATCTGCCTAAATTTTACCTGTAGCTTATTAAATTCGCTCCATTCTTTGACTAAGTTGTTACTCATGTAAAGCACTCTCAAATTGCGCAAGACATTAATTCCTTTCAGTTTTTCTATCAAATTATATGACACCCACAGTTCTTCTAATGTATCTGCGAGGCATTCCTGAAATGAAAAACCTACAATAATGGACTGTTATCGTAGCTTTTTGTCTTACTTAAACCTACATTCAAGAAACAGGACTACTAAGAAGTTGGCGACTTTTAAATATTTATATCAATCACTTTTTACGATTTAAAACGATAATTCTATTAGTAACCTTATTATTAACTTAACCGCCCGTTAAGGGCCCGTTTAAACCGTTATAAGTGTTTTATTTGAATGTGTACTACTCACGTAAAAAAAACAATACACGACTTTGAAGGTACCTTCCCGTTGTCTATACTTTTCGCGAAACGTATTGTACATAAAATTAACAACTTTTTACTGTTACAAACACGAATAATATATTAAACAATTGATTCTTAACTACGTTCCGATGTTTAAAAAGCAATTACTTAATAGATTTTATTTAAATAAAATGATATTTAAATAAAACGCATTTTTGTATGTTTTGCATTAATACAGGCATACTGACCATTCCAGAAAATGATTTAATATAATTCCTTCCCAACGACAAAATACGCAGTTTCTTCAAACTATTCAAACCTGTTACTTTTTCTATCATATTCGTAGACAAGCTCAATTTTCTGCAATAAGTGTATATTTGTTAAAAACTAATTTTTCTTTAAAGACGAGAGAGGACAGATCAGCATTTCGTCCACAATATGAAACGCCATTAAACTATTTTGAGTTTAATCATACCTAAAGGATCCGTTCGTTAGTTTCATTAAAATCGGAAGCTACTAAAAATATATTTAATCACCAAGATTTTTAATTCAGTTAATTTTCTAGTAAGCTCTAGCCACCTCCGTAGCTAAATGGACAAACGTTGCGTATAAAAACGAGGGATCTTGGGTTCGAATCCCGGGTAAACAATAGATTGTTTCGGTCTGATGCCTGTGAAAGAACCGATCTAAGAAACGGACACAGAAACGTGTTAGCCTCATGCCCTACGGGACTTCTCTTTTCTTGCAAACTAACTTAAGAAATCGTTTTAACTAGTATACAATACCCTTATTATTATCTTGTGAAAAACTTACTCGCAAGCAGTTAAACACGCGAGGGAATTGTCCATTTTCTCGATCGGCGGCCATTGAAACACCAGACTCACTTCTGTGGCCGTCGCCGCGTGCTGACCGCTTTTATCTTCCCAGCGTTTAATTGCTTCTTTTATCGTTGTAGCTTTGGGGGCGGCCATTTTGTGTATGGCCAAGGATTTTACTTGGCAACGACGAAGACATTGATTTAATAATCTAAGTCCACAAATACGAGTATAATAAAGAACTTGCGAACTATTTACAATATTATTTTGTTTGTACAATTTTGCACAGTTTGTCAATGTCAAAGCATTTATTTCATGAGAGCAGTAAATACATAATTATGATAATTAATTTAGATCTTAAACAACGTTAAAGAACATTATGTATTCACAAGAGTAAATATTTCTAAAGAGTAAGAAGTAAAAAATAAGTACTTATCTTATTTAAACAAAGTCATACAAATTTTAAAAACAGAAAGTAAATAGTAATTATAGTGGATTATTTACGATAACTTTGTTTACTAAATACTGTCTGTAATTAAGCCGAGTACTTAGTACACATTAAAAAATAATTTTACTTGATTTAACTTATATATCGCGTTTTAAACCGTTAAATTATTTTATTAAATTTTGTTTACTGCAAACGGTTGGACATGGCATATTTATAAAATGCTTACCCACAATATAAAATTGGAGTATACAACTATTACATATAACAAATATTTTAACTCATTTTGGATTTATTTTAACTACGACCTACGCGACCACGTCGTCTCCCGAAGTATTCGAAACATCATAGTCAAAATAAGTTAACTTCAATATTACGGATTGTAAATCTTCTTACGCTATAACTGATGTTGCAATAATAAAAAAATAAAATTACATATTTTTGTGTCAATTTGTAGATTTATTGTGTTTGGGAGTAACTAAATTAAATTGCCTACTTTAGGTAGAGATAGATAGATATATTTTTCTTTGTCAGTTTCCGAAAATCTGAGAAATTGAAAATGACCTAACAGAGAAACGGCGCGGTTTCGATATATTAATTTACGAAAGTGTTTAATGTCGCTTCTAAGGCTTCAAAATAAATAAATCAGCGTGTCAACATATTTTATTCGAGTTCTTCTTGTTTCTAGGTATTTTCAAATGTATTGTGTTGACGTGCGATTTCAAAGAGCTGCTCTGGTTGAACCGTTTCGAGCAGTATTGACACTCGTACGGTTTGGACCCGCTGTGCACCTGTGAGACAGACAAACAGAGTGTATGACCAAAAAACTCGGTTTTCTTGAAAGCAATATTTTAAAAAAGGCGGGAGAATTATTCATGTTTGAAAACTCTCTTTGCGACTGCGAAAAGCATCCAAGAAACCAAAAAATTGTATGCACGAATGATATACCTCTTTGAATGATCTTAAAAATGTCCAAGACAGTATATTAACTCGCGAGAATCTTTCTAAAGGTAATGAAATTTTGTCGAAATTAAAGCATATTTTTCATTTATATGATTATATAAAAATAGTAGGGGATGGGTGGCATGAAAGGGACACGTATTGAAAGGGACAATTCAAATTACGGGTTAAATATAAATGATTTCGAGACAAAGATATTTTTGTCGTATGGCAACTTTGATGCAAGTTCGTTCGCGCCAAACTTCATACTCCACCCATTTCAAACACGGCGGTTACGTACGAGTGTTGTTATTGTGATCGAATAGTTTTTTTTTCTGTGTGAATTGTAAACGTTTTATCGAGTGCTGCTAGTTACTCAGTTGTGTGTAACTTACTGTTTAAGATAGGCTGGACATCCATAGACGTAAGAATATAAGGTCAGTTAACTTTAATTTAATATTGTAGATTTTGTGGTTATGTATCAAATTTTCGTATGATATTTATGAAAGGGACAGGACAAATGGCTATGAATGGGACGTCCCCTTCATAACTGTCCCTTTCAAGCCTGTTATTTTACTAGGTTTATAATATTTCTTTTTTTTATTTAGATTAAAATGGCACCTAAGAAAAGAACGCGTGTCGAGACACACAAAATTGAAGAAGCAGTTAATGAAGTATTACAAAAAGGCATATCTGTGAGATCGGCTGCGAAAGCATTTAACGTAAGCAAATCGCATTTGCACAGATTGATCGTAAAGGCTAAAAGTTCTAAATGTACATCATTTGTTTATGAACCTAACATTGGTAATAAAAAAATTTTTACGGTTGACCAGGAATGTTCTCTGGCAGAATACTTAAAGACGTCAGCAAAAATGTGTCATGGCTTGACTACTAAACAAGTCAGAGAACTAGCATATCAGTATGCTGTTCGTTTAAATCTTTCTATACCCTCTTCTTGGGAAAAAAATAATACAGCTAGTCAAGATTGGCTTAAGGGTTTTTTAAAAAGGCATGATTCGCTGAGCGTAAGAAAACCTGAGAATACTTCTCTAGCTAGAACTACGAGCTTTAATAGACACAACGTTCAAAACTTTTTTAATTATTTAGAGAAATGTTACTTAAAGCATAATTTCCCTCCAAATATGATATATAATTTGGATGAGACTGGGTGCACAACGGTCACTAATGCACCAAAGATAGTTGCCCAAGCAGGTGTTAAGAGAGTTGGTCAAATCAGCTCAACTGAACGTGGAGCGCTTGTTACTATGCTCGGTTTCGCAAATGCTGCTGGTGGAAGTATTCCTCCTGTTTTTATATTCCCACGTGTTCATTTTAAGGAACACATGCTAGAAAATGGTCCTACAGGTGCTTTAGGCCTCGCTAATGTTTCTGGTTGGATAACTGAAGATTGTTTTTTAAAAGCTTTGAAACATTTTGTGCACTTTGTTAAGCCTAGTGCTGATTCGCCGGCTTTAATTGTCCTCGACAACCATAAGACGCATATAACCATTAATGTAGTGCTGTATGCCCGAACAAATAACATAATAATACTAACCTTTCCACCTCACTGTAGTCACCGACTGCAACCTCTCGATGTGACAGTATTCGGGCCCTTCAAAGCTCGATATAGAGCCAGCATGAATGACTGGATGACCTCAAACCCTGGCAAAACTGTCACAATTTATAATGTGGCTCAATTTGCTAAAGATGCTTTCTTTGCTGCTTTTAATATGAATAATATATCCTCTGGTTTTAAGAACACCGGGATATGGCCAATTAATAAAAACATTTTCTCAGATGAAGATTTTTTGCCTGCTTTCGTGACTGACAGACCACAGAATCTCAAGACTCCCACTGATTTATCTGAAGACTCTGACAAATCTTCCTCAAATGAAGAAGAATTGCCTCAAAGATCTTTTAATGTCATTAACCCTGAACTTGATTCAAATAAACGAATCGTTTCACCGTCCATTTTAAGTCAACCACAAGCTGGGCCCTCTACTTTTAATGATTCGCAACCTGAAACATCGATCATAAACGAGATACGACCAGGATCTTTTACTTTGAATGATCCACAACCTGGAACATCAACCATAAAAGATACACGACCTGGATCTTCTAACTCTGCTTACCTTCTAATAACTCCAGAAGTCGTTCGACCATACCCTAAAGCTTTACCACGAAAATCTACTGGGAAGCAACGTAAAGCTAAAACTACGATTATAACGGAAACCCCTGAAAAAGAAAGACTGCTTTTAGAAAATATGATGGATATCTTAAAAAAGAAAACACCCAAATCTGAGAAACAAAACCTAAAACATGTGAAACAAATTTTTAAAAATAATTTAGCAGATCAAGAATCTATCAAAACGAAACGTAACGAGAAAGCTAAAAAGAAAAAAATGAATATTACGAAAAATGTTACAGTTAGTCAAAAGAAGAAAAAGGCTGCACGAAAAATTGCAAGCAGTAGCAGCAGCAATAGCAGCGATGCTTCGTCAAATATAGATACGGGTTCTGACTCAATAAATGATATATTAGAAAATGAAAAAGACGCTCCAAGGTTAAGAAAACGTACAATTACAAAAAATAAAACAGGAGACGATGACCAATGTAATGTTTGTAAGAAAACATATTTAGAAAGCACTGAAGATTGGTATCAATGTAAAATTTGCACAAAATGGGCACACGAAACCTGTGGCATTAAAGGTACTTTTAATTATTTTTGCTCACTATGCCACTAAAAACTGCAATGATTAGTATCTAAGTTTAGTTTAACTTTACAGACTGTAATTTAAAGTTTATAGAGACTGTTGACTATAATTCTATTAAAAAGCAAATTATTATTTTTCAAAGCTGTTAAAAAGAGATGATTACAATTTTTTATTTTCTTTTAATTTTCTATAAGTGTTTAATTTCTTGTTAATTATAAGAAAAGTGATTATAAGGGTCTTAAAAAAGTTTTTAATAATGTTTTAAGTTTAATTGTATCTAAGAAAAACATTTTATTATTGTTAATTTCTATTTTAGTTACATAAAAGTGTTTATTTCATTAGTTTTTAGATTAATATGGTAAGATAAAATAATGACAACTGTTAAAGTCGCTTTAAAATGTGATTTATTACATATATAAGTCGTTCATATATATATATTTTCTCAAAATTAGGTACTGTCCCTTTCAAAAATTATTACGTCCGTTTCAATACAGTCCATTTATGAAAGGGACAAAATACACATTTTTTAAATATACGTAAATAAAGAATTAAGAAATTATTTATGACAATTATTGCATTTCATTTCAATAGTTCGTTAATAAACGCTTCCTATTCGTCTCTAATCTGTTCCAAATATTGCATCAATTACTTACTATGATCTTAAATTCAAAAATGTCCCTTTCATGCCACCCCTCCCCTATATATATATTTTTTATAAAGAAACTACTCAAATCTATCCATGAATAGTGATAAAATCAATTTACCCTGTAATGTCTGTTGAGAGCCGGTTTCTGTGTGAATTTTTTCCCACAAATCGGACAAGTGTACGGGCGCTCGCCCGAATGGGTGCGACTGTGTATCCTGTAAAAAATTGCTCATTTACGACTTATATACATTTAAAACATTTCTTTAGTTCACTTATTTTTAATTAATTATTACTACAATCTGACGTTATGGGGGCGGGATGCTTTTCAGCAGCCGTGGTCACGGGGGACTGAAGATGTAGAGTGCCCCTTATGTCAAAGTCAGTGATTATACGAAACGACTGTACAATTCCGACTTTACAATAAAGATGATTTCGCTTAAGAAATAGTTATAGTAAACTAAGTGGCAGTAATACCCGTACCCCACTCTACATAAAATAAGTCAATATAGATCGTAAATCTTTACCTTAGATTCTCTTTGGACGTGAATCTGGCACCGCAAGTGTTACAAGGAAATGGTCGTTCGCCGTTATGACGTCGCTGATGGTACTTCAGTGTGGCCAGTGACTAAAAATAGCATATATCAATGGAAAACTAGTTTGTACATACATTCTGTGGTTTACGCGAGTAGTGCGCATTTAAATAAAACACTAAGGGTTTAAGCGGTCTCCCTGTGACCACGGCTGCTACAAAGCATCCGAAACTTCGGGCCGTAGTTAAAATATTTTTCAAATAAGTTACATTAATATACATCGCTTTAAGTGTTTTATTTGTATAGTTTGTACATAATATTTGTTTAATTACAAGTAGGATAAAAAAGGTAAAAAATGATGGTACAATGGTATAGGCAGGACTCGAATCTACGACCAGTGCGATAGTTGTTTTTTTTTTCATTACTGCTGCCATTACTTTTTTAGTTGCATAAATTGATATGCTCACCGTACAATGCTTCCCACAGACTTCGCAGACGATATTCTTATCGTACTTCATGCCGAGGTGGACCCTCCGCATATGCGCACTCAGTTTGTGCACACTGAAGAATGACGCATTGCACTGGAAAAGATTAACAAATATTGATGCATTTTACACAGTTTTTCCACATCAGAGATAAATTAGCAATTACTTTTAATGACATTTGTTTAACGACATAGGTTAAGTTTAGTTTTTTGAAACTTTTACCGTCTACGCAGCGCACGCAATGAAGTCTCACATATTACCCCTCTTGCCCCGTTTTTGACATACTTCGGCCATTATCCGACCTATTTTAGATACAGGGAATTATTAAGTGTATTATCTATAATAATATTATGAAGCTGAAGAGTTTGTTTGTTTGAATGCGCCAATCTCAGGAACTATTGGTGGAATTGAAAAATTCTCTGTGTTGGTTAGATCATTTATCGAGGAAGGCTTTAGGCTACATCACGCTGCCAAAAGGAGCAAAGAAACATTGACAAATATGGGAAAAACGGGCAAAATGATTCATCCTAGAGGGTGTCCGTTGCGTGCGCTGCGAAAACGGTTCAAAATATCCAATAAATATGCACAAAAGAATGATCTCTTTATACATTTATATGAGTGTGTGTGTACTTACATGCGCGCAATTGAGGGATGTCAGAGCCGGTGTCTTCTCGTAGTCGTGATTTTTCTGTTGTATGTTTGTGTGAGATCGAATATGAGCCTGTCTCGCTTCGAGGGATACATCTTCATTGCACACCGGACATGTTGAACTAAGGAATATTACATGACGTGAATGCAATTTTTTGAAGAGGACAGACAACGAGAGTTTCACGGTGTCTAACATGATTGAGATGGATTATAATTGATTTTAAAAAATACATTCGACCCGGTGGGAATGGAACATAACTTATAGATTGATAACAATGTAGTGACGACGAGTCAACTTATGACATCAATGTATAAACACATACGTATTAGAAAAAGTGGATTTTTTAATAAATTTTTCTCTATTATCCTCCGATAATAAATATTTATTTAACGTTCATATTTACTTCATTTTGTATACTAGATCTCAGATCACCATCGTTAAATGTCTTAAGTAATTAATTCAGCCAAACGGACACAATAATGTGGCCACTATATAACGTACCTTTTCGAATCGAAATGATAATGAGTCGTCAACACGTGCCGCTTCCAAGCATCCAACGTTTTAAATTGCATATCACACTCTTTGCAGAAGCTATCCGAGATCGGTTCATCTTTTTCGTCACCCTGTAAAATGGAAAGCATTATACAGAAACAGCAAGAAATGTCGAAAAAACGGGGAAAATTATTCACCATTGTGGGTTTCCATTGCGTACGCTGCAAAAACGGTTCAAGATACCCAAAAAAATATGTATAAAGAATTATTCCTCTTTAAATGACCTAAAATAACGCGGCAGTATATGTCTATCGTATATATAGAATGCGGTGTGCCTGTTGTCATTTTCATTGCGATCTACTAGCAAACTGCAAAGCAAAGGCTTAAGTACTAGAGCATAGTTAAGGTATAAATAGAACTAAGTAATTTATGAAAAGGGCCGATTAAAAAATAATATGGTTAAATAGGGACACAATAAAAAGAAAAAATAATATTTCAACAAAGTCGCAAATAAATCTTCATGTTACCGTGAGGACTCTATGAGTCTTGGTCGTGTGCATGCGCAGACCGTGCTCGCTGACGAAACTTTCACCGCACGATGAGCAGGAGTGCTTGTTCACGTGCGATTTCCGCAAGTGCGTGAAGTAGGAGGACGGCTTTCTTAAAATGAAGAAAATCAATACTGTATTCTAACGATTATACTTAACTTTGGAAATATGTGTCGAGATTTAGTCAAATGTGAAATCCCGGCATAGAGCGAACATATTTCTGTGTCCCTTTGACTTATTGATTTTATTTCCCCTGGATTCGATCCCAGAATCACTCTATGGAGTCAGTCGAGAAGCATCAAAAAGACTCAACACTTGGTTAACAAGATACTCTTTTGTAACATCAATGATATTTTTTTTACCTGAAGCTTTTCCCACATAAGTTGCAGGTATAAGTTCTGCCCTTGTGCCATTCTTCGTGTTGTTTAGCTTGGTTCCTAAAAGTATATAAAAACATCAATAATCATCATATTCGAAGAATTAATAATTGTTAATCCTTCGAGCAATCGAGGAGGCTAAACCAATTTTGATGAAACTCAATATAGACTACTGACAAGTGGTATTTACATAAATATAATCTTATCTTGGTTTTGAGGCTTTTTGCCAATATATAAGTTTTAATTTTCTCGTGTTAAATATATATTTTTTTCTAATAAGATGATCTAGTGATTACAATTTGTGATAGTCACTAGACCATCACAGCGTATTAGATTTTTGTTTAATAAATATTCTTAACTCGCCTAGTGTGGGTAATCTGCTTGCACGTGTGACACTCGAACCTCCGCGCATGCGCAGCCTTACAGTGTGTGTTCATTTGACGTTTGCTCGCGTAACGAAGGTGACACATGTCACATTTGTGCGGTCCGCTGCTCTAAAAGTAAATATAGTACTTATTTAGTATCTTTGAGAAAAAAACAAACACCAGAAAATAGGAACATAGAAGATCTAGCTTCAAATCCCGTAGATACTTTGAAGATTGTTTGGGTTAGCTTGCTTTTAGGTAAAATCGCGCAGTGAAGTGGCAAAAAAACACATGAAAATCCGTTGCGTAGTTTGAAAGATTTAAGGGTACATAGGGAGAGAAAAAGCGACTTTGTTTTATACTATGTAGTGATATGCATATTTGTGTGTATGATTAACTAATTTGTATAGAGTATAGACTATAAAAATCGGGTTGGACAGCTGTCAGACTGACCTCGTCGTGCTTTTCTCTGTGCTTTCCGAATGCGAGCGGGTCGATGAACCCGCGGTAGCACAGACTGCATTTGTACGGAGAGTTTAGGTAGTTGATGGATTTTGCGCGTTCCTGCATCTCGTTCAATTGCTCCTCTTTTGTTAGTATTATTTCCCGGGCGTTTACCTTTTTGTATACTGAAAATTAAATATTTTATTTTATCATATACAATTGAAAGTGTCAACTAATTCAATTTTTTAAATAACAAAAATAATATCTTAAAGTCTTGAAACAACCAAATAGGCTTTTAACTTTTGAGAATTTGGATTAATTATTTGCTGCAATTAAAAAAAGCGAATCTATACAATATAAAACTGAAGAGTTTGTTTGTTTGTTTGAACGCGCTAATCTCAGGAACTACTGGTTTGATTTTAAAAATTCTTTTTGTGTTAGATTATCGTCGCGCTGTTAGTCACAGTCTTCATCGGAGCGAAGAAACAGCGAGAGATATGGAAAAAAACGGAGGAAAATTATTCATGTTTCATGAAAACGGTTCGAAATACCCAATAAATATGTATAAAAAAATGTCCGCGCCTCTCATATGTCTATCTTTGAAGATTAACTTGCAAGGATGACAGCACGAAGAGGAGATTAGCAAAACCAAATTTGGATGGCAAAAATAACTATTATACGCGGACTAAGTGACTGACACAGCTAGTATTATATAACAATATAATTTTTGTAGGATTACACAAATAATTAAATACTTTAATGGAATTTAAGAGGTTTCTTAGTAATCTTATCTTCATGGGAATAGACTTAGACATTTTATGAGTGTGGTTCCTTGTAATGTTACCCTTATAGTCCTTTTCATTCTTCACTATATCAATGTCTGCCTGCAATTCACTTAACGGAACGTCATCTTCTGAGTCGGATTTAATGAGTACATCATCTAAGTTATCTTGAGCCAAATCTGTGATTAATAAATAATTAGTCTTTTAACATGTACGTAGTCAAACAACATTTTAAAAAGGTAACAAGCATAGAGATCTCATTATGACACTACATCTATCTACCATACCAATAATTCTATATAGGATGTTATAATATATACAATTAAGAAAAAAAAGATTTTGTTTTAATCTACAATACAATGTAATTAAAAAAAAATGTAAACTTATGTCAATAAAAATTAATGTACATTATTTGTAAATGTAATTCTTTTTAAAATATTATTTAGTTCTCTAATCCTGTTCATAGAATGACTATCAAGCTAAATTATAAGTGTGTAAACAATATGCCACACCTCTTATGGTAGATCATAATCTTAAGTAGCTTACCATGGTCACCCTCCACTTCAGCATCTTCTAGTTTAATTTCCTTTTGATTATTATCATTGCCATCTTCAATCAAAATGTCTTTAATCCCATCAATCACAACATCATCTAACTTGGATATAACTAATTTGAAAATGTTACCATTGCATTCTCTAATCTAAAAAGTAATAGTAAAAAACATTACATTTGGCCCCATTACAGTGATCTGTCTGTGGCTTATAACAAAAAAACATTTTTCTTCTTTTTAACAATCATTGTCAATAAGGAGAAAAAAAATGTACTAATAGGCTGTACTATTATTTGTATAAGAATTATGTTAACACAACATTTATGGTCACCATGCTCTTGTAGATTAACATTTTTAGACTAATAATTAACATAAGTCAAGTCATAAAATTGTAGTAAGGCCGTATCTAGGGGCCTGTAACATATAGTTATATTAAGTAAATTATATACCAGCATATCACTACTTTCAAAGATGGATAAAGCATTATTGGCTTTGATGGCTTGCATCATAAAGTGGTAGCACTTTTTTAGAAGCGAATTGCAAATATAGCAACAGTACAAAGGAGCAGAAGCTACCTGAAATGAAAAAATATTGCTCATTACTACAACAAATCAATTGAACCTTGCTTATTCAGCTCAATAGTTATTTGCATTGCGTCATGTGCAAGTTTTTGGGTTGAATGTAGAGCGTTAAATACTTGCTTGTAAAAAAATACCGAATGGCATTCAACTCAAAAGCCGGTACGTAAAAAACACCAAAGTTTTAAAAGCATGCTTACATTATAACTAACTAATTTTTCATATAACTCAAATAGATATGACTTATTTAAATCGTGCATTCGCACATTTGTCGTCAAACAGATGCAACAGAAAGGCATTTTTAACTATTAGAGTATAAGTGATTATTGAACTATTGTAACGACTAATCGGAGAGATATTTCGTTATTTGGTTATTTTGAATATGGGTATTATGCATTTCGATATATTTCACTGTTACGCTTTCACATTTTATATAATAACTGTTTAATTATAAGTCACATAAAAACAATAACATAATTGAAAAGATGTGTATTTTGTTTACATTTCAGCTTTTCAGCTGTCATTTTGATAATTGACAGTGTTGATATGTCAAATTTTTTTAAATTTATATTTCCACTACCCGGAACCTAGCATATTAGCCTAACAATTATATAATTCTATTATTGGATATTATAATATCATTTGTTTGCTTATTTTATTTATTCTGCATTGCTTGATAAGCAGATTGCGTATTAATTTCATTATTTATATTATATCTCTATAATATAGAATCATGACAGTAGTAGTAATCAGCTGACATCGAACGTCAATGTCAAATATAAGCTACCATATAAATAAACACCAACTTGCAATCGCAATAATAGAATTTAAAATATAAAGAAAATGTCTCTAACCAGAGAAAAACCAGACTTAAGCAATGAAAATTTAAATCTAGTATGTCGAGCGTGCTTGTCTACGACAGGTATTTTTAAAAATATGTTAGACTGGGGATTAGCTATTGATTTTTACAAGATTACGAATATTATGGTAAAAACTTCTTTTATTAGAAAATATTCTCTGTATGTATAAAAACAAATGTAATATTAAGAAAATAATGTGTATCCTACTTTATCTAACGTTCTTACTTCGACTGTTCATACGATTATAATTTTTTAAGGACAATAAGAAATTTAACTTTATTTGCTAAAACTGGCAAGATATAAATGAGTCAATGGGCATTTTTTTATTGTCTATAATTTAGTTTGAGAATACATTGTAGCATTATAGATATGTTGATATACAATTTTTTTTATAAAAAGTATTAATTGTTTTCCTAATTTCAGCTTCATCCTGCCGACACAATATCTAAATCTCTGTGCATAGCATGTGAAGAAATTCTTACAACATGTATGAGATTTAAGAGGCAGGCAGAGGAATCTGATTCAATTTTGAAGGAAGCAATTAATGTAAGAATGTATATGCTAGTTTAAACATAAATCAGAAATTTACATTTACAATTAAGATTACATATTAGATCAGTGCTAACATGAAATTTAACACAATTAACAATACACCATACAATAACAATAAGCAATAATTTGTACACAATGATGAAATAGGCACATTTGTGGTAATTTTATGTATTCATTATAGCATTTTTTCAGAAACAAATTGCAATATCCTCAAACAATGAATCAAATGAGCTGCAGAAAAATGAAGAAAATGATATACAATTTGTAATAGATGATAATAAGATAATATACAAAGTTAACGCACCAAATATGGATACTAAACTTTACTATACTTGTCCTTTCTCATGTAATTTCTCTTGTTTAAAACAAACCCAACTTTTGAACCATTTGAAGATGCATGATAAACATATCAATTATGAAGTAGAAGTACAGTTCTATTGTTCTTATACAAATTGCGCTTACCATGTCCACTCTGGCAAGAACAAGTACTTCCCTCACAGGAAAGCACTGAATCAGCACACTAATAAAGTTCATAGCCACAAAATCATTTGCAGAGAATGCAATTTGACTTTCACGGCACAAATTGGTTACAATCAGCACCTGGAAACATGTAGATTTATCTACTGCTGTGAGATATGTGATAAGAAATATCCAAAGAATGAAAGTCTTATGGTGCACCTAATGCGTCATCACCCAGAAGTACACAAAAAGTATAAAAAAGAGAAAGCCGAAAAGCGAAAATCTGAAACTTCCACGACAGCGAAGAAACATAAAGATAAAGTTGATGTAGGCGATAGTCCAAAGCGATCTCCTAAGAATGTTAAGAGCAATGTCCTGTTGTCATGGCAACCTGGAAACGAGATATCCACACAGACGCAATGCTTCGACCTACCCTCACCTAGATCGCAGACGAGCGAAAATGAATCGTTCTTCTTTTCTGAAACGGTGTCCCTATCTGATATACAAACTCAGACTATACCTATAGAATTTGGATTAAATAAGGAGACTATTACTAGTCAAACTCAGTTACCTGACCTCAGTATAAAGGAAACACAGACATGTCTCTGTTTATACGACTCCCAGACTAGATCTAGCGAGAGGGTTTCACCAAATTCAAATGGATCGTATCCGATGAATTGTATATCGACTGAAACACAAACTTTGGACTTTGATGAGCTACTGAGACACAATTCGGCTGAAACGCAGACCTCCTTTGATGATTTGCTGTCGGAGGATGGATTATGATGGTTGTAGGTTGATAAATCTATATTCTATGTCTACCTAAAATAATTAAGTCAAAGTCAAAAATCACGTAGGTAATTAGGGACACATATGAACGTCACAAAACTTATTTAATTTTACATTTACTACCAGTTCTCCAACGAAGAGCGTAGAACGAATTGGCAAGAAATTCGCCGCCACTCCTTGTAATGTTAGTAAGGTTAGACAAGCTGAAAACATACTATAATACTGATTAAATAGAAATAATATTGTCAGTTATTTGTTATACTTGACTTGGTATCCAAATCTTACGACCACAACTTGTTTATATTACGAGCTTGGCTAAACTTAATTAAATTTTTAATATGTAAGTATTCGGTGATAAATTGTTCTGTACATTATAGTAACTTGACTAAATTATTATTTTAATAGATTGTAAACCGTACATTTTAGTTCTACAAATAAAGATGATAAAATATATATTGTTATGTTTCATTTGTATATACAACAAGTTTGTCTTCTCGAACGACAATATCATCAGTATCACCTGCTATGGGTTTATTTGTGTGGGTATTCGTTACTCTTAAACGGCCGGACTGATTCCGATAAAATTTTGTGTAAAATCTTCTATCTTTACGGCCCTACTGCTTTTATTAATGACCAACTAAGATTTAAGTTCCATCTGGATCTCTTTTATTTTATTCTGTTTCAAATTTTTGTAACGTTAAAGTTTCGATAATACCGAAAATAAATCAAAAATATTTTGGTAGCGTTAAGGTGTGTTTTGTTAAAATATATAAAAGTGTAACCGATTGGTAGATTTAATGTAACTCGAATGTCTTGAATCATAACCTCTACATACCAATATTATCACATAATAATTATGTTAGGAAGTGTAGCCAGTATCAAAGGCCGATAGTCGGTACCCAGTACGGAGCGGTACTTGCAAAATCTATCGATTTTCGCACAGCACATGCGCCTTCATTCCGCTGATATTTCGCGAAAGGTACACACCTGTCTATTGAATATTTTTTTACGAAATGATGTGTCCGTAATTGCTGTGTTCAGTTATTGTGCCGTGTTATTTACAAAGAGTGTAAGTTCTAAATAAACCAATGCATTATACGGTTAGTGCTGTAACCGGGCAAAGATTAGAATCGACGGAGGACGACCACTTCTCTACGACACCAGCGCCACCGGACATTGAAATATGTCCTTGCCACGGGAGTTCATCTATAATAAGGTACTCCTATGAAGGATGGCCTCGTTGGTAAAATATAGGCAACTAGTACATAGGTAGAACGAGCAATATTCGAGTAAAATTTCTCAGGCTTAGTTTGGCCTGCCTCTGTGAAACAGAGTTCTAGACGCTGCGCCATCACCAGTGGATAGTTTTGGCGAGGTCAGGACGATTGCTATGTTAAGTAATTTGGGCAACAATCTGCTGTCAGTGGGTAAATGACAATTGGATTATCACAATATTTTATACATAATATGTAAAATAAAATTTGACGACACGGGCGGACGTGGAACAGCGTTCCGTATTGCTGCTTTAAGCAACTGAGCTACCGAGTTATAAAATTAATTATGATTTGATGAGGTAAACTAAGTTTTCTGAATTTTCATGGCTTGGAAAAAGCGGATATTGGACGTTTTCTGTTCTACCGTTATATAGGAAACAGTGAATATATAAGAACTTAGTAGGATACACATAACAACAAATTAAACCTAACGATAACAGATTGATAAATTCCCCGAAACGATACCCACGAGGGTTCTGTTTGGTGTGCGCTAGTTTTTTGTTGATTAGGGTTAGAATATTTAATTAAACTGCATAGTATCGCCAGGTACAGCTTAAATCACACATTGTTCCAGGAGCTATCGAAGCTGGAAAATGGTCTCCTCGGAACATCAGCTCCACCGACTTCCACCGCTCCTGTTTCGTGTTCCATCGATCTGCCGGGAGATGACATCATTGAGGTAACTATTCAAATCAATAATTGTATCATTTTGCCCTTTACCAACTAGGTCAATTCAATCTAGATCATTTCCAGGGGGTGCTGTCACCGGAGAAGGCTGGGTCTCTCATGTCGATCCAGTCCGCGCCACCTGAACAGCGGGAGAGAGTCGAACAGAGAGAGAGACCTGTCAGTCTACTCCTAGAACTGCCGTTAGCAACAGTATGTTAATTATAGGTTTTATCTACCAGATATCATAGCTATCGGAAAAATACCAGAAAGGCTACAATTTACTGAAGCATTAAAAATTGCGGTAAAGATAGAGGTAGCGATGATTTTTAATTTTGTGATTCAAAACAGATTTTGCATAGCTATTATTTGTAATTAAATGCATTGTTGTGTAATAAATAATTAAGAACATTTTAAAATGAATAATTTACTTTATCAACGTTATACCTCTATAAATATACCTTAGAATTACAATCGTTCGCTGAAAAGCACACGAGTACAGAGGAGAGAATGAAACATTTCTTTTTTAAATAAAACACTAAAAAGGTTTAAAAGTATATATTATTTAACTTATTTGGAAATTATTTTAACTATGGCCCGACATTTCCGTGCTTGACCGTGTGTTGTATTTAAGTTCGTAATCGCATAAACTACTGACAATATGAAACATTGCTTTATTCATATATGACTTGATAATTGGTGTGAAACCGTTTTTGAACAAAAAACATATTTATTAAACAGCTGTGGATAGCTAATATAGATTATTAAGATATGGTTTCAACATGGGAACACTATAAGCAATATACTACGTTACCATTCGTCAAAATACTTATTTAAAATTCAAGTGTTCGAATTTGCAAAGTTAAGGATAAAAGTTTCGTTGTTTTTGATGTTCTTTTTATAAAATTTTATAGGAGTTAGATAGTATTTTTCTTTAGAGCAAAATGTTGGTTAAACTAAACACGGTTACAGCAAGTGGGCGCTTACCTCTCCGCGATGTCACCAACGGAGCAGGAGGAGGATTCCCTCCTGACTCTGTCGTCGGTGACCGCGAGACCACTACTCGCCGCCTCCAGGAAGTTAAGACCCCATAGCGAGAGTACTGAGTGAGTCAAAGTTTTGACTATGCAGTCGATTATATAAACCTTTCGTAGCAGCATGGCCTCGCAGATTTTTTTAAAGATAGAGGAGGACAAATAGGAATGAAAAGTGAATCCACCTGATGGTCCGTGATTTACCCCAAATAGTCCTCGTAGAATAGTTATTTTGGACTTCAAATTTTCTTTTTGCGAACCTTCTATTCATCTTTATAGATTTAGCTGTTACCCACGACGACGAGCGAGTCCCGTCGTTCTTGCAAGTTAATCTTAAGAGATAGCCAAGACAAAGTGTCGCGGACATTTCTTTTTTTCATTTAAAGGAAATCATTCTTTTATAATTAATATTATTTCGATATCTTGAACCGTTTTCGCAGACTGCGCAACGGAAGCCCACAAATTTCCCGCTGATGCTTCGGTCCTAATAGTCGCGGCGCGATCGTTTACAGCTTTATGTACTAGCATAGATTTTGCATATTAAACTGTTGTTTTTTTTTAATTTAATATGAACTATAGATAGGAGGCAGTAAGCGATATATGAGGAATATATAGTTTAGTGCCGTAAACTATTTGTAGTTAGTATTTATTATAGACAAATGTACTTTTATTAGTTTGTGAAAGCCTGTACCTCTTTGCAGCACGTCACCGCCAGACGGCGGATACGGCTGGGTCGTGGTATTCGGAGCTTTTATGGTGCAGTTCTGGGTGGCTGGACTTTTCAAGTCCTATGGAGTATTGTACGTAGAGATAATGGAGACGTTCCCGGATTCGTCAGAGAGCGTTGCCTCTTGGATCCCGGCTGCTTTGTCTACACTGTGTCTTGCGCTGGGTAAGAGGTTATAACCAGAAGAATACTAGAATCCAGGAAGTTACTACATATAACATTCCACCAGATAGTAAAAACGATTTAGAAAAGAAAATACTCTTGACTTGACTGACTTAACCTGAAGGTCTTTCAGACGAATGAGCTCCTTAAATCTAAGACTGTTTATTATTTGTTTATTTTTTTCTACTAGTCAGCGACTTCGTCCGCGAGAATCGTTATTTTGGACATTCAAACATACAAACAAACATTGGAACTCTTCAGCTTTATATATTAGTATAGATAAGTGATCAGTCCACATTAATCAAAAGATAGTTTTGAATTCTACCAATTGTTTCTAAAAATATTGTGTTTACTAACCAATGTATTTATCTTCTAGCTCCCTTATCATCAGCTCTATGCGAGAAGTATTCCTGTCGACTGGTCGTCTTCATTGGTGGATTGTTCTGCGCGAGTGGACTGGCCCTGTCATATTTTAGTACGGGGCTATTGCATCTCCTGCTCAGCTTTGGAGTTATGACTGGTAGGGTCTTGCTAAACATAATTATGTGTACCTTTTTTATAGTAGGCTACGCTGTCTCTAGCGGCCTCATATATAGGCAGATTGACAGCCTGTCACTTAATAGTCGTTTCAACCTATTAATATCTTGCTAGTGCCTTTAGATCTCATACACTGGCATGGCACGGTCACTGTCGTTACTTATATTGAGCCATTAAATGAAAAAAAAAAACAAATAATGAAATAAAGTTTATGATGATGATTATGCAATGATACAGGTATCGGCGGCGGCCTATCAACGACTCCTGGTATTGTGATCGTTTCGCAATACTTCGATAAACATAGGGCGATGGCGAACGGAATATGTGTCAGCGGGACGGCGGCAGGTAGTTTTGTGTTTCCCATGCTTATTGAGAAGTTGGTGGATACTTACGGATTGCATGGCACTGTGCTTCTATTGGGTAGGTACTTATTCATAAAAATATTTTTATAGACTTAGAATAAATATTAGTGATGCTTGTATAAAAAGGGGAAAAATTTTACCATTTATTTGTAAACCTATCATTTAATCACGATGCGGGATCTTAGCCAAAAACCAAATCGACCAATATATTTCAATAATATATAAAGATAAACAGGATATAGATAACAACGCTTTCTCTAGGATCTTAGCTGGTTTATTTTATTCAGGTGGTGGTATGTTGCATGTTTGCGTGGCGGCGACTCTCTACCGTCCGCCACCGACTCTCCGTTCTAGCACACCAGTCACTAGTACCACCACGGAGAATACAACCCTTCTGAACGATATACAGGATGGTACGTTTCTATTCGCCTAACGTCGCCTAAGTATAATAATAATTCAGTTTACAAAATATAACCGAAGCGAAGGATTCATCCTCTGTCATCTTTGCTATGTGACAAATCTGTGTAATCGGTCTCTTCGAATTCTAGCTTGCCACCTTTTCACTTTAACATTATTTAAGATTTTAAGTTACGAGATTGCAATAAATGTTTTGTAATAAACCAATCAAGTCGGCGAAACAGAAGCTGTCGGAAGATCGTCTATTTAACTTCTGTAAAATGTTTCAGGCAAGACACTTCCATCTAGAGACAACAATCTGCAAAATCTGTTTCAAACGGACAACGAGATTGTGCTAAATCAGAAAAACGCTCTTCTAAATGACGAGAAACGGACCAATTTGTTTACCGAAATCATTCACCCGAGTTTGATTGAAGTAAGAACACTATTAATGTATCTATCGTATTAGGTTTTACCTGTTAAGGTAGAAGTTTTTGTTGTTGAATGAATAAACGAATATTTTGACGGGCTCATTGGTCTAGCTGGTGCCCGCGACTTCGTCTACGCAGGGTTAGGATTAGGGTTATAGTATCGCGCATTTAAACTAAATGATGTCTATCATATCATAAATTACATAATTATGTGTAACTAACGTTTATGGCAGCGCACGCCAGAATAGCTCGCAGAGAGATTTTTCCTAGTTACTTGACACTTAATGTCATATTTTGGACAGCTCACACAATATCTTTATAAATTGTAGCCTATGTGTTATTCTGATGTATAAGCTATATTATTGGAAAGCTTAATTGAAATTTATTCAGTAGTTTTTGCGTGAAAGAGTAACAAACATCCACACATACAAACGTTCACGTTCATAATATTAGTAGGATGATCAACGGGTCGCTGGATCCCCGACGGGGCCAACACGATTCTAATTAATGTATACATTTTCTGAAACACATTGGACTTTGTTTATTTGAATATTATATGGGTGGTAATATTGAAATTCCGCCCGTGTCACCAACGACCACAAATAAAAATGTCGTGAAGTTTTTCCGCCTGTGGATATTCGAATATCCAAGTCTAGTTAAGATTTTATATAACAGGGGGGTTTCAAATGAACCCCGTGCATGACTTGTATTCATATAAACAATATTTTGTAGGTAGCAAGACCGCCTCTGCCCTGTCAGATGTCGGATTCCGAAGACTCCGAGGGAATGGATGTTTTGGGTGTTGTTGGTAAGTTTCTTGGATGCAAGAGGTGTTTATGGCGCCAGACGCCTCGTTCCTCAAACGTTATGTTCTAGTAGTATATGGAAAAATATTCTTGGATCAGTCCACAACACAGCAGCTTGGTTCGCTTTTATGGCTTATAGGGATAAATTATTTCTGCGTCGAGTGTCAGTCACTTACGCCGGCACTGCCTTATCGGTAGAAGGTGTGCTGTTGTCCTTAAAACCCACGAAATATTTTTATCAAAAAAAAAAATCTGGTACTCCATAGATTCAGTATATTTTACTAGTTAATAAAGACTGCATAATCATAGTGAACTAAGGTCCACACAATATATCCCAATTGTGGGACTATAAAAAGATTAATGAATCACAGGCCTACCTCGTGAAGTCGCTCGGCTTCGCTTGCGGCCTACAAGATCTTCGTCTATACTACATTCCGTTGAAGATCTATCGACAGACAGCACGTGTGTCTACAAATCGAGTAGAAGAAAGATTACCAGGTAAAACAGCCACGGTGCGACGCAATAATTAAAATCAAATAAAATTCGAACTTAACTAACAGATAAAATTTTGTATAGCCACTAAATTTGTAAAACTACCCTCTTATGTAGACTTCATATGTCGCATGCGGGACGTCAACAACACAAACGTCACTTCGACGTGTACAGAGTCTAGGCGACGGGAGAAGGCAACTAAAATAAAAAGGAGCGCATTTGTTTAGTCAGGGAGCAGCTATCGTTGGCATTGTCACCTGCCAAGGAACTGTACTGTGTTACTTCTTTGATCTTGTGTAATACTTACTGTGTCGACAAATAATAATCGAATCAAACATACGTAACTATTATTATTTCTTACTCGGAGCCCTGTTGATTCCGACTATGAGTGCCCAAGAAATCAACGTTCCTCCAACATATAAATATTTTTGAAGAATGTTTATATTTGATCAATTTTTATTTTATAATTTTAGATCGCTTTACATCAAACCACCACTCCCGAGTGGAATTCCGGATAAAGTGTTAGAACCAGAAATAAAGAAGGACGAAGAAGAGAAAAAAGAAGAATTAGAAGAAAAAATGGAGACCGGTTGTGTTGCGACTATTTCTAGGTACCACAGCCAATAATACCACTAATTTATCGTGTAGAAAAAGACAACCAAAATACACTTAGATTCTTATATACTAATGGAAAAATCCCAGCAGTAATTTATACTAATATATAAAGACGAAGTCGCTGGCACAGCTAGTATGTAATATATATCCGATAGAACTGACCGTGAATTTTTTCAGATACTTGGACGTTTCACTACTGAAGTCTTGGCGTTTTGGACTGCTTTGTACTTCGGTGGCTCTGATGTCCTGCGGCTCACCTTATGCCTTGTACTATTTACCAGCATACACCGTCGCTGTTGGTCATAGCAAAGCTGCTGCCGGTAAGTGCTTCATTAACTTTCCGACTATCCAAAACTAAAATATCGATATAGCATCTTATTTTTTTTTATAATATTTGGTAAACTTAACAGCTTACGATAGTAAACAATTTAGTAACAGGAAGTGTAGAACAGTGAAGCTTAAGGAAGAGATAGAGTACAGTTTTACAATTAAATGAGATTCTTTGTCTATATACAATAAAAGATACAATACAACATTAAACACACAACATATACATGTTTGGGTGCAAAGTTTCACCAGAATCGTCAAAGAAAGAGTTCTGAAGGATGCGTTGAAAAGCGCTTTTCTTTAAAGTGGACAACAAGGTCATGGAGTTCAAATATTAGATGTTATATGGTATTTCTCCTGCCATCAAGTAAATGCAATGCTTGTCTATCCTCTCTTTCATAAAGAAAGTCGAAGCTTCTAGCATAATGATAAAAAATATGTTTATGGTTTCCAGGTCGTCTCGTGGCGATAAGTGCTGTTCTCGACTTATGCGGTAGGCTCGGTTTGGGCTGGCTGTGCGATCTGCATCTATTCTGCAGACGTAAGGCCTATATATTGAGGTGAGTTTCCGTTATCACGAGGCGAATGGAGCGCTTATTTCACTTTTCTATACTAATATACAAAGCTTTTTGTTTGTTTGAATACGCTAATCTCATGAACTACTAGGTCGAATTGAAAAATTATTTTTGCGTTGCTTAGAGCATTTATCGAGGTAGGTTATAAGCTATAAAATCGCGCTGTGACTAATACGAGCGAAGAAATGGAAAATTGGGGAAAATGATTCATTTTGTGAGTTTCCAATGCGTACGCTGCGAGAACGGTTCAAGATACCCAAAAATATGTAGACAAAAATGATTCCTCTTTAAATTAGGTAAAAAATGTCCGTGACAGCGTCGACGCGGACGACGTGATGGGTGACATCTTAAATGGAGTTAAACAGGAGGCAAAAACAAATTTTAATTCTCAAAATAACTACTCCGCGCGGACGAATTCGCTGACACAGCTAGTATATAATGTTATTGCTGCTTACATTTTTGTATGTTATTCTTTTCAGTATTCTCATTGCCGGTATTGCTGTATTGACCCTACCGAGTCTGAGTTCGTGGTGGGCGCTAGCTATCGCATCGGGCAAGTGTTTAAGAATATATAGCATTTTTACAACTTAATTTTAATAATGTTAACGAACAGACATGTCCGTCTGTCTCGTTTCGTTCTGTTATCTGCAGTACGTTTGTACATTACGATACTTAATTTAAATATCATAAGATGATTTATTTATTGATTAGCATCGAGATAAAAAGGATTGTAACTGACTCCAAAAAAGATGGACCAAATAACTCAATTTGATTTTGTATATATGCTTTTTAATGTTTGTTCGTTGTTTATAGTTGGTTCTTGTCATAATGACAAGGCGACACTTTATAAGTTAATTTTAGAATTATGTTATGCGAATATTTATTAAATTATTTCTATTTAACGAACTCAAAATACGTATTACTCTGCGCGAAGTAAACTTTTTTTTCTTTTTACTGTTGTGTATTTTTTCTGTAATCTTAAAAGGAAAAGGCATTTTTTACCGATTACGAAAAAGGTGCACAACGCCGTTTAAAAATTTTTCACTTCAAAACCCATCTATAAAAATATTTCTAGGGGCATATGGACTCTGCCTGGGTTGCTGGTTTCTCTTGGTGCCTGTTCTCCTAGCTGATGCTTTTGGAACTGCGCGTATCGCATCTTCCTATGGTCTGGTTAGGATGTTCCAGAGTCTCGCAGCTGTCTCCGTTCCGCCGACTGCTGGTAACATAATAATTATTGATATGAATAATCCTCTGACTTAGCGGGGACGACACAACACTAGTGCGACGCGATAACCTCGCGCGCCCCCGCACTAGCTCAGGAACTGTCAAATACGAACGTTGGCGCGCATTTTGTCGGCTAATCCTAATTTTGGCTAATAAATGAATATTTTATAATTTAACATTGTTTTCCGTCTTAATATTATATACATATCTGTCTGTTCGTTCTGTTCTGATGACTATTCTTGTCAATCTCGGAAATTATAGATATTGACAGGATGTTTATTTCAATATGAATGATATTATGCGTACTTTTAACATGAAATTGTGATACATATATACATATACACATTTTATTATATTAATTTCCTGTTAATGACAAACGGACAAACATTGGATTAACTTGATAGAAGGTGAAATACGTCTGCTGCTGCTAACTTAAAAAGATGCGCGGTCTACGTATATTGGCTTTGGATATTCAAATTAAAAACTTTTATTGCCATATTAGGATATTTACAAACTTATAAATAATTGTGCGCATAAAAATAATAATAATATTAGGAATAAATATATAAGTGCTGGCAATCGGTACCAGTCTCAGCTATGCTGTTGAACGCTTTTCACACTCAGCAGCGCTGATTTTCAGACTGGCAACAAACATATACACAATAAAATAATAATAATAACCATTAATTGTTGCACATCTGCTTTCCAAGGAGGTCCAGTTTAAATGCGAAAGTCGTATAGGTCTTTCGGAAAATTCTATTCGGAAATGCACAGATTAAAAGTAAAGACGATTCCTCTGGACGACATAGATAGTGGTGGCTTACTGGATGATGGTCCGTGGTTTACACGTACATTTTTACACCACAGTAGGTTTATTTTAAAGCTAGTTTTCCATCAATTCATGTATTTAGCTATATAATCGATGTTTAATTCAGTCACGTTTACTCCCAGGTCTGATTCGTGACGTCACTGGGGGCTATTCCTGCTGTTTCTATGGCATGGGTTCGTGCATGGTCCTAGGTACAATTCCCGTGATTGCATTTCATATCGCAACGAAGAAGAAGGAGAAGGAATGAAGGATCTTTTATTAATCTATATGGTATTTGTGGAACCCATTTTTTGGGCGATTGTCGACCGGTTATCGACCGTCTTTTCACCGAACGTTATATATATGTAATTTTTGTTTCAATCACAACTTATTGTATAGTATTTTCGTAGTAGGCCTGAGTACCTTTAGGTACAGAAAACAGAGCTAACTAGAAGAAGTGTTCTATTGCAGCGCGATTCCAAAACGCTTCCCCGCCCGCCCTTCACCCGCCCATGTTGACCTAAGCACTACATCATCACTTTTATTAGTATAAGAGATTGTCTTTGCTTATATTATCAAAAACTAAATACTAATCGAACAATTATGATCAAATTACTTCAAATTGGAGTAGCCGTTACGACCACAGTTTCAGCAAAGTTGACTGTCTCCGGTTTATTCTGTATTGTGCTTCTATACCCTGATCGAATGACGAGTGCAAGATTAGGACGTTACGATGATCACTGATATTTTGGTCTCATGTTTGGTAGAATAACGCAAGAAACGTTGTGGTCCTCCGATCGAATCCCGCTTGTGTCATATTTTTTGTTTTCAATCTCACATTTGAAAGTCTACATGGTTATAATTGAACTTTTAACGGTTTTAAACGAGATATATATTATTTTAAGTATTTCCGACTAAGTTGTTTGCGGACCGGATGTTTTGCGGTAAAATATAAGCTGTCGCATATAACGAAAATACTATAGATAAATAAAAACGGATTAAGCAAACATATATTTAAAATGAATATAAGGCAACGCTTTAAATGTGTTAGACTAGCAAAATATGACATACCCTGTTATAGTTTTGTACTATTTATATACAGGCTGTAATTTTTAGGAATTATTGTCACGGTCGAAAGACGTCGTATGCAAGCTTGTATGTAATACCACCCTCTCTATGTATCTATATATTTTAGTTCGGAAGTTATTCAACTTAGTGTTTTCTTATTCTCATCTAAGTAACATCATATAACAAAAACAAAAAAATATCAGCAGTTAGCCTTTTACTTCCTATTACCTGAATTCGGTGAAACTATCATATGAGTATACATAAAAATTACAACCTGTATAACATAAACTGCAAAATTTCGCTGCAAGATGATTTCAATAATTTTAAGTACAACCAAACTACGTAAAATAACAATAATAATTTATAAAACAATTATTTTTCTCATAAAAACTTTTGTAATTTATAATCTGTTTTAGATTGAAAATATCCAACCCGCGACCATAGTGTTGTGCTCTACCACACATAAAACCCGGATTCTGCTCTTCATCGTCAAAATTGTTCAATCCAACCCCATCCCTAGCTTCGTCCCGCGCATTGTATAATGTAATATCCAGCAATATTTGCCTATTACTGTGGTCGTCGTTTCGGGAATTAATTAAATCTAAAATAAATGTCGATATTTTGCTTGGGTGTGCCACTTCATTAAAGTAACATTTTTTAATTAACATCTAATTTTGTACATTTCCTTTGTTTTTTAAAAGTGACTTTAAAATTATATTTTATTTGATGCAATTGAATTTAGATTTAATATTGAATTTAACATTTTGCGTATATCATCTTGTAGTGAAGATAATATTATGTTTCTTATTTTATCGAATGTTATAAATGTCATGTGTCAAAGCGCTTTTAAGCGCGAAAATTTTGTAAACTTTGTCTCGTTACGTTAAATGCGTTTTTGATTGAATCCGACTACCACAAAGCCAACCTGTATGTTAAATACTCGTAGAAACAATAAGTGTGTGTATGTAAACACTCTAGGGGTAAAACTGCACAACCTAACAACAAATGGATCATATGACATAATTTGTATATTTTATTATATGCTATTATAATCTGTCAGAATTTGTACCGTGATTAAGAACTTCAAATAAGTTTGATATTAAGTGAAGTGAGGGATGTGACAAATATGCAGTTGTTTTAAACTGACACAAATGACGTTATTATGTGGTCGGGTTTTAGTTTTATAATTTATTTTGATATTTAAGTTGAATATAATTTACGAATTATACAATTATCAACACAGATTGTGTTTTATTTATGTAAGTGTGTTAATGAGGTTTGGATAGTTCTAAAACCCCGACTACCCATGCTCCCCTAGCTGCCGGCACATGGCTACCATGTTCACGCAAAGAAAAAATATATACGACTATTAATTAAAGACAATGCAAAAATTTTATGTTAGACACATAGCTGACCTGGCAAACGTTCTTTTGATTCCATATGAAGTATTTCAATGAAATTTGATTCCCAGAAAAACGATTCTTATTAGATAGATGTATATATTATTATTATAAGAGGAATCATCATTTCTTACTTATTTTTAGTTTTTTTGAACCGTTTTCATAGCAAACACAACAAAGCCTGAATGACAAATAATAATTTTTCCCATTTTCTTCTCATTTTCCACTGTTTCACCCCCCTATTGGTCGACATCTGACGTCGTTTTACCGAGTCTGTATTATACGCTAACAAAATCGCGGGAGCAGGTAGGACTATAAATAATTTCTCTTACTTAGCCCTTAGATGTCTGGTGTAAGGTGAGCGCGGTTAAAACAACTTGAAGGTCAAAATGACTTGTGATTTAGTCACGTTTCAATGACGCAAGCGCCGAGCCCCTGTGCGCCGACGCTTTCAGCCAAAAAAGCGCTGTACGTTTAGGGCTTACTTTAATAATAAAGCACGTTGTATTCTAGTGTAGCAATTACCTAGTGCGTAACGTACAAATCGCATATACATAACTATGCGCTCCTTAATTTAATTTATTAGCATATATTAAATAGTTATATCCAATTTGATAAATCCCTAAAAATAATAGACTAAAGGTGACACATTCGTCTGCCTCTATTCTCTCATCTTATTTAAAATGTTGCATCTCGATTGATATTAAAAAAGCAGAAGGGTTTTTAGGGTCGAATGTAATCTCAGAAACTCCTAATCAGGCATGAAGACATATTTCGATATCTATTTATTGTTGAAAAAAGTTGCTTTCGTTGGAATAGTGCCTCGGTGAAAGAATGAGAACAAACGGTTTTACATTATGCCAATTATTTCAGGTTATTTCCAGTCTCGCCAAATTCGGTCAAACCTCTGACACGAGGTTCTTATCAAGTCACGGGATCAAATATGCTCTTCAACTTTTTAAATATTCACATAATTAGGTATAATATTGCTTTTAGAAATAAACGGGTTTTCTTTTATATTATTTTGTTTTTCGCTCAATCAACCTTCACCGGGACATAATTGTTTTCCTATAATCAAGGTAAATGTTGACAGTGCGTAATTAATATGACACATAAATTAATCATATTTTATTAAAATAACTAGTTTTCTACCGCGACTTTGTGTATTGAGTTTTACAACAATTCCTTACGGCAATACTATTCTGCTTAAGAGCTAATAAATATAAGCTGACTGTATTATATTACAAAGAGTGAAATAGGGATGAGTTAAAAGCTAAATAAATACACAAGTAAAGATAGTAAGTAAAGCATCTTCTTCTTATTAATTTTACTTTTAATTTTAGCTTTTTAGTTTTAACTGTTAGTTGTGTAGACTTAATGAATTTGATTATCATTATATGATATTAACATAAACGTTAAGCGTGTCGCATATAAAAGAATAAAGACAGTGAAACCCTATAACTTTAGAAAAAATACGTTTCCTTACAGGCCAACAGTTAAGAACCCGTAAAGCATTTAAACAACCAGCGTTAGAGTGAAAATGTCAATTTCTTATGAAAATAGATTTCTGTATCGATTTAAGTAATCGAGATCAATCAATTTATTTTATATTATTTGCACTGTTATATGAATTTGATAACTTAGCATGTATGTCCCTGAAACGGCTCTCTATATTTTAAGAGAACTGTATCATAATAACATTGTGTATAATTTTATATAATAATGAATTAAGAAAATAATATGGAATATATAAAATATTATTATTCAAATTTCAAATAACACACCAGAAACGAAGGCAATATTATAATTATTTTAATGTAATATAAATACCATTATACACATTATATCATTTATAAACTTTATTGTTAAGAAATATAACAGCAAAAAAGCGCTTTTAAGCGTAACCGCTACTTTTTTCTTACTACGGTCACGGTAAGCGTTCAGTTACCTAAGAAAACAACTTTAATTTACAACCTAATATACACCGTAAGTTGACAATGTTAAAGTACAGTTTACAATAACTGTATGTTTAGAGAAATTATGTAAAATATTCAAATAAATTTCAACCTCGTTGCAAGTAATTATGGTTTAGTTTTAGTTGTTAGCAAACTATGGTATGTGCAGGATAACCGGTCCGCGTGACGTCACTAACCACACAGACCGCGTCTTATGTCCGCGTCATTTGAAATTCGAATTTCGGTGACCCCGCACACTATTTTTGCGCGCCAAGGAAATGTCAGAGTGACAGTTTGTTTATTTTTTTAAGTGCAAAGGTTGTGTATTAGAGGTTTTATATTTTACAGCAATGGCGGTAAGTTTGCGTACTATTATATTTTTACCGTTCTAATTTTAATGCGGTCACGTAACTCGGTTATATTATATGAAATGTATGTATGTTTGCTTGCTACGTAAAATTACCTAACCATGAAGCGTCGAATTTCTGCATAAAGTTGTAATCTTTATAATAGGTATTAACAATAAGCGTAAATATTACAAAGTTTTTGTGGCTACTTCATTCGCGATCATACGATAATTAATGTTTGTCTTATTATTTAAATTATTTTTAATGGAAATTTACAGTTTTCTCTTTCAAGCATTAGTATAATAAATTCGATTCGACTTCTAACTGGACTTTAGAATATAGTATAATATATAATATAGGTATATGGGGCTGAATCTATCACGATAACCAGAATGCGGTTCGGAACTTTTGCATACATCGAATCTTTAGGTCTAGACCGGTTTTCCGCTGTCTTTCGCTACCCGAAAGCATGTGAAAGATGTGCAAAAATATTTTTTGCCAACTTAGTAAAGAATGAAACTTTGTTTGATTTTTAACCACCGCGAGGTCGGAAGAGCGTTGTCTTTATTGATAAATGCTAAGGAACACATTTTGCATTGTGCAATGGCGGCGATCTTTACAGGGACAATAATATAATGGCCTAATTATTATTAGGGAAAACCACAGGGTCAGTTCATCGACTCCGATAAAAGCGAAATAAATGGAAAAAATAAAATTTATTTAAAAATCATTATTCCATTCCTGGATATGTAAAACAAGATCTTTACCTCTACGTATGAGACAACTTTAGCTTTTTATATAGGGTTTTACTTGGTGAACAATATTTTGGTTATACTGATTTTCATATTTATTTTATCTATACATAGAACTTTACGAAGCTTTTATGAAATTTCCAAAACTAAATTTCACCTCACCTCAGGGGTTAAACTATTATACAGAATATTATTTATAGAAATGTTTGTAAGAGACAGCTGTGTGTATCGCTTCTCGTGTTTACAGAACACATTCACATATATCCGCTATGGTTTCACGAGAATAAGACATGGAGATTGTAAATAAACATACATACATTGGAAAACCTTAACAAAAATAACCTTTTGAATATAGACTACTGCGAATACAAATTGCAAAATATACAATTGTAATTATCGAAACAAAATTTAAAACTTCAATGACAGATGGGGTTCGAACCCGAGACAAAATGACACTATACACTTGACACCCGTGACAGCCTTTGTAGCTAAATGGGTAAACATGTTGCTTCACATTGCTTTAAGCGCGAGAGATCCCGGGTTCGAATCCCGGGGAAACAGTTAATTGCTTCGGTCAGACAGAGCACAGAAGTCTGACACATAAATGTGTTGTGTGTGGGAAAACGGAATTTCACACTTTCACACTATTAGTTATTGAGTTACTCTGAAATAACATCATCGTTTTGGGAATGTAATTACTAATTACCCAATTGGCTCTCTTGCTTAGCCGACTAGTGGATTATGGCCCCTGGCAAAGTGGGTGGGCCACTTGGCCAGGGTCAGCTATACTTCGATAGATTATTATAGCGGTCAATTCCATAACTTTTAGAAAATAAACGTTTTGATGAGAGAAACCAATTGTATAAATGTTAACTTGGCTAATAATTAAATAATAGACGTAATTAAATATATACCATATGTAGGTACTTTGAAATATAATCTCAAGGTTAGTTCAATAAACCTTAAACAATTTTATATACATATAGGTTCGAAAACTTTTCGTTTCGGTAGACAAGGTCAGGTTGACACATGCTTCTATCTAAGCAACATATGGTCTTTCTTTGCTGCCCTGCTACTAAAATAATTCAAGTAATCTTATAAAATTGATAGGTTTTGTTTGAACACGCTAATCTTAAAAACTACTTGTCATATTTTCAGTGCTATGTATTTCGATGTGAAAAGAGAGAAAAAATGAGTTTTCTTTCGTCTCGCCTCTACGGTAAAACTCGTGTAAGTTTTCCCTAATTGTTTTAAAGAAGGCGGATTATGCCTTTGAATAACGACAATTTCCATTCGGATATTATTTTAATCTTGTGCGATTTGTATTGTAATAATAAACTACTAATTCAATTTCAATATGTCTGACTTTCTAATAAAAAATATTTTTGATATCTCCTCATCTTTATAACTTTAAACTGCTATCCGACATCGACATCGGATGCGTCCCGTCCGTCCCGTCGTTCTTGCAAGTTAATCTTCAAAGACAGACATATAGTGTCGCGGACATTTTTTTAGATAATTTAAAAAGGAATCATTCTTTCATACATATTTTTTGTGTGTCTTGAACCGCTTTCACAGCGTACGCATCGGAAACCCACAAAGATTAATTTTTTTACCCGTTTTTTTCACATTTCTCGCTGTCTCTTCGCTCGTATTCGTCACAGGGCGATGTTTTATAGCCTATAACCTTCCCCAATAAGTGCTCTAACCAACACAATAAAATAGAATGTTTCAATGCGAACTCGTAGTTCCTGAGATTAGCGCGTTCAAACAAACAAACTCTTCAGCTTGATATATTAGTGTAGATATAATAAAAAAATACATCAAAATATACCTTGTTTACTTCTAGCACCTATTGCAAAATCCAAGTTTCAACAGGTTAAAAATACATAATAGTGACATAACAGTTCGACCTTGTCGGCGCTGTGACATTTAGAATTGACAGTTCAGCTTTTAAAACCGGAAATCAAGGCCAAGGAAATGTGTATTATGTCATTATTTCAATGAAGAAGTTTTTATATTATAGAATACAATTGAAAAAACGTATTTATAATATTTTTATAATGTATTTGAGTTCTAACCTGACGGGCCACTTTGAAACAGTAAGAATTTAAATAAAACCTTTTTAACGGTTTCAAAACGGGAAATATAACAGTTAACTTACTTTTTATTTATTTTAACTAGCTGCAGCAGCCGTGGTCACGAAGCTACTGAAGATAGAGGATGTACCTACTGTCAATGTCAAAGAAAAAAATAAAGTAAAAATGAATAAATTATAAATATGTTGCGTTTTCACTGTTAAGTGTTTTATTTTAAACTACAGACAATACTTTAGTAAGCCTTATAGACGATCTATGGACGATGCGCTTGTTAAAATTGGTTAAGTAGTGGGGGTACATACATATACTAGTTTGTTTAATGTGAGCTAGTATAACCCCCCTTAAAACGACTAAGAAATCTAATATTATTATAATAATTCTATGTTATTAATAGTGGCTCGTTTTAAACGCCTTAATCGTTTGGAATGGCTATAACCCGCTCGACTGTTTGAAATAATGTTCCACTTAGTAAAGTAAGTACTTAAATACTGTCTATAGTTTACGCGAGTAGTACACATTTAAATAAAACACTTTAACGGTTTAAAACGCGATATATTAGTTAAACTTATTTGAAAATGTTTTTTTTTATCTCATTTAACTCTGTTTTCCTCTATCATCTATATAAAAAAAAAACTAATTCGATAGCAAGTAACGTTAAAAAGAAAAATATAAAATGTCAGTTTTTTATAAATTCACCCCAAGTTATGCGTGTGACGATTAGTGATGATCGATAACATACTTCGCTGTTCTGGCTTCAGTTCCCAGTATGAGGAGTTAAATGCTCCATGGATCCTGGGTTAAACTTCAACCCCGCAATGCTCTCATCAAACGAAGGAATAGTACCACAGTACATAGTACAAGTATTTCGACCAGAATTTGATTAACACAAAAACGGTTCTTGTAAGTTAATCTCAAAAGATGGACAACTGTTGGAAACGGTTTATGCAGTGCACCCGACGGAAATCCTCAAAGATGAATTTTCACGGCTTTTCCCCATTTCCCTTAGTTCCTTCGCTCCTATTGATCGCAGCCTGATGTTTTATGACCTAAAGCTTTTCCGGATAAATAGTCCAATCAATTTTTCAATTCGGACCAGTAGTTCCTGAGATAAGCGCGTTCAAACATCGTCATCCGTTTTTAAATGACACACCCATTTTACCCTCTCGTAATATATGTGTAACAACATATTGTATTCTAAAAAACTAATTATTTTACGCGCAGCTAATTAGACGAGTTCCTGCTGATAAAATGTACAGGAAACCCGTATACTCATTGTATTGTTTTTATATGCTTTATCGATAAGGATTGAAAACATTTTATAGTATCAATTTTAAATGTTTTTAATCTATGCCAAAATATAAGGTTGTCTGTTTATTTTTCGTTAATCTCTGAAAACATATTGAACCCGGTAAGAATCGAATCCACGACCTGTTGATTATTATTAGCCATACATAGCTATCATCAGACCGGTTGTTTCGGAGGTTAGCGCGTGCAGTTAAACATACAAAATCGGGAGATGCATGTATCAATTGGTTGAAAAAATTCGACGATTACGTGAAGGACTCGGTAGCTCAATTGGTTAGATGCCGGTTCAAGTGCAGCCGGAGTCCTTTTTTTCAATCAATAATCGATTTTTATTTTGTATAAAATATACATTAGTTTTATTTATAGATTTTATTAATACTAATACGTAACTAATTAATAATTGTCATCTAAAAAGCCTTAGTAAATGCATTTGCCATTGTTCTCGCCATATTACTCTTGCGCGATCTGCTGTTTCCAATAAATTATTGCGTTATCTACGTTATTTCTAACGTACAAACAAGCCTGTTCAGATTTTTATCAACAATCAATTCTGATAAGAGATTTTCGCGAAAACGTCTACTCCTTTTGTTCTGTGTCTGACGTAGTTAAGTTCATGAAAATATAACGTGACTAAATTATTGAAAAGTGCAAAAACAACTGTAATTTACATTATTAAAACGATATGATAAAATACGTATTAATTTCATTACATCTGCCATCGGATATTAGAAGCGGGAAGATTAGCGATGTTAAAACGCCCACAGATTCTATACGATTACAGTTAATATAAAAAAATATAATTGTCAGTATTACAATGACAGATATACGAATAATCTAATTAGTTTAATTAGTTATGTTTAAAAAAAGGATTTATGGAAGTACAATATTAAATTAAAAATCTTATTTCCAGGGTATGAACGTGCGACTGGCGTTCGCGATAATATCGGCGTCGTGGTCAGCATTTCAACATGGGTACAACACCGGAGTCATGAACGCACCACAAGATGTAAGTTGTGCTTTAACAAATAAAATTATTTTAAAAGTTTAAAACGCAAAATAAATTACGACCTGACTTAAGTTGCCTAAATATTTTGCGTTTTAATTTGTTCAACGCGGTTTATTTAAATTTTGAGTACTTGCGTAAAACAATACCTTACTGCTTTAATTAATTTTAATTAATTAATAATTTAAAAAAGGCGATATATTAGTTCTACTATAACTACTAAGAGCTAATATATCGCGTTTTAAACCGTTAAAGTGTTTTATTTAAATGTGTACTACTTGCTTTAATATTATTATTTATTATACTAATAATTATGTACGAGTTTGAATCCAGTTGTATCTAAATTAAAATTTTGATTAAAATAAGTTTTTTACTTTTGAAAACTTTATTATTTTTTACATGTTATTGCCCATAAAGACATTATTTGTTATTTACGATTTTTTAGTTTTTTACTTTCAACTCAAATAAGTCCGATATATAAATTACATAACACGTATGACGGGTTGAAGGAGTTCGGCGATGCCTTGTAGCTCACAGTAGCTTAATTGGTTAGAGCAGCAGCACGGAACCATTTTGAGCTATGGTGCGTGTTGTGGTACCCACCAATATAATATGATGTCAGCTCGTCTTCATAGATTCGTTCTATTAATTTACTCATGCATCTCTCGCGCAATGTAAATATTTATTATAATATAAAATTTCTATTTAATTTATATAAACAAATTTTATACAAACATGAAAAATCAGGTTTAAAACGGGTATTTTTATTACAGGTTATGTCAAATTGGTTGCAAAAAGAGGCTCTGTCTGGAACAAATTTAACATTAGCGGCGAAAGACGATCCAGTGGTTACAAACGTTTGGTCTCTCACTGTCGCAATTTATTGCGTTGGGGGGATGATAGGGGGTGTTATTACCGGCGTAGTTGCTGATAGGTGCGTAGATGATTATATTCCAAGACTTTGTGGATGCCCATTTCAGGCTAAAAGTAAACAGTAGGCATTAATAGACTCCTATACTTGTACCTCGGGCCCCGTTTGTCGTGACTACTGTATTAATAGTCGTCAAACCCTAACCAACAGTGGTTTGCCGTGGTAGGTACGCTAAGGCCCTAAAGATCTCTAGCGTGCGAATATTGACATAAGAGTATTACAAGAAAGGATATACGATCAGGTCACTCGATGAAAGGTGAAATAGGTCAGTAATTCACAGGTTGAATTTTAATGTATTTCTTTTACAGATTCGGACGCAAGGGCGGTCTTCTATTGAACAACGTGTTGGTCTTTTTGGCAGCTGCCTTGGAAGGCCTCTCTAAAACGGCTAAATCATCAGAAATGCTCATACTAGGAAGGTATTTAAAAATTGCTAGTGGTTTTAAGTATTATCTGTAGTTTACGTGAGTACATTAAAATAAAACACTTTGAACGGTTTAAAACGCCGAATAATTTGATTGACTTATTCCTTATTTATTTTTCAAATGCGTAGCAGTAGTGCATAGCTTAAATAAATTAAAAATATTTTAATTTAAAGATGTTTTATTTATAAAATTCGTATGGTTTTTAATAAAAATAAGAGAGATTAGTTGATATATTAGCGCTGTAATAGTCACGTTATATGTTTTTTAACTATGAACATAATGTAACTGAACAATATTTAATTTTTATTTCCAGATTGATTATCGGCATAAACAACGGTTTGAACGCCGGCTTGACACCGATGTACTTGGCTGAAATATCTCCAGTGTCATTGAGGGGATCGGTGAGCAAAAATACTTTTATACATTTAGGTACTAGCCACCCGCCCCGGCTTCGCTCGGCGGCAATGCTGATACTAAATACACTACAGAAAATCTGTGAACATTGTATATAAACTCTATCTATTAAAAAAAATCGCGTAACGTAGTTTTATAGATCTAAGTGCACATAGGGACAGAAAAAGCGTCTTTATTTTATACGATGTAGTGGTTAAAACATTGCAAAGACTTTTTGCACAGTTGAACCAACTATACTCTATTTTTTTAGCGATAGAGGGGGAAAGACAAGCATAGGGAACACTTGATGGGAGGTGATATAACGCAGCCATATAACATCTAAATAGGAAGAGCTCTCGACCTGTTTTGGATTTGGATATTAGGAAATCTAAAGACCTAAAACTTTTTTACCTGTGGACGGTGGTTCGTGACCCGGATATAACCGACGTAGTCGACAATATTTTAGAAAACAATGCTAATTTAAATAAAACACTTTAACGGTTTAAAACGCGATATATTAGTTAAAGTTATTTCACTATATAGTAAAATAAGTTTAACTAATATAACGCGTTTTAAACCGTTAAAGTGTTTTATTTAAATGTGTACTACTCGCGTAAACTATAGACAGTATTTAATGCTAATTTATTTAAGACACATGTTGGACCCAAATCGAATCTAGGACCCGTTGATTATTAGCCATTTTTGATCTACCCTTAGACCAATGAGCCCGCCAATCAGTTAGATAGTAGCCCTTATAAAAGGTTAACATACATATAACACCCATAGGTAACAATTTACCCATTGTCTGTAGATTACAAACAAACGAAACAACTGTGAGTGTCTGTGAGTTTTTGACGGAACGCATCTTGCGTGATTATTGGCTGAATATTTATCGAATTGTTATAAATTTTACGTTTCGAGTACACGTGGTTATATATATGTACCTACATTATTTTTCCAGATCGGTACAGTATATCAGCTAGTCATCACTATAACGATCCTCCTATCGCAAGGTCTCGGGTTGAGTTCCGTGCTGGGCACTACGAACGGTTGGCCGTGGTTGCTCGCTGTCACTGTACTGCCTGCTGTGATTCAGTGCTTCACGCTGCCTCTTTGCCCGGAGTCGCCGAAATATTTGCTGCTGAATAGGGGGGCGGAGCTTAAGGCCCAGAGAGGTAATTATTATGTTGAGTTTCTAACTCAAGGTGTGCCAAAACTGCAAATACTTCACTATTAAAAATTCATAATTTAATATATTTCAGAATAAACATTCAATAATGTACCTATTTAAAGACTAAACTCAATGTTGCCAATTTAAATGCGCGTGCGCCGCCATTTTTTTGAATGGGCTAAATCAATACAAATCATTTAGTAATGTAAAACACTATAAAATAAATAATATAATAAAATGTGGAGGGATTTTCAGTGAAATAAACCGCAGAAACACATTTTTTTATACGCGACTAAAGCTCTGAAAATCCCCTGCTAGGATTTGTTTGTAACTAAATTTAAATATATTCAGTATAATGTCTGTAGTTTACACGAGTAGTACACATTTTATTATAACACTAACGGTTTGAATCGTTGGTATTTCTGGAAATTGTCTCCTCGTGACCACCACTGCTGCAAAGCATCCGAAACGTCGGGCCGTAGTTAAAAATATTTTCCAAGTAAGTTTAACTAATATATGTCACGTTTTAAACCGAAATATAAATTATATAAATAGATTAGAGACTTATATTTTATAACCATATATGTTATATTATTATCTTCTCAGCCCTCAACTGGTTGCGTGGTGATGTTGCAGTGCACGGCGAGATGGAAGAAATGCATCAGGTAATTTTACTAATCTTATAAATACGAGTGAGTGACAAACTTCCCTTAACCAAAACCATTTTAAAACAATTCTTCCAGGAAGCAGAGAAGAATAAAATCAGTAAAAAGGTGACCCTTCGAGAACTATTCGGCAACAGGCAACTGCGGCAGCCCTTGCTTATAGCGATGGTGGTGATGGTAGCGCAGCAGCTGTCTGGTATAAATGCTGTGATATTCTTCTCGACTGATATATTCAACAACGCAGGACTGGACACGACTCAGAGTCAGTTTGCTACATTGGGTAAGTTGACAGTGAAACAGGAGTGAAATTCTATCTCACTAGGTGTGTCCAAGTGGAATAGGGCTTCAAAATGTGGGCAAAAAACTAATCTTTATCTATTATAGCTGTTACCCACGTCGCTTGCATCCCGTATTGCAATCTCTTTTTAATATTAATACATATTTTTTGGGAATCTTGAACCGTTTTCGCCTCTAACGGAAACCCTCAAAGTTCAATATTTTTTCCACATTTGCCTTTTTTCTTTGCTCCTTTGTCCACTGTGACGTATTTACGCTTTAAGCCATTCGAACCAGTAGTTACTGAGATCGACGCGTTCAAACAAACAAACTCTTCACCTTTATAATATTAGTAGATTACATAACATTTTTAAGTTCCTTGTTCATTTGTTTGTAGCGTGTTTTAAACCGTTCAAATTGGTAATTTTGACATTTCATTAACAGGTATGGGAGCCATGAATGTCATAATGACGGTGATAAGTCTGCTCTTAGTGGAAAGAGCGGGAAGAAAAACGCTGTTGTTGGTTGGATTTGGTGGTATGATGGTCTGTACCATTGGACTGTGTATTGCTATTCAATATGTAAGTATTTTCAATTCATCGTATGCGCCATCTTTATTTAGTTTAAGCTGAGCTCAAAGAAAACTATGGCTCTATGAGTCGCAACATAATGTTAACTTTGTAGATCCTTATATAAATTATAAATCTATTTTACATTGAAAATAAAAGAACACAAGCAAGACCTGAACCGCATTTTGTTGCTTATGATAATATAATTTATACATACATTGTTTAATTATCTTTTTTCAGACGGCAATATCGTGGGTTCCCTACTTGTGTATCGCATTGGTCATCCTCTTTGTAACCATGTTCGCCGTCGGTCCAGGTTCCATACCTTGGTTCCTCGTTACGGGTGAGTGAATAGAAAATGAAAATCTATTTTGGATTGAAAATGTTTGAGGGCGCGGGCGGGACTTGAACCGGCATCTGCCGCACTCCATGCTGCTGCTCTAACCAATTGAGCTACCTTGTCCTACACGTCAAAGTCGAACTTTTTTTAATACATGCACTTCTCGCGCAATGTCTTTGTCAAATCTTTCACACCTATGGATTGAAGTTGGTAATGATAAAGTATTTTAAGTACAGTTAAATATAACTCTATTAACGGTTTAAAACGCGAAATCTATTAGTTACATTATTATTAATTCGAAAATTGATCCCTTCTTAAATTTTAATGTCGGGCCGTAGTTATGAAAATATTAAAAATTTGGAGTCAATTACTTATTAATGACTCCAAATTTCGACTTATAATCCCGATTCCCCCGATAGGAGCGCGGGACAAACACAACTCTGGGTCTATTTTCCTAGCAATTTTTATTTTCACGAAAATAGTTGGACATATTTTCGTGCTCTATCTAAACCACAATCTTTTCCTCGGGATGTAAACCCAAGACCTTTAAGCTTCAGAGGCTTCATGTCATGCAATGCAAGACGTATCCTCTACTGAGGGTATGTCTTGCATTGCATGATATGAAGGTATGATTAATCGACGTAAATGAGGTAAAAATTGGTCGACGGTCCTTGAACCCACCCAAGGTTATATGTTTTTTTTTTCGAATTTTGCAGAACTTTTCAACCAAGCAGCGCGACCAGCCGCCTCGTCAGTCGCCGTTACAATTAACTGGACAGCAAACTTTGTCGTTGCTCAGAGCTTTCTACCGTTATCCGTAAGTATATCTAATAGATTTGATATTGTTTTTACGTAAAATTGAAATATGATTATCTTCGGACGTCTTCATATCTCAAACTAACTAAAGCTACTTACGACAACCGTCTTTTGTTTCAGTTGGTGTTAGGGACGTACGTGTTCCTAATATTTGCGGGACTTCAGTTCATATTTATATTATTCATAGCGTTCAAAATCCCCGAGACGAAGAACAAGACGATCGAGGAAATAACCGCCATGTTTAGGCAGCAATTGTAACATTGTAAGCGCTAAACTATAATAATGACGGCAATGACATTAGTGCCAAACTCATCTATAAAGTATTTTTTCTAACTTGGCAAATACCACAACAAATATGACCGTATTCAAGCCATAGAGAACTAAGGATTGTAATTTTTATAGAATGAAGTGGTTGCCACAGATGACACAGGGATAGAGAAAACTAAAGAAATTTTGATCAGTTTATTTAGGTACATATCTTTAGGCTTTTATTAATTTACCATGAAATTCTGATTTTAACTAAATAAATTAGTGGTAGTTCCTTAGTTCTCTAAAATGTTTTTCGTGTAAATCAATGTAAACCTTGTGAGGAAATCACGACATCGTGTAAATTGTATGTTTATTTACCAAAAATGCCAAGTTAGAAAAAATACTCTATGCAATACTTTGTTCAACATAATACTCTAGCTTCGTTCCTCCTTCACGACTTAGTAGAATACTGATTACTTTCAGTGTCCCTAATGAGTTGAATCGAGCATCAATCTGCATCTATTGATTAGTTACAACTTGAAGATAATAATTTCATTATCTTAACCAAACTTTCTAAGGAAACCATTAGTATCTCGTAGCTATCGTAGTGCCAGGTGTTGCAGTGCACCAGGCCCGTCTAACCCATCTTTGAAATAATATAAACCTGGAAGAAACAAATGAACTATTTTTGTACCTTCCTATCATTAATAATAATTTATTTATCAAACCGTACATCCATTTGTTAAAACTAATTTAATCTAATGACTGTTAGCAATAATTGTGGGGGCTTCTTTAAGTTCAAGTTACACGGAAAGGGGTTGAGGGTCGGATCCTTTCTTTAGGCACTGGGGCCCTTCCCACTCAGCTACGCTACTGGAGTCTGAAGGCGCATAATGGATGTAATGTGACTAAAATTGACTAAAGGCGTCAAATGGCGGGAAAGCAGCGCCACAACGTAGTTCACGTAAATCCGTAGATTCAGTCGGATTGTAAATATAGAGTTTAATACTATTATTAGCTAACTACAGTTAATGATCAAGACTTGAGTAATACCTGTAGATTACATGAGTAGTACGCATGTGAATAAAACATTTATAACGGTCCAAAACTTGAAATATATAGTAGTTAACTTACAACCCAGTGTTTTGAATGCTTCTCCTATATAATTCGCGTGTAAAACCGTTTAATGTGTACTATTTAAATGATTAAAACCTTTAGTGTTCTTTACTAGTTTAAACATGTGTAGATCTGATATTTAGTTCTCACTATGATCGAGCTTATAAAATAAATTTGAATGTAACTAAGATATGGTCTGTCTTCAGCACCGAAGCGAATAAAATTGATGCACTGGTGCAGTGTAATTTAATTTTTTTTACTATAGTTTCTCACAAGTCACCTTGTCCAAGGTTCGAACGCGGAACCTTTCGCTCAACGAAGACACTTCCTAAGCTAGGTTTAAAGTTGCAATTGTATTGTACTCTTAATTGAGATTAACGTGGTTGTATCCGACTATTGTAGTAAAAACTTAATTATACCGAGGGTTCGATTCTCGGTTGCAACAATGACAATATCCCATGTCCTGCTGTTGTTGACTATGGACTTTAGATATAGCTTATATGTTCATATTTGCATTTGGTACTTTGTAATTAGGTGCTAATTTTGTATGTTTCAATAAAATATATGAAAATCGATTACGTTTTATTTTTTATTACTTTTCTTACTTAATCGGATAAATCGCAAAACACATACATATAGTGCATTATTATAAAACAAATATTGCCACAAAACTAAAATTAAATTTTAAAAACATAATTCCCTAATTATTGGAGCTCAATTGAATGAAGGTATCCATATAGCCATATAACTAAACTAGATGCGACCTAGTTTCAGGCTAGTCTTTGGATAGCCTGAAACTGAGACGCGATTAAACTTCACGGCTTTTTTATCTGCGGAGGGTAGATCGTGTCTTGGATAGAATTTAGATCCAGTCCAACTTCATTCAGAAAAAAGATAAATTTATTAGAAACATATTGGACCTAGGGAGGAACGAATCCACAACCCGATGATTATCAGCCATACATAGCTTTCGATGACTTGACCAACGAGCAAAATAAAATTAGATATAGTTGTATCATTTTTATTGTTTAAAATCATTTAAATACTGGTTAACTGGCGCGATATATTGTTTCCGAGATGCCGATAAATTTAACTGTTTGTAGTAAAACAATCCTTTCTTGATTTCTGGAGACAGCTGCAGACACGGACTTGACCATTCTCGGAGAAGTTTTGATAGCTGCGAATGATAAACAGTATAAAATAATCATGAAATAGTAAATTATTTAACTTCTTTTAATAAAATGTTGTTATTTAATTAAAACTCCAGTTTTCCTTATGTTCTACGATTTATGTGCCCTATCAAAATGGACACATCCGCGACATTTGAACCTAGGATAATTTACAATGCGTCCAAATCTAGGCAACAATAAAAAACACGTTTTGAACCGGTAAAAATAAAGTTTAGGCCATGATTATATCTTTAAAAATAAAATTTCACATCTTTACGTTCAAATCTAATTTATTTTAACTCATAACCAAACAAAAGCGCGTGTGTAAACACGAGTCAACTTACTGCTTCAGTTTTTCTTTCATCATCAGATATTATAGCTCCATCCCTTTGAAGATGTCCATTTAAAGTCATGCCTAGTAACAACGCTATGGAACAATCGCGGAGGACCAGGGCTTCCCTGACGGCCTCTAAAGCGCCAGGTTTCTTAAGTAAATCCTGGCAATAAATTTTGTTTAAATTTTAATAGTACAAGATCCCGTCGCAGGTAACTTATTTTTTATTAAATTTGTTTGAAATGATTAAAGCATTTTCAAAATTAGCTGCAAGTGTATGTTTTTTAAGCGTCATTTGAAAGAAAAATTTAACATCTAAATAGGTGCGCTGTCGAGCTATTTCGGCTTTTGAACATTCCGATGCTAGAATCAAACTCGATTACGCTTCACGGCTTATTAATTTAAGTCTTATTATGTTCATTTAATAATTGTGAAAATAATATATATTCTACTTAACAGTAGTCACCTCAACTAATACAGGGAACGACGGAATAAAAACGTCTCCGACAACTTTAAAATCCTTTCGTAGAAGTTGCGCAGCGCTCAGTGACCCGACGTCGCACCTCGCTGCGACTAGACGCGCGACTTTTTCTCTCCTGTAAGGATGTTTATATGTACTTATAACATTTTCTAGTGAGATAATACTCAATGGAATACTAAAGCTGATATCACCGCACGCTGCTAGACTGTACCAGCACAGAAATTTTATATGCAAATTTTTGAACTTAGTGTATGTTAAAGTACAGTACTTCTAAAACAATATAAATACAGTACAGTGCGGTACTCACAGTTTATACTTAAGTCTTTCGCTTTTCTTTGCGCAAGAGTTAAGAAATTTGACAATGACGTGTGCGGCACGGTAGAAAGATTAGTTAGAGCAGCAGCTCGGAACCTTGTGGATTCAAGACCCGGTCCGTGTTTTTTCAATCTGAATGGAATTACGAGTACGAGATGGTACGAGAACAAATTCTTTAATAAAAGCCCGAGTGCGGTTAGTAAAGAAAACATAACACACCGAACTTTCTCACAGTCGGTTATTTCCAGAATAGTCTCAAGTGAGGTTACTATATCTTCATCGTGCAGCGTTCCCTTGTTCACTTCTTTAGAGAAATTCACTGTATCTAATAGGATTACACCTGAAAAATGCATTTCTGTATAACCTCTTGGCTACAACGTACAAGTACATATTTAAATTCGATACGAGAGAGCTAACAAATTTTCCGATATTCCAGCATTCGCCGTCGTCATAGAATCTAGTAGTTAATTTTGCATTTTAAACGTATAAATTTAGGATAGATTACGTATTTATACTTACTATGCAATAAGTCCGCACACACCTTGAAGTCATCGTAAAATCCACCCCGATGCATCAAAGTTGATAAATCTTCAATCCTCTGCCCAACCAAGGTACAGCAGGAACCTACGATTTCTATTGTACTTCTTACATCCTCTCTATACCTGCAAATTAAGTTTGAGTAACAAATTCGTATCGTTCGGTTCATTTGTATGCCAAATCTTATAAAAATGTCACATTGTTTCCCACTTGCACAATACAAAGTGAAATATGGACCCTCAATTAAAAATAACAATATTAAAACCTTTGAAATAAAGATTTTATATATTTAGTTAATTAGCTTTAAGATCAAAACCATTGCAAAGCATTAAGGGGAGAATCAGGTTGTCTACTTGCCTTCAAATATATTAAGAAGTGAAGCAGACTCAGAAATGCTTGCCTTACTTATTGTCTGTGGTAATCAGTCTTTTCTCCACTCACCTCCAATTTGTATTATCTATGGGCCTGTGGTCTATAATTTCTGTAACGTGTGGGGCTAGGAATTCAAACTTCCCCGACAACACATGATGATCCACTAGTACTATGCTGGTTTTATTGTTTTCCACTAGGTTTGTTATGTCTATATCATCTCTGTAAAATAACATTTTTGTGTTAACTCATTTTTACAATCTCTTTTTGAAGTTAAGTTTATTTTCTCTCCACGGAGCAAACATTATAGACAAAAGTTGCTTGTAAATGGATTTTTTTTTTATTTCAAGAAGTTTATTCAAATCTCCAGCCTGTTATGTATAGTAGAATCATGCATTTAAGATATAAGCCATAGCCATTTTTAGCTTGTATTAAATAGAGCAAAAATATAAAGATTGTTTCTACTCTATCTCACAGTATAAATAATTAATCTATTTGGTTTTAAATGTTCAAATTACTACGAACATATATACAAAGTAAAATAATCACTAACCTAAACACTAATAGTTCCTCGCTTACTCCACATTCCTTAAAGCAAAAAGCTACCTCCGTTTTCAATAAGTAATCTTGCCTTTCAACATCCAGCATACAAATAAATATGTCATCCTTATATGTATTCTCATCCCTCTTATTCTTTGTACACACTTTGCACTTCATCTTTTGGTGTTGCCAATGTAGGAATGTCGCATACACAAGCGAACAGACCGCAGAATCCAGATCGCAACTTTCATTTCCAATGACAATAGTCAGGTTTGCATAGTTTTCTGATTTCTAAAAGGTTGAAATGGATATTAGATTTTGTTCTGACTACTCGGGCACATACTGTTCTTAAAATGTGGCTAAATTAAAATATATTATATATTTACAAAATACATAGTACAGGCATGGATCAAATGATGTAATGATGATGATGTAATGTAAAGCAAATTAAAAATAGTAATTTGCTTTACATTACATCACAAGCACACTATTATTTCGCCGAGATATATATAGCTATAATTTCGGGAACAATTCTCCATAGTTACTAATAAGAAAGATGAAATAAGGGTAATGTATTAAGTATTAAGTTATTGTTTTTCACATAAAATGTGATTAATGCAATGGAAAACTTTAAAGAAATTATTATTCAATATTAATAATTTAAATACAATTACCTAAGCAATAAAGAACGTATCTTAGTTCTTACCAGAGCATTTAAAGTACTATTCAGATAATCCTCCATATTTAAGTATTGCACTATCTCTTACATTAACATAATACATTAAGCAATTTCTGTTTATATATCTACCGAAACTTTCTGTTTATATATTTGTGTCAATTTGGATTTATGAATGATACGACAGACATTGAAAACAAAAGTAATTGACATTGACATTGACAGTGCGAGTTTTTTTTGACAAGAAGATATTATAACTACAGTAATAGTTAATACCCGGTCCCCGACTTACGCTACCTACACTGTTTTACGCGAATTCGAAGATACGCAGTTTTTCATTTTGATTGCCGCGCGCATCGGCTCTCTCGCTCCGCCCACTCAGTGTTCAATTTGCGACAGGTTTAAACGTGTTCCGCGTGAAATTGTTTTAAGTGCGCAGTGCGTTTTATTTATAATTTATAATTATGTCGTCTAAAAGAACGAAAGATGAGCCATTTGAGCCTAACAAGAAAAGAAAAACACTGTCTTTAGAGTGTAAACTGAATATAATTAAAGACTTTGAAGCAAAAATGAAAGCTTGTGACTTGGCGAAGAAATTTGACCTACCGGAATCAACAGTCCGAACGGTTGTAAAAGGTAAAGAAAAAATTATGACCGCTGTGAAAGACTCTCAATCTTTGAATTCAAGTATCATCCGTAAGCGTCACGGTATTATCGCACAGATGGAAACATTGCTACAGTCATGGTGTGATAATCAAGTAAGAGTGAAAAAAATTCCTGTTGATCAAAATACAGCGTGCTTTCAAGCAAAGCAGATTTATGAAAAACTAAAAGGAGAAGCTGGGGAGGCGGCTGAAAATAAAGTGTTTAAAGCTAGTAACGGCTGGTTCAGCCGATTTAAGAGACGTTGGAATTGGCATAGCATCGCAGAGAGTGGAGAAGCGGCAAGCGCTGATAAAAAAGCTGTATCTCTCTATCCAGAAAAACTCAAAACAATGATAGATGAAGGTGGCTATACAAGCCAAACTATTTTCAACGTAGATGAAACAGGTCTTTTTTGGAAGAAAATGCCTAAAAGAACTTTTATTTCGCGTGAAGAGAAAACTTTTCCAGGTTTTAAAGCCGCTAAGGATCGATTAACAGTGATGGTTGGTGCGAATGCAGCTGGAGATTGTAAATTAAAACCTCTCTTAGTTTATCGTTTAGAAAACCCAAGAGCCTTAAAAAATAAATCCAAAGCTGGTTTGCCTGTCATTTGGAAGTCAAATGCAAGAGCTTGGGTGACAGCTTCTCTTTTTGAAGACTGGTTTGGCCATCATTTTATTCCTGAAGTCGAACGTTACTGTCGATCAAAAGATATCCCATTTAAAGTGATGTTACTAATTGACAATGCACCAGGACATCCTCCCGCAACTCTAATTAATTTCGATCCACGTGTGGAAGTTGTGTTTTTGCCACCAAACACTACCAGCTTGCTTCAACCAATGGACCAGGGAGTCATTAAAACATTTAAAGCTTACTACACAAGGCGGTCATTTGCACATCTACATGAAGCTATGAGAAAAAACAATGAGCTTTCTGTTAAAGACTTTTGGAAGCATTTCAATGTTTTAGATGCTGTAAGGATTATTGGACAATCTTGGAATGAGGTTTCACAAAAAACTCTCAATGATGTCTGGAAAAAACTGTGTCCATTTTTTTTCACCTCCGAAACCCAAGTAGAAACTATTTCAGATCCTGAACAAATCGATAGCATAATAGAAGAAGTGGTCGATATCGCCAAGCAATTAAATTTAGATGTCGATAATGATGACGTTCAAGATTTGCTAGATTCACACAATGAAGAGCTAACAATTGACGAGGTTATAGAAATGCGTAAGTATGAGCAAGACATTGAACAAACTGATTCGCTAGACCCAGTTGAATCGGTAAATCAAATGACAATTGAAAACTTAACAGAAGGGCTCAATTCAATTGAAAAGGGGTTAGAAATTTTAGAAAAAATTGATTCTAATGAAGAACGCGTTTCTACTACAAAACGAGGGATAAAAAAATTACTGGTATGCTACGAGGAAATTTTACGTAAAAAGAAGAAACATTTAACTCGTCAGGCAACATTGTTAGAATATATGAAGCCTTCGACATCAAAATAACTTCGGTTTAGCTTACTTTATTCATAACAATGTAATATTTTTTATTATCCTACACTTTATTAACATTTTTGTTCTAAATTATTGTTTTCTTTAAACTCTGGTCCCAATTAATCAAACTTTATATGTATTTATATGCAACATTGACCCCGACTTACGCGAATTCGACTAACACGGCAACCGCTCGTAAGTCCGGGGTATTACTGTATTTGCCAGTGTAATGTTAAAATAGTGTGTCTACAAAAATAACGTTAAAACACAAATTGTAGTCACAAGAGTTGGCCATCGATTTGGGATTGTACTCATTATTATGACGCTAAAAATTAATTATTACTTATTAACTTATAATATGCTTAACAGTTTTTAACAGAACTAATTATTTTTGTTCTACATAATATATCATCGTAATATTGTATCTATAATTATTTTAACCAATATCATTAAATCGAACTAAATATTATGAATATTTTATTAAAAATAAAATCGCCCATTTGCTAAAGACATTAAAGTCAGTTCTATCGCTACACGAAAAGAAACCTAATCGAATCGAAAGGGCCATAAAATTGTATATTTACTTTTTCATTAATAAAATCATGCAGATAACTACATAAACATTTTTGAACGGCTATATATAGATTACATTTTAATTGATCAATTAATTAGTTTTATAATTAATTATTACTCAAACATCCAAATCCAGATAAAATTGATTTAAAAGGAGCGTGCTGTGTTTTGTGTTGCTCCTTGAACAAATTTAGTTTCTATGAAAATGATCATTTTATTTCTAATTCTTGAATCTATACTTGCAGACTTTTTACTCGTTTTGCTGACGATAAAATGAATATTTATAGCAGTAACGTTAGGAATGTTAATTAAAATCACAGTACTCTGATAACATAAATACATGAGTCAAAATATTTAAGTTACATAAAAAGCATTATAATCACACAATCGCTTGCTTTTCAAAGAGTTAATTTTATAAACTAATGTTCATAATATATTGGTTTTTAGTAAGTGAGTATTATTTGAGCTGCGTTGTTTTGGTGACCTAGCTAATATTTCAGCCGTGGGAATCATTAGAAATCGCAATTATCATAAACCAAAAGATAATAAGAATAAAATGAATAATGTATGGTCCTTCGCAAGGCAGGTCTACGTCTCACTAATGGGAATCATTTAATTACATTTTTAGTATGCATCCTAAAAACAACAACTAACGCTACGCATTTAAACGAAAATTGCAAAAAGTTGAAATGTCCATCTACTGAAGATTTAATGTGTGTCAAAGTTACATACAATAAAGGCGCGAACAATACTAAAGGCTTTAAAATCATAGTGCACAATAAATGCGAGATTGGATATATAAAATGTCATCCGGGTATGTTAAAGTTATCTATACTAATATATAAAGCTGAAGATTTTTTTTTGTTACGTGCTAATCTCAGAAACTACTGGTTCGAATTGGAAAGTTCTTTGTTGGTTAGAGCATTTATCGAGGAAGGCTTTAGGCTATAAAACATCAAGCTGCAACCAATACGTGCAAAGAAACGGTATTAATTATGAAAGAGTTACCGTTGCGCTCGCTGCGAAAACGGTTCTGGATACCCAAAATTTAAATATGAAAGAATGATTCCTGTTTAAATGATCTGAAAAAATTCAAATCTATTAAGATTGACTTACAAGTACCACGTCGCGCGTAACAGCTATAATTTATAAAGATAATGAGATTTTCAAAAACATACTTTGTTCCCCAAAGTAACTATTCTACGCGGACGAAGTCGCGGATATAGCTAGTATAGGCATAGTCTAATACTACATATGTTACACTTACAAATTTACACTTATTATAAATCAGAGATTTTAGGTTACATTTTAGTAAGAGTATTCTATTTATAGTATTCGGTTAGAATTTTGCTGTAATTCTTTTTACTGTAACGAATTACATATTATCTCGTTTCTTTTTCTTTCCAATCCAATGGATTTTCGACATAGGTAGTGAAACTCCTTCTCATAATAACATACTCCATTTACCAAAAGTATTAAAATATGATCGTTTAAAAGTACTTAATAGATATTTCTACTGACACTATGCGCTATATAATTTTAGTAATTTTTGTATCCTACTACAAATAGTTAATTTGTACATTAACTTGATTATTTTAGGTCTCAAAGCTCATTTTATGCCGATGGAAAGCTGTCACGGTGACTATGTGAAAAATAAGCGATTCAAGCGAGCTATAAATAGGGGTAAATAAAAATGCATAGCTACATTCATAATTATTTTCATATAAATAATTGTCCGTTATACATAATTATGTTAGGCCTTTCACCTTTTTACAAATATATAAAGTTAAATAAGTTGTCAAGCGAAGTTTTTATTTCAGCGAAAATAAAGGCATTCCAAAAGTATGGAAGACAAAAGAAGGCCTTTTATGGGGACACATTGAGTGATTCAACTTCAGACGAAATCACACTGAATCGTATGTACTGTAACTTGTAACATACATTTTAAGATTAAGATTACATATATGTCTCATATATTATTAAAGCTATAGGTTTTCTGTAGGTTAACGAATAATGGGGTTTTCTTTAGAGGTTTGTCTTACCTTACTATCTTACTGAGTGTTTTTCAATTATCCCCAGAAAGGTAATTGACTGATATTATGCCAATAAATGTCAACCACAAATTACACTGTTATTTTAGAAAAGACGCGGCTCTCTCATAAGAAACAAAACAAAAAACTAATTAACAAGAAAAATATAACTGAAGTTAAGGTAAATACCTGATCTTAGTTCCATAATTGTTTGTGGATTATAATTTCTAACTCTTAAGACAAGCAGTGAACAGGCCGAACGGTGTGTGTTTGAGTGAACGGTATCTAAATTTAATTTTTATATGTCCCTCTGCTCCGTGCAGCAGCTAAATTCTATATGATAAATAATTTAAGTTTATCTGTTATTTTCGCGACATTTAAAAAGTAGAAAACATGCACTTCTGTGTCTTTTTCCGTTAAACAGTCATACATATCGTTTTTGCCCTCCTTACAATTTATTCTTTTTATCTTAAACAAAACAGAAATAATTTACATAAATAACAACTTAAGGCGGGAATTGTGCTGTAGGAAATTATTGATGATCACGATAGTAAAAACGTCAGTGATAAAATACCGGATGACGAACCCAAAATGAACAGTAAGGAAGCCCTGGTAGTACTAGAAGAAAATAGTCGGGAAGTAGAAGAAAAAGATGAGTTTAATGTTAACTTGGAAGAAAATTATGCGCAGGTAAAATGCATCTGTAAAGATTACTGCAGTGCCGAACTTGAAAAAACTAACAAATTTGTTGTTTCCTTTATTGTTTTAATTTTTAAAGGAGAATAATATATGTTCTTTAAAATATAATAATTAATTAAATTTAATATAAGTAAGTTAATCGGATTACCTTTATATCATATAATACGTAACCCATGTAATTATTGCAAATAATCAAATATACGAAGAATGGTAAGTAAACAAAAAAAATAAAGAATTTGGCCAAGAGGACAAGGATAACGTTAGGTATGTTTTCTTATGTAAATTTCAGAACGATGAAATTCAAAATGATGAGCCTGGTTCAGTACACGTCATAGGTGATGAGAATGATACAAACATACAAAATGCATTTGACGACGAAAAGCCACTTAAAAAAGAGGATGAAAAATCCAATGAAGTGCACAATGGTGAAAAAACACTGACCATAGTTAAAAATGAATCTGTGGGTGGTGTAAGTGACCAAGAAAAAGATTTACAGAATAATGATGAGAAGAGGATCGATGATAACTCGGGTGATAAGAAATCGCAATATAACAACGCATTGAAGGTGCCGAACGATTACGATCAGGAAGATGATGAGGAAGGTAATATTTTAAGAACTATATATTTTGTGTCTATTGATAAATAACTAATTAACCCGTTGTACAGAAAATGGGAAATTGAACCTAAATCCTTATGTTAAGCTCGAAATTACTTCACTCGGTTCGCCATACCTATTATTATATTATTTAATGTTTCCTATTTTAGCGGATTTGGATGAGAATAACAAATATTGTCCTACAAAGTGTGCATCATCAGACATGATGATCTGTGCCCACTGCCAGCACGGCGTGTTTCGTACATTTATGAGTGTCTGCCATTTGAGGGCATTCACGTGCGCACATACGGACGAGAGTAAGTTATTTGTCATTATGAAACAACAGTAAGTTAAGTAATATTATAAAGAAGTGTATGGTTGATTGTGGGGTCTCCATTGTCAATTGCTTCAAATTGGTTTTATTAACTTAGGTTACATTTTTTAAAGTCGATAGTTCTAAGGCAAAGACTATAGAGTAAGTCTTAAATTCTAATAGTTTTAGGGCATACCCTCGTTGTAAGACTCTTTAAACCCTGTTGCCCCTACATGGGACATGAGGCATGAACATTTGTGTATGTTTGATCGTTTAAAATCTAGATTAATTACTATTAATTTTCTTTGTTTTAAATTTTTTTTAGAACTTTCGCTTGTATCGCGCAAGCCATGTGTCCAGTCAGCGCCATTTTTATACGATCTGCCAGAAACGAAAGGTCGCATCGAACATTCCGATGATAGAGTGTTGCAGTTCATAAAATGCAGGCGTGATGGCAAATTAGGAAAGGGTAAGTTACTGTAAGTTTCTGTGACTGCTCACAAAGTCAGTTATATAACTGTATGTAGACTACGCGAGAATACATTTAAATAAAACACTTTTCCGGTTTAAAATACGAAATATGTTAGATTTAAAAAAAAATCCTAATTTGGCGAAACCGGTTAAATATCAACTACGAAGGGATAGACGGCGGTAGCATATAATTTTTTTACTTTTACAGTAGAGACACACTCATACTTTTGTCTTCCCGTGACCGTGCCTTTTTTTATTGTTTTTGCAGATCCCCAGTGCAACTTCCACTAATTGGCAAGTGCCTGAAAATATTTAAGATAAAGAAAATAAATGACATTAAAAAAATATGTTGACGTGGAAACTCAACTGTAAGAGCCGTTGGTTATGGTTTCGTGTACCGCCTCTGTCATTGTTGTTTTTGAATACATAAAAAGTATTTACTTGACTGACATTTATTTACGTAATTTCCAATAAATAATAAATTCTTCATGGTATTTACTTAAAGATGTGTGTTAAACACTGTCTGTAGTTTACGCAAGTAAGTTTAAATGTGTACTTAAATAAAACACTTTAACGGTTTAAAACGCGATATATCTTAGTTAAACTTGTTTCGGATGCTTTGCAGCAACCGTGGTCACGGGGAGACTTACCACGGCTGCTGCAAAGCATCCGAAACTTCGGGCCGAAGTAAAAAAATCATTATCAAATAAGTTTAACTAATATATCGCGTTTTAAATCGTTAAAGTGTTTTGTTTAAATTAGTGATTATCTGTGAAACCTTTTTTAGGATGCACCTTTATGTTATGTTCTTTATCCTTACTATAAAATTGTATTCTTTTGGTGTTTCTGTTTAAATTGCGTATGTTATTCTAGATCAGATTGTGTACTTAGTACCTAAATAAATTGATTAACAAAATAGAATGCACCACAGTTCAAATAATTTTAATCAACACATAACACTATTAAGAACAAACGTGTAGATAAATGATGGGGAAGTGGAAAGAGCTCCATACGTCAACTGTCCATCATCAGTCAAGAAGATTCTTTGGTTTCGGAGATTTGAATTTATTTATTTATAATCTAACGTAGCCCAATGCAGCTTCGTTGCTTACATGCAAAAAAATTAACTACGTGTCTTGCCAAGGCACTCGACGGACTATGCATTTGGTGCGTATAGTGCCAGATATCCTAAGACTACTAAGAAGCGTTGCACAGTGGCCGCGAAACCCTTATACAATTTGTAATCAAGTAGATTAAATATAAGACGTTACGTAGGTTATTTTAGTCTTACTTAAATCTCTCTCACCTAGCAGGGGGCGCTCTATAGCGGCCCTTGCCTTGTCACGTTTTTTAAATAACACGTGAAAATGAGCGCCAGAGAGTCCTACTTCTTAAGTCTTAATTGTATTAATACTATCAAGTGACTAACACAAAATACAATGAATTTTAGTGGCATCGCTAAATCGACTCTAGTGGCTCCAAATATGTAGAACTCGTAGGGACGCACTTTCATATAGTTCCGCACTCTCTGTTTCTGCCTTGCCAATGATTTATCTGAAAGAGAGGGAGATCTTTCGTAATATAGAATCATAATTGTTGTCCCATTAAAATAGAACAGCCAAGCGTGGGGTTAGCTTGATAGTAGTCGAAATACCCCAAACATATAACTTCTAAACAGGATTTGCTGTCAACATATTTTGACTTTGAATGAAGTTGACGGCTTTTTTATAAACATAAGTACATACCTATATAGTAAAGTATATCATTCCACGTGATTCCTCTACTTACCGAGGCATCGATCCATTTGCTTCGCCAAAATATCCAGGATTAGTTCCTGTTCTGTTGTGATCAGCTCTGATGTGACGGGCAGTGCGAATAGTGACAAAAATATATGCATCAAGTCAAGCACCGCGACTAAGCAGTTGGCTGTTTCCTGGAAATATTGTGATATGTAATAACGTCTCTCTGCTATCCGCCGTCTCTCCAATATAAGAGAGTTTGACTACTGATTGGAATTTAAAAATGAGTTTGGCTTTTATTAGATCATTTATTAAGGGAGGCTTTGGGCTATATAAAATCCCGCTGCGATCAATATGAGAGCTTCCGTTCCTTCCGTATGAATGTCCGCTACGGTATACTTATGTTTATCTTTTAAGATTAACGTGCAAGAAGAGTTAGGCTAGTTGATAATAACCTTCGTGATACACGAGAGATCCTTGAGGTACATAGTAGCTTTCGTAAATTAGTGGCATAATATTTTTTATAATATTTTGTTAGTTTAACAATCACTCACTTTAACGTGAAAGTAATAGACAATTTCCATTGTTTTATTACTTCTAAAATAAAGTATTTAACAAAAGTAGTTGCTCAATAATTAATTATACTCAAAGTAACCACTCTTTATGATGTAGGCTGATAAATCGCGCCATTAAATGTAATTACTATTATCAAAGCGACGACTTCACAACTATAATGTCAGCAAGCATTATAGGTTTTGACTTGTCAGTTGGTAGTCGACGAACGCGCAAAATCCTTTGAAGGTCGGAAATCAATAAACCGTTTCAGCGAAAAAATCTTACCTGAAAATAATTATATTTGTCGTATAAAATCGATATGAAGGTCGGGTAGTTAACAATTAACATTGCTAAAACCTGAAACCAAACTTTTCTTTATTATACATTATGCAACTAACAAATTATTATTAACATATAAGAAAAATGTTTTAATTTTTTTCTTTTAATCTAATTAATGGCAATAAGGCGATGGCAAGATGACTTTTAATAGATTGCAGCTTTGAAAAGGAGTATTCCCAAGCCCAAGCAAATAAACGTGGAAACGTTTGGAGCAGGCCATCCTCAAGTAGACTTTAAGAAATTTCCTTATGTATTATTAAATATGCATTTGTTTAATTTTAAAGAATTTCCCGATTTTCATGATATTTCATAGGCCTAATGAATGCCTCGGAATGATAATAATATTGTTCATCACACCAAAGATCCATTCAGTTCAGATTTGAATGTTATTTGGGTTAATAATTTAAATTATGTAGTATATGCATCACAACAAAAAGGTGTTATAGTGAGGCATGAATGTATTATCATCTTAATAATACTGAGTCGCAGGTGCTTTGAGGAACTTGCTGGATGAAGGAAGCTTCTCGCTTAAGGTTGATCAGCCTCGTCATGCGCAATAGCAACCTAAATTTACTGTACGAAACGTATTACATTTCCTTAGGGCAACCTGCATAAATAACACAAATACTTCTAACTATTAAAATATTTTTAATACCTACCCCGATCTGCAACTCCACACTGGCGATTTCGAATCGATTCATAAGTCGCTTGTAAGCAAACAAATCTTGCTTCATCATTAGTATTTCGTAATTTATATCATCTCGTCCAATAGCATTCAAAGTTGTCGATTTCTTCTGAAGAGATCGCTTCAAGCTCTTCATTGCCTCGTATATGAGATCTAGAAAGAAAACCTTTGGGAAGTTCGAAAAACCGATGGAGAATATAATCACATTGTCCAGTAAAGGGGATCCGGGTGGTTCGCGTAGAGCAAACAGGTAAATTCCAGTCTTAATTAAAACAACAATGAATTCTGCAAGCTGATAAAGCAACACGCGGCAGGATATGCGTTCTTGAAATCCGTGGAACTTATAATATACAGAATTGACGCACATGATCTGTTCAATAATGGACGTTTCGAAGAAGAACGATAAGATAATTAGTACTCCAAATTTTATTGGGATATAGAAGTCAGGTGTGACAAGATCGATTTCCAAATTGTAAGTGAAGAATATGGTGAAGAGGAATACAAAGACCAGACAATACACTCTCTTCAAATTCGAGACAATTTTCGGTTCGTCAGTATGAAAGTAATGACCGAGAAACAGTCGAATGTACATCACGGTATTAAAGACAGTATAAGGGTGAATACGAAAGATTGGAAATTTAAACAACTTCATTTTTGGTTTTGCATTAGACGTACTCGCGAAAACAACGTCGTTTCGAGAATGTTCTTTGAAAATTGGGTTGTCTGCTTTTGTAATGAAATGAAGTTCCATTTGTTTCATTATTGAAAGTGCATTTAAGGTCTTTATTGTTATCTGGACGTATCGGTTTCATGTACGTCGAGCTATTTAATTGGACTGATCCACGCGTCATTTTGTACTTGAATTAGTTTTGGCCTCATATTTTTGACATGATCACTAAGTCTTATCTTAAATTTAATTAATTATTTACAAAATAGGAAAACTCAAAGTCAAGGGAATTGGTCCTGGGGTGGCTGGGGTCCCTGGTGTACGAGTACGGTTAAACGACCTTCAGTTGGAAATGGTTGCGCAATGGGGAAGGCTGCGCGTCGCTAGGGAAAGTTGTGACACAATCACGAAACGAACTTGTCCCCAATATACATATAATTTTTGCAAAACGTTTAAGAAAGTTTTGAGATGGCATATTGTGTTGAAAGATAAAATAACATTATTGACGATTATTCACACGTAAGTAAATGCCGATAGCACCAACCAACCGTACGCATTAGTTTTATTTTATTTTTAAGGAAGTTTTTAATTTAAATTTAGAGAAAGTCTCATTTTAAGAAACTTTAAGGTACCTACGCCCTTTTCTCGAGGTTTCGAGTCGTTTGAGTCACAATAACTACTTAAAACCAGTATTGCCACCCGGGTTGGAACCAGATTTGATGAGGCGACGTTTTTAAAAAATATGATGTCGCTAGCGACGTAATATTACCCCTATCACTACCACATTTGCATTATAGCACAAAAAATCCAAAAATGTATTTAGAAAGTGAATGTTTTTATCTGGAAATTATGGATTGTATGATAAATGGTTTCCTTCTGAAAAAAATATAATAATTAAAGCAAATAGGAGACAATACAGGCATATATTTAACACTTATTTCTTCAAAAAATCAAAATACTTTTATATTTATAATTAGCAGATACTGTTGATTTAGATAAGAAGATGTAAGCGTATTTTACTATAACATGACTTTTTGAAAGTTAACTTTACGGTGTATACCTAATTTACCTACCTAACAATTATGGCAGAGATTACTTACAAGTACAAGTAATAATCTCTGCCAAATATAATTTCGGCCGGGCGATTCGACTGATTCGGTCGCACAGGCCACAATAGTCTGATCAACCGCTATGTAAATTAATTCTTTTGTCCCATGGCCCCCATGGGGAGACCGGATTTCACTTTTATTATTACTCGTTTTTGTATCTCGTGAACTATGTTTTATTTTGTTTTGTTCATTTTCGCGCAGTTTTGATTTTGAGAGTGAAATAAACTGATTTGAAGTAATTTTATTTTATTGTAGTATTTTATATTAGTAAAGGTTACAATTTTTTTTATTATTTTTGGCCGTTTATTTCCATAAACTACATACGATATACCTTATTAATAAAATAAGAAAACATGTGAGTGCCACTGCCGACTAATACTTATGAATGTTATGCATGCCGGATGCAATAATGTCGGATCCGGTACTTCTGACAAATCATCATTTGATTTTAACCGGTAAGAAGGTAGCAACGGACTTTTCTCATTATAATATTTACATGTAAAATACCACGTAAGTTCCACTAATAAATGCACATCTTGCACGATACAACAAACAAAGTTTCATGCTTATATCTGTAACGATTACAAAAATATAAACAAAAGAAACTTTGAATCGCTCTCCTATAAAGTTGCCGATTTGCAGATCCGACTATGTTAGTAGTTAGGGGCGATACTATATAGGAATGTGTTATTCTAGGTCTGGTGCGGACAGCGCCATGTTCATGTTTCGTTGAAAACGCTTTATTCTTTCTATTGTTGCGGACAGCGCCCTCTTCATTTATTTGTTGAAAACGGTTTATTGTTCTTGTTATTGTCAGCCAGCACCACAGCGTAATCTTCATGTTTTATGAAAACGCTTTATTATTCCTATTGTTGCGGACAGCGCCATCTTCATTTGTTTGTTGAAAACGCTTTATTGTTCTTGTTATTGTCAGCCAGCACCACAGCGTAATCTTCATGTTTTATGAAAACGCTTTATTATTCCTATTGTTGCGGACAGCGCCATCTTCATTTGTTTGTTGAAAACGCTTTATTGTTCTTGTTATTGTCAGCCAGCACCACAGCGTAATCTTCATGTTTTATGAAAACGCTTTATTATTCCTATTGTTGCGGACAGCGCCATCTTCATTTGTTTGTTGAAAACGCTTTATTGTTCTTGTTATTGTCAGCCAGCACCACAGCGTAATCTTCATGTTTTATGAAAACGCTTTATTATTCCTATTGTTGCGGACAGCGCCCTCTTCATTTATTTGTTGAAAACGCTTTATTATTCCTATTGTTGCGGACAGCGCCATCTTCATTTGTTTGTTGAAAACGCTTTATTGCTTTGTTATTCCAGACAGCGCCATTTCTATGTGTTCGTTGAAAAACTCAAGAAAGAAATCACTAACTCACGTTGCAAGCCTTCTATGTACATACATAAAGTGAGGGACACCCATAGCAGGCCGGGTGATCAGTCCACACCATCAGCTGACCATTTCATCCATTTTTTATTAGCTTACTCAAAATTTTTTAAACACGACATATTTTATTTTAATTTACCCACCATAGTAATAATTATTAGTATAAAAAAGATTTTTTTTATTTAGTTAGAAAAATATTTAAGTGTTACTCTAAAAAAAGTTTAATTAAGTGTAATGATTAATGTTATTTAAATAATAATTACACCTATTAAGAAAATATAAGTTTAAAAAGTCAACTGTCTGAACAATGTCATTTACGCCAACTCAGCTTTGACACAGCTGCAAACTAATTCGGCAAGAATGTTAAAAATTCTACAAACAGCTAATTATGCGATAGTTGTCCATCTTTGTCATCGTCATCCCATTGAGAACAGCAAGTGTAGTTGTTCACTACTTTTTTTTACTTTCCCTGCTTGTTGGATAGCTTAAGAATAATAGGTACAATTTCAATACTACTAGACCTGCCATACAAAATCTTTTGAATATTTGTAAAATAAATTAATATTTTCAACTAATTTGTTTCTTTCTTTTTATTTTCGGTTGCCTTCTGTAGCCAAGTTGATTCCGATACCTACTAATTTAGTGATCAATAAAACGACTCATCTAGAGTTAAAAAATCACACAGAAATAATAAAATAAAAACAAGAAATTCGCAAAAACATGAATAAAAACAAAATGTCGGATTTTTTCTCAAAAGTTTAAATGCGTCATAACTTAAAAATTCTAAGTTTTGGAAAGGTTCCGTCATACACAAATTGGTCAGAGAAAATGGAAAAGTGAACGAGGGGCGGAACTGACAAAAGACAAAAGATCTGTCTGCTTTTATGGGTGCAATAAATGTTTAATCCTTGCGGAGCGGCACACCTGTTACTTGCAAAGCAATATTCTTAATTCTATATTTGGAACATATTTTATTCATATGGTCACAAAAAAACACGGCAAATGCAGCCCTAACTCTTAGTCTTATTCGTCAAAATGTTTCTTTATGGTGCTGAGCGGCAATCACTTTGACTTCTAAAACTATTACTAGTCTCAAAACTTTCTCACGGTGTGAAAAACAATAAGGAAAGCACCACTTGAATTCTCAGCCTTAGGTATTTTTAGCAATCTAATCTCATGGTTAATAACAAATAGAGACCAATTTAAAGGACATACTCTCTTTAGAGAGCAAAGGAGTTCTAAGATACACCTAGGCAAAACTATATATCCGTTACTTTTGACATATATATTTTTTTAATTCATATAGTGCCATCATGTGCGAACTCTTATGAAAAATATTAAAGGTTTCAACGAACCAGTCGGTTCGACCCGTTCAATGCGTTCGATTTGATTGATTGGATTCGAAGCGACATCCTAACTTCATGTGGATTCATCCCCGGAGTTACGGAAGGTTCTTTTTTTTTTTTATTTACATATATGCACTGTCATACCTCATACATAGATTCAAACCAATGCGACAGAGATCTTAAAAAACTAAACAATATATACATGATAGAACAAAAATATATGAACTTAAAGCAAACTATCTTTCGTAACTTAATATAAACTTTAATGTATTTGTGAGTTCACCCCAAGGACTGTAAAAAATATCTGCTTTTTTGTGCAATACATTTAGGACCTCGACAGTCCTCGTCCATTGCGCCTTTGCCATTAAGTTCGTTCTAGCAAAAGGCACCACGAGAAGAGGTGGCGCGTGTCTTTTGTACCTATAGCAATCAAGAACGTTTATGCTTAACATGCCTAGGACGCCGATGTTGTATACTTTCCCTCTTAATAATTTAATGACATAAACGGCTAGAGCAAAATCCCTTCTTACTCTCAACTTACTGTAGCCCACCATTCCTAGCACAAAGAGTGTTGGGTACATAAGAGGATAATAGGGATAAATCCCGTACATTTTAAAATATAAATGTCTTACAAATTTATTTTAAATTTTTTCTAACATGGCACAGTATTTTTCTTCGTGAGGTGCCCATATTGCAGCATTATGTTCCAAATGGCTTTTTTTTTTAATTTAAATAATCTATTGTTGTAATATTACCTCGCCCTATATAAGAGAACGTAGAATAAAAATAATGTTTAAGGCATGTTTGGGTGACTAATTAAGTGTTAGTGTTAGATAAGTAGACTTACCATATCGCTGAGACAGCCGGGACCGACGAAGAGACAGCAGATTTCGTTACTTGTTGCGACAGATGCTCATTGCATTATATTACAAGAGAGTTACATTATTTAATTTGGAAGATGCTTTGAGAGTAAATAAATTATAAAGTATTGTATTATGATATGTTGTTCTTCCGATTCATTCATTTAATGCACTTGGTCCTGTGTACGTCTATATTTGATCTCGATTT